CAAGTTTGCTTACTAGAGGACTTTCCGTATTATTCCAGTCGCCCAAGTGGTAATTTTAAAGGATCCGTATGAATTCCCCTAAACAGGCAAGCCACGAAATCTACAAAACTAAAACAAATAAACCTTGGCCAAACTGAAAACTTGAGTTCTTGTTTCACCAAAAGTTTAATTGCTAATGCTTAGAAACAAGGATGTCAATGGTTTGAATGAACCGTCCAAAAGGACCGTGATCCAACGAGACATACTCAATTGCAGTATGAATACATATTCAGAGAATCCAAGCAAAGTGCCCATAAAAACATAAATGGTATTACTTTCGTATTTTCCTGTTTATTTCGATTTAAACCAGGAAACGAATCATTTCTTAACCAATCGTTTTAAATTGATTGGTTAGTGTATAACTATGAAGTCTTTTCAAACTCTGGTTTAAGAACATGCTATTGTTCTGGTTCCGGATATATGAGGCCTTTTAACAATAGTTGGCATGAAATCAAAAGATGCATTTCATCAATTGAAATAACTTTCTTCTCAGAAACGCATTAGATTGTGTCTGTGATTTCCCGATTTCAACACGCAAAGATCTGATCCGTTATTCTGTTGTTTCCTTTGATGTAAAATCACTTGGGGCCATTTGACCTCCTTAAGATATTCTTACAATATCTACTCTTTTCCCAGATCCTATCATCCAGGTTGGTGTTAAATCCCAATCAACAAACCACACCAACCGACTCTGTCGGAATCTGGATATTGAGCGGGAAGACCATATCGTGGACCATATCATGCACAACAATGCATTACATTGAATCATTATTTTTCAGAAATATTTATGAAAATATTATTGTCCCTTGTTCTGAAAATCTATGATCGACATTATTCATTATAAAATGTTTTTCACAATTTTGATTTTTACTTCCGGTTAGGCCATGTTCACTGCATTTTTGGACTTCATACTAACCTGCAACGCCTTTTAACAGGTTTGAAACAATTATGATTTTACAGTGTTTCACTACAACAATTAAGCCTCATGTTAGGTACGGAGGTAATGAATATTAATGATGATAAGTGATTTTCAAATCGACCAATCGATGCGCTTGCAAGTGACCATTGTCATTTTTAGCGTTGGCACGCACCTTTAGTAAAAAAAATAGCCAGAGTGATTAAAGTACGATTTAGCAACAGTGTGTTGAACAGCAAAAAGTCGTCTTGGACATAACAAGGAATTAACAATGTACTCATTGACTGTATAACGTATCGAGTTGTCAATAATGGAATTACTATACACAAATCAAAGCTTTTCATTCATAATTGTACTATGTCATACAGTCGATCTTAAAGAGTTTGTTTTGACAGCTTTTAAGCAATAATGCGTGTTATTCTTGACTAATGGACTTACAATAAGCATAATTGGTGTTCGATGTAATATTCATAATGAACACCTTAATCGACCAACAAGAGAAATGAATATCTTTCACTTCAATGCACAAACACTCCATTCCCATTTACAAAATGTACAACTTAAAAGAAACCAAGAAAATACTATCATCAATAATAAATTATTAGTAAAAGTAGCTGAATGTTTAGAATAAAAAATGGTATTGGATATTGTGCAAGGACAACCTCGGCCTCGGCGTTGGATGTTTTAGATGTGAGGCCTCCGCTGACCCACCCACCATCACTAGTACTCTCTAAAATCCGAAAGAGGAGCAGAGGTACTCTGATGCGGATTCTCCACCCTTCCCTTCCTTCAATGGAATCCTGGCTGCCACTGTCCATGACCGAGCGCCTAGTTGAATTTCTCCTTGACGTTGTGAAAATCTTTAAACCTGTTTTGGAACGTTGTTTTCTTGGGAAGCTGGAAAACACTTAAATTTTTTTTTCAAAACTTATGTTACGCCTTTTGTTTCTTGAAGCCAATCCTCTACCCCTCCAAACATTTTCTCCATGAAATTATCCCTTCGAATTCGTCCTTTGTATGGTTTTCTATACAGTAATCTACCCCTGAAACTAATTGTGCTGTACTGGCTTTTAGCTAATTGCCGACTTATTAATTATGAAAATAGGTTAACTTGAAAGTCACCAAGAAAGGTATTTCATAAACAATTACCTTTACATAGTGTACATTATACAAAACGCCTACTACTGAGCAAAAGCCAAAACTAAGAGACTATAAAGAATCTGTTGGATCCGATGTCGCTCGTACTCCTTTGGGTTCCATAATTTTCTGGTGAGCGCTTTTATAGAATACACGAGAACGCCTACTATTATCAGGTCGTTACACCACATTAAGACATCCTTAATCCATAATGAGCTAAATCTTTAATTGATTTAGTCAAAGCACGTAGATATTAGAGCAACCAAAATATTCGGCTATGTCTTTAATGCATCAAAATCGCAAATCGATTGGGTTTCCAGCCAAGATTTTTGCTGTAAATGGATATAGATTTGATAATCATCATCACCAAAAACCCACGACCCTTCCCCATCTCGTAGGAATTTATGTTAATGTAGCTCTTGAATTGATCTTGTTACTATACCATTCATTCTCGCTTCCAGAACCTAGTTTTCTCAATGGAATTTAATTTTCGTACCAGGTTTCATTAGTAGCTACAGGTCTGAACTCTGTCAGCATCAAGTTTCCTCTAATTCCACAACCTTTGTTCCTCCCACTGGAAGTTAGATTAGATCTAGAAAACTGTGGCATTATTTTAAGTGATTACTCACTACATGTATTATGTTTCAATGCTATGATGCAATTGACCCATATTGTGAAATGATACCTGTACGGTTGAAATGATGCTGCTTCCAATGTATTGCCAATATGTTGTTTTGGATTTCGGGATTCGTTTTACTGTTTCGGATCGTTAGTATTTGTGTTGAGAGTGGCTTGATGGTGACCGCTGGGCACCTAGCAAGGACCCATTACATTGACCCATTTCCCATTCATGATACTTGGACATCCCTTTGGAATCTGGTCATCGCGAAGTTTAAAAATACATTGTTAGAGTATAAGTAATTACATTAAAAGAATTTTATGACATCTGTAATTATACAATGGACCAAGTCAAGGGATTTCCGCAACTTTTATTGTCAATAACACTCAAGCCATCAATGGTCTCCGAGCGATTTTAAATCAAACCGAATATTCATTTACTTTCTGAATTTACGTTTCTTTTGTATATAACAGTATTCTATTGGGTGTACGACTCGGTCATTCAAATCCCAGAGTACGCAGTTAAAACACACATTTTCCATTAATGGCGAGAACGTGTGTAAGACCTCTGATATATATAATAGCTGACTGAATCAATTTCAAAAGTGTTCAAATGTTAAAATCCTAGCAAATTATACTGTATTAAATCTACGAATATAAACTTTGTCGTAATGTTCCATTTACACAGATTTAAACCTTTTACAATCCAAACATTTATCTAAATAATACGTTTTGTATTACCATGATATCCATATCTATCAGATTATGGTTGCAACTTGATTTTCGATGAGTGATAGCTTCTTGCACACTGACGACTGAAAAGCGCCATGAGTTGCTCACGTTCTTCTTCTCGGCCAAAATGGATCTTGTCAGCCGCCCCCACCCTTCCCTTCCCTCCCAAGCCCGAAAGAGAGTTTTTCGGACAAAAATCTCATAACTATGATAGAAATTCGGGCAATCTCAGATATTTCGCCCCCTTCCCCCTTGGGCGTAAACCTGGCTCCGCCACTGTCGTAATGTGAAGCTGCCATAATTTGTTTACACTGGGTAGGTTGACAGCCTCCAGATTATTAAATAGTAAGGTCGATCGAGTGTTGGCTTTAGATGACCACAGGGTAATTAGTGTTATCAACAGGCACCTAGTGAAATCAATGAAAGTGTATAAGTCTAAAGAAACACGTGTAAATCATATTTTGGTACCCTAATAGCATCTTCACAGTGTCAAGTTATTACGAACTGAGTCTTATACTTGACTGCAATCATTTCCTTTCAGTACCGACAGAAATGGTTGTCATTAAAAGACATGAATCATGTTTAAATATACCAAAAATAGAGTTCCTACTCAGACAACTCAGACCGTTTCTGTCAGCTATACAGAAAGTTCCTGAAATCTCTTTTATTTTGTAGACAATCAGGGCACCTTTAATAGCCTCACCTGTAAATTTGATATAGAAAGAACAATGACGGCATTTCATATTTTTTTTTTTTACAATTTTAATTTTTTCTTCCAGTTGGGCCAGGTTCACTGCATTTTTTGGACTTTATACTGATAACCTGCAACGCCTTTTAACAGGTTTAAAACAATAACAGCGTTTCACTACAACAGTTAAACCTCGTATTAGAGACCCAGGTGATGAGTATTCATGATGAAAAGTGATTTTCAATTCGACCAATCGATGCGCTTGCAAGTGGCCAATGTCATTTTTAAGGGTTGGCACGCACCTTTATTAAAAAATAGCCATAGTGGATAACGTACGATTTAGTAACTGTGTGTGGAAGAACAAAACTTGAATAAAGACAGGGTAATTAAATTAATAAATTAACCCATTGTGTAGGTCCGAGCACGTCGAAGAACACCCGACAGTATAGTCTAGGAAATAAAAAAAATCCCGTATTTCTTAGGCTCTTTAATATACACTTCTGTATATGTATGATTTTGTCTAAAACTTAAGGTCTGGAAACTACTCCTGGTAAATTCAATTGCAGTCGAACAGGAAGTAAGACTTCCAGTCTGAGAAGTAATCATGAGATTAGTATCTGAAATATAGCTCCACCATCAGCTGACAAAGTACATATTTAGACGACTACCTTATAGCCCCTGAAGTGTGTATCAACACAAACAAGGAAGTGAATTATAGATCTATAAAGTTGCCCGATAACCTAGAACTTTTCCAACATTATCTATCAGAGTCTGAATAAATGTCTACATGTTTTGGACTATCAAGGGACGTATTAAATATACATGTAACAACAGACCCATTTGTTATTCTGATTTGAACCATACATAAACATGCAATGGGATTCAGAACGTGAAGAAAAATTTACTGGATCGATAGACCAGCAAAATAATCCGTGCATTGTAGCGTATAAAGGTTTGTTTTATGGCGGTACAGCAGTCAGGCAAACTCTGTTTTGCTCTAATCAGAAGAAGGTAGACATTTATACCTGTGTGGGAATTCTTTTTTGTTATGCTGTGTTGGATAAAAATTGCAAATCTATAGAATTAGAACATATATGTTTTTTGAATGTACTTTAAAAGGAAGGTTTTAGGTTATGCGTCTTGGGAAAAATAATGGAACTGAAACCAGTATATCAGTATTCAAAGATGAGTAAAATATTTTCATTGGGAAAGCCTTTAGGAGACTGTGTTGTCAACTAATATGCGAAACCGGAAGTGAAATATACCTCCAAAAATGTAATAATAGTCCTTATAGCATTAATTGAAATGAATTATTGTAGTGTGTTATAGAATATAATAATGGTCATTGGTGCCCGTATCACTTTCAAAACGACAGAAATACACCTTATTCTTCTATAATCAGGAAAAACGAATTTCGTGTGTGGGACAGCAATACTTTGAATACTTAGGATTAAAGTATCCAAAAATAGATTTGTCTTACCTTGCATTTTAAATCACTATGTAGAATTCAGCAACAGTGTATATAGAATGGTCTTAATATTTGTTGTCAATTGCATTGATGAGCAAAAGTGATTCTTATGCAGCATGTATTCCTATTACAGTATTAATCTTAGCCCTTTTCTCTTTACAGATTTCTTACAAAAATGTTCATTGTAATCATCCTTCTACTGCTGATCCATCGAGTTGAATTGGAATCCGCAAGTGAAAAAAGAATCAGGTGCTTGTTTCCAGATTTTCTACAAACGACAGAATCCAAGCCATGGATATTAAACCACACAGATCGTATTAATACTTATCATGTAGAGGCTGATGAAATGACTGTTAACGATTGCAGCAAAGAGACTCTCAAGTGTTCAAGTTACCGCCGAGAATGTTGGAAAATCGTTCAAGGTGATCGCTTCCTCACACGTCACATCGAATCCGAATTTACAGACAGGTTTCTGTGTTTGAAATTTCTACCTAGAAGTAAGAGTGTCATTCAAATCAGTACTTCTCATATCAAACCGGGAACACCCAACGATTACTTGTGTCGTGACCAGTGGTTGGCCCTAGACCCATGGCCTTGGATTTCACACGAACACTATTCACTGGATGATAAAACCAGTTGTCCATTTACAGGTGGTTACAATTTTGACATGTATTTCAATAGTGGACTAATGAATATTAATCATAAGTGTACCGATACTATACCACCTGTACGAATAGAAAGTGATTGTACAGAAGGCGAGGGCATCACTTTCAGATTCCGCAATAGAAATTGTCTTCACACTGAGGGTAATTTTGATCTCGTCCAAAAAACAACATGCATTGCATCATGGGAAGAAGGTGGTGATAAATACGCCATCTTGCGGAAAAACAATGATCGGTATTTTTGGTGTATCCGGGTGTTATTTTCGCCTAATGGCGACGTAGCGAAAATATTTGTGTTTCTTGATTGGGTTTGTCAGTCGGGTAACATCAATAATAACAGACTCAAATATTTACAAATGGACAAAATTGGAAAGAAAAACATCACTCACGAATGTACTGATGAATTTTACGCTTGTGAATCGGTGGGTGAATATTGTGCCACGGAGGTCAAGGACGTGTGTCCGAGAACATGCGGCCAATGCCATTCAAACGAAACCATACAATACTGTACCTTTCCACAGTCTATACTTGGAAGTTGGGTTAAAAGTACGTTACAAGGCAACGAAAAAATTGCCATCGAGAATTCTTCTTTGGTTTACGCCCAAATCGGAAAATTCCGATGCGTTACGTTTGACAAGGAAATTATTCCATTGCGACGTGTGTTATTACAAGAATTCTCAAACGGATGTTATCCGCGATTTTCGTGTCTGCAGTACAACACACCGTCTCCTAGTGTCATGCGATTTAGATTGAGCAAAGTTATGTTGTGGCCAGTGTTTCTTTCAGACGCTCGTATTTGTGACGATGACAACTTTAAGACATTGGTCGATACGGAGAGACTCGACATTAAGACGTCAGAAACGTTTCCGCTACAAAGTATCGTTCGCGAATCAAACAACGAGAATTACGTGACGTGTAATTTACCATCTTCCATGAAAAAAGTAAGTGCTTTCGTAGACAATCATGGAAAACAGGGATGTATCGTACAAGGGACGTTTTCCAAACCAAGAACAATATTTTTGTCATATATGCAAAATGGCGGCGTAACAGACACAATTGAGTATAGATGTATAGGCTCTGTGACGTACATTTCCAGTTTAAAATCCATTATAATTTCTCGACAATTAGATGCAGGTGATAAACAGTATTTCTGTTGGATTGTCCTGAATAAAAATGAAATCATTCAGGTGCCTGCGGCTTCGTGCAATACATTTACAGCTAAAGCAATCCAACGTGGTGACGAATCGTATTCAAACTTATTAATGAAACGACTTATATTGCAAAAGGAATCCTCGAATTGTGCAAGCGCTAATAAAACTATGGCTCATTTAGCCCAAGATTGGACGGTGCCTCCACCATTTTCCAAAGAAATTTCTTCAGCATCAGCTGCAGGAATCATAGGAATTACATATCCATATGTTTTAATCTCGGTGATAATGTTGAGTGTGGGATTCTAACAAATTATAAACTCATAGAAATAGGTTAACAAATAATCAATTCCAGTTAAATATAAGCAATGATTAATGTTTACATAAATACAACTTTACACTGTAAACAATAGCTTTCGTAACACGATAATCACAATATTTAGTTATCGTGTGATCTATAAAAGCTATAAAACGCGACTTATTCATTATTCACAATTTGAATAGAATAGCCAAGTGCTGATATGCGACTGGATTTTGATGATTTCTTCCCACCATTAATCTTAGCGGAAATGCTTTAAATATGCTTTATATAGATTAAAGGGACATGTTCGCCATCCGTTTGACCAGTCGCACTTTAGTCTCAGAAACATGATTTTTTTCGTTTTGCTAATCATATATAGTCTTCACGAGTCGTCTTCTATTGAGACTCTGCCATATATAGAAAAGACATGCAAATAGAAAGTGAAATTCCTAGTTTGAGGTATTTTTGAAGGAATTAAGCAATTATCTTACATTTATAGTACTTCTATAGACTATTTACATAATTATATCAAGACACAAATCCAACCTCAACAGTGGCGAACCATGGCCTTTATAAACTGAAAATAAATTGTGTTGTTTTCCATTCTTACTGAATACTTGTGAGAGCCATTCTCCCGAATAAATGAAACGTATATTAAACCGGAAAAAGAAAATTGCTGGTCTTGCAGATTTCACGATGCACGATTCCACTTCAAGTTCTTTTTGGTTATCCCTTTATTCAAATCTACATCTCTTAGATTTCGAGGCGGAATGAAATTATAAATTGTGAACTATGAAAAACAAGCGTCTGTAACTATAATTGGTGATGCATAATATTGTCTGCAACATATTACCATAATGAATGGCAGTCATAATTTTCCGGAACTATGTATGTAAGGCTTTGTCAATACTGTTATGTGATCACATGATTCTGTAGTCATGAACGACCAGCCATTAATTTTAAAATTGCCAATGATCACATGACAATTTGGACATTATCCAATGGACATTTTCCATTCATTGCCGTGATATGTTGCAGAACTTTTAAAGAACTTTGGCCGTTTGATATTGAGGTAAAGTAAATGACTATGACTATAATAAAGAAAACTCTTAATCAAACCAAAGATTCACCAAGACGGCTCCCTTGATTGTCTAAGATTGTAAGGTTTCATCATATTTTGAATGCAATGTTAATATGAACTGATGAAATGTAAATTATCAATTATAAGTAGGCTTTAATATTATCATGTTTTGTAAAATTTAAATATTTACATTGTTGTTATTAAAATGTTTATTATAAAAGAAGTTATTTTTATATACGCCCACATGAAATGGAGCGTATATTGTCATTACCTGTGTCCGTCCATGATTGCTCTAGAAAACAAAATTTTTGACGGCGTTCATGTTATATATCACTCACGGAGGGGCTCTTTCGAAAGAAATTTAGCTCGTAAACGCAAAATTCTGTTCTGAAGGTTTTTCTGTATGAAATGCATTTGGTAAGAATCTTAAACTTATCTTTGGTAAATCAAACATAATCAGACCAAGGACCTCGCTTGCATAGCATAAATTCATCTCCGCAATGTCCAATTACTGCGAACTGTGTCTTATACTTTGACATCAAAAACCACCTTTCTTGTATCGCGGAAGTTTGCAAATGCAGCAATTTCATTGCATTGAACACTACCGAATACAGCCAATCAGAAACAGAAAGTCTGTAAACAATAAGCTATAATATTAACAGTCTGTCGAGGGCTTTGATTGACTGTATTCGCTGATATAAGAAAGGTGGCTATTGCTGTCAAGGTATAAGACGAAGTTCCTACTAGCTTGACATTGTGAGGATATAGTCATATCTAGATCTGCATCAACTATTTAAAGTTTTAAGTATGTCTGGATTTGATGTACAGGAATACCATTCCCGGTGGGAATACCACTTCCGGTGACTGATTTTTTTTAATTTTGAGGTTTTTTTACTAGTCTGTAAATGAAAGAACAGACTTGCTGTATAATCAGATTCGAAATGATCCGAAAGAAATTCTCGTGAATAAAAATGGAATATTGTTACCAAGAAGCTTTAATCCAATAGCCAAACCGGAAAATACCATTAGCACATTACAACTTAATAACATTGGTAAAACCTCGATATCACCATTTAGAAAATTCCCCAGCCAAATAATTAGCGTAATATTGGAAACGTGCCAAATTGCAAGCAAATAACAAAAATGAAGTAAAAAACATGATATTTTGGAGGATACGGCAAATCAATAAGAAATGTGAGTCGTAGATGTTTTTAATGTAATTAAAAGATAAAGCTGGGAATAATGAAAATATGTGCTTCAGAAATTGGTTTTAATATTCTTAATACACAATCCACTGGCGCCCCCTCGATTTGACATCAGGAATTAAAACTATTATATTTCACAGCAAAAGGGATTAGGGATTAAAGAGATACGGTCGTTTAAATACTCGATTCACCAGCCAAGAGTGTGATGGAACGTGAATCCAGCTACCTCCATCTTCACAATGTCAAGCTATTACGAACTTCGTCTTATACCTTGACTGCTATCATTTCCTTTCAGTACCGACAGAAATGGTTGTCATTAAAAGACGTGAATCATGTTTAAATATACCAAAAATTGGATTGGAATACAAGAAATCAGAGCCCTCCACAGAAAGACTGTAAACATTATGGCTTACTCTGATTGGAGTATTCGCATTTACATAAGAATGGTGACAATTGCAGTCAAGGTATAAGACGCAGTTAGAGGTAGCTTGACATTGTGAGCTTATGATGAGCTACCAGTATCAGTTGGGCTTCAACATCTACTCCGCCTACGATTGGATGAAACAGAAATTGATTAGAATTGCGGAAGTTTCATTATTCAGACATTAAATTGATACCATTTTGCCCAACCGAATAATTGCTGGACGACTAAAAGTTATTGTTAAACTAATCGCAGACGAACCTAATTGAGATAGACGATGGAGACTTAAATTTCCATCATTATTTACAGGAGGTAATTAGGGTACCTAATTAGCTATATGAAGTGTCTGAAAGATTTTAGTCCCGTCAGATCGGGTGTCGCTCTGTTACGAAGGCTTTTGTCTTCAATAGTTTATGCTATTTCCAATAGCCCAAACACATATAGTGGGACTTTCCATTTCACTCCATTTTGATATCTCAGCAAATCAGAACACAATTGAAATATGTTTTATGGTTTATAAAATGGAGTTGCGTACCCTTATTAGTGAAACGATGAGGAACGTTTGATTTTAGAAGTTTATTAGGGCCCTTATGCATAAAACAGATGTGCAATTGTGACCAGATTGTTTTTGGCCGATGTATTAGTGACGAAATTACTGTGACCAATTTACCCTGTTACTCACTTTTTTCGCGACCAAAGTACCTGGTCACAAAATTACTGTGACTCAACTACCATATTATTGTGTCCAGTTCTATGTCACAATTTCCCTTCTGACCAAATTACTGTGATCTTCGGATTATTGTGTCAAGTTTTCTTGAATAATCAATTTGCCTGATCAATTTTTCCAGTGACCAATATCTTGTCCTCAGATTATTATGTCCAGTTTTCTTTGCGACCTTTTTGCCCTGTTCCCAAACTGCTGCAACCAACATTTCTTCCTTTTTTCTATTAATGTTCCTTGTTTTGTAGTGCTGGGTCACATTAATTGATATGACTAATATATACCAACACATGAATATTCATTAATGCTTTTTTTTAATCACATATCTTAATTATTGTTACAAAATGTCAATCATTAAAGTGAAGGTCGTGGTTAGTACTCAGGCATATTGTATTTATTTATTTATTCATCAAACAAAATAATTTCCTATGTAGTTTGATGGTAATAGGTCTAAATATATCAGTGTAAAATTGAGCTATTCAAAATGAATTAAAGAGACGGTGTTTTAAAATTTTATTCCTTTGGTATTTTAAATTATTATATACAGGGAAACAGATCAAGATATTTTATTTTATATTTTTTCTATGGTTAATTATTATTTTAATTCCAATATAATGGCATGAATATTAGTCCAATTCTCCACCCAAATTTTCGTACTTTTTGGAATTTTTCGACATTTTCGACATTTTCGGTGTTGATTTGTGTCATGGGTATATGTAAGTAGTCTTCAGAAGTTTTAGAACTGCATGAAAATCGTATAATCTATTCAAATTCTCAAACTATAAATTTTACTTTTTATTTCTATAGATGTCTTTTCTAATTCTGAACACACATGTATTTGAAGAGGCTTCAATTTCGACGATGAGCTGTGAATACTATTACCGATTAGTTTAGCTAAATTTCCGTTGCTTAGACCGTCGAACGGATGGTGAACCTGTCCCTTTCAACGATTTTCACTGCCATTTAAATTTACATTCCGGCTTTCACTCAGAAAGAAATTGACATTTTAGCTTTATGCCAATTCAGCTCTCTTTAATATCAAATGTTAATTGTTAGCCAATTATATTATATTATCATTACAGATTAATACAGAAAGAATGTTGCGCCTTTTTAGTCATATAAAGCTTTGAATATCAGTATTTCAGCAACTTCTCTCGTGTTTTTGTCTTTGGATATTGAACAGTAGGCCAATCCAAGGTAGGCCAATGCATGTAAACTGCGCAATGATTCTACAATCCCTCAAGTTCGAGGTTTACCATTTTCGGAGTTCAATTGTGCCTTGGTCTCAGAAACGGGAATTGTTCAGATAAGTTTATCAGTAATAGCGTTCACAGCTTACTTAAGCCTTCATTGATGACATTTTTGGAAATATGTCGTTGTCTACCCTATGGTTGAAGCTGTGGGCAACTGGATTTTCTACGATTGTCAAAATAACTAGCGGCATCAGACAGCATTCCAGTTTGGTCGATTTTAGCAACAAAAACTGGAAAATCGCCAAACGCCGTATTCATACATTTCGTCTCCGACATAAAGTTGAACACATTGTAGTATCTCTTTCAATGGCACTAAACTCCCATCATTCAGTTTTACTGTAAAAAAAAATATTGGTGTATTTTCAGATGGCGACATTGTTACCTAATAAGGCAATGTTTACAAATGGTTTCAACTACTTTTGGACGGCCATTTTTCTGTTATTGCCTGCTACCAGCTTTATTTTCATACGTATTTTGTTTACTAACTCGGCAATTGTCTGCTTTGTTCCATCCCATATGACGATTTCTATGGGACACTTTATGCATGAAGTTTGCTGGAACAAGGAAACGTATGAACCATTGTACCCAGTACCATCTAAAAATATAACCCAAGGCGAATTGTTGACTGAAAAACCACTGATTACATCTTACCATGCATGGTTCCCTTACATTCTGTTTGTGTTGTTTTTACTGTTTACGGTTTTCCAAGGAATGTGCCATTTGGTGAAGAGAGGGCTCGACTACCGGAAATCAAATTCGGACTCTAAACTTGGTGAGAGATTCCTAGCGGCAGAGCTCTCACAACGGATTGAAGAATTATCTTCCCAAAAGTTTCGAACGGTGTCCTTGATTTTTCTAAAATTTTTGATTTTTCTAAACGTTTTGGCTCAAGTACTTTACCTATTGTCAACGTTTGGTTCTAAAGAAAAAAATTCAGAGTACATGTCACCCGACGGAGAGAAACAGAATTACACTTACACTGACCAGGCCTTTCCAGAGAGTGTCTTATGTGAAACGAGGGTAAGAAGATTTTCCACTATCGAAACATACACAATACATTGCAATTTACCCATGAATGAAGTTTTCAAAAAATACTCCATTCTCCTGTGTTTGTGGTTCGTGCTGGTGGCAATTCTTTCCCTTGGTCATCTGATCTGCTTGATTGGCTTCTGCTTTCGCAAGAACTACACCAAGAGATTATTCTCGAAAGTTCTTCCCAAAGAAGATGTTCAACACGTACTGAAGAGGATCCAAGGAACCGATGGTTTGTTTATCTTGTGGTCTATCTACAGAAAAGAAGATTTCAACGTATTTAGGGATGTTGTCCAGTTGCTTCGAGGATCTTTTCAATCGGATACTGATGATGACCAACCTGACAAGAAAATGGCAATTGCTGAAGGAGTTCCTCAGATTGTGGTCGAACAGGAGGATCCTGATGATGGTAAACTTGATGTGCCGAAAGTATAATGAACTTTCTTCAAGACTGGAGTTCGTAGTGCTCATTAATTTTCCTTATTTTAATTTAGTTAGCACAGTTATTTCAATATTACTTCAAACTTCATTTAGGAAATTTTATGGCCGTTAAAGCGAACTTCTGGACAAATATTAAAAATCTGATTTTGCTTCTTAGCTGATTTGTTTGTTCAGACATATTGATCTGATTGTATCTCATGATGTTGACCTATATATAGTGGTAGCGGTTGTCGAGCGCGAAGCAGAGCTTACTCTTTTCAAAACACCTGATGGTACTTCTATTTGGAGGAATCTACTACTATACAATATCTACTCTCGATTTTGCCATACTTTGGACGAGATTTTGATTAACGGAATTATCTTGCTTGTACGGACTTTTATTTGATTGTTTCTCTTTTAGTCCAAAGGTTTGAAGTGACCTTTACGCAATTTAGAATTTCAGCAAATGCAGGCGCACCTTGAGCACTTTTTTAACAGTCAAAATATTGTGTTATTGTTAATTGATAAATTATGCGAACATGCCAATCCAATCACTCATATATACAAATACATGTATAGCCTACACAAACTTATAACCTTAGACTACTTGCTTATCTTACATAAATACAGTGATATAAACTTACTGCTATCGGGCGAATATAAATTAGTGGGAAGACAAATAATTTTGCCCCAAACCTTATTAGAAAATAGAAATTTTCTTTGCTATCTCTTGATCTATGCGAATAATAATGACTAATTTTGAATTAAATTTAAAATCGTTAAACTGGAAAAACTTGACTGTTTAAACTCGCGTACAATTTTAACACTCGTATATATATATCCTCCTTCCCCCCTTACATCTCTTTGAAATATATGTTGGTACTCCTAGTAAAAATGCTTCACCGTTTACGCCCCACTTGCTTTCGGAAGTTGCCGAGATTGTCGAATGTAACTTTTTAGTAAAGGCATCTTCACAATCTCAAGGTAAACGAACATCGTCTTATACCTTGACTGCAATAGACACCTTTTTCGTATTAAGGACGTTTGTAAATGAAGCGATCTGATTGGATTGTACGCCAGCTTATACAGCCAGTCAAATGCCTTGACAAAAAGTCTTTGAACACAAAGCCATAATGTTTGTGAAGACGAACTGGTATAGTAAGTAAGTTTGCTTCCAGATTTCTAGAGTAAACGTCCAAAATGAAAACTAGCAATTATTGAAAGATTCAGATTTATTTGTTTGTATTGTTGGGCCCTTTTTGACAGCATACATCAAAATACAAGATATAATATGATAATGTATATAAATATAAATATAACACAGCAATGGGTACATCATTTGATAGTGATTTACAGAATGCATTGATCAGTGTATATGGTATAACAAAAAGTGCGCTAAATAGGAAAAATGAAATGAATGGAGTTTTACGTCCTACTTTTCTGAAGGTAACTTCACGTAGTATGCAATGAGGAAATTTTCTGCTGGCCTGGGGCGAAAGCCTACTTTTTTAGGATTTCTAACTATCGAGGGATCTTTAACGTGTACAGCCTGTAGCACACGGGGCCTTGGTTTACTGTCCCATCCGATCTACTATAACAGGCACTTTGTTAACAAAAAAGATAAAACGTTATTTTATATGCTACACAATGCTACAACAAGTATGGCTAAGAGATGACAAGAATATAAAAATGATACAATAGTATGACAAATTAAACAAATTGAAAGCAGGGTTTTTTCAAAACACTTTTGGCGACAGAAAACATATTACACTACGAGATATGATGACAATATTTTCGTTGCTTTTTTTCAATCGTTTTCTGACTGGCTATAAAAACTAATGACGTCATATGGAGAGTAAAGAGTCACAAAAACAGAACGAAATATTATGTTTAGGATTAATATTTTAATCAGATTTCATCTAGCCTAGATAAAAGAAATCATAATATTATATAATAAAATAAGCACACTTATGTCACTTTTGGACATTTGTGACACTTTGCCAATTTACTGCCACCATTTAGGCTACTACTTGCCAAGGTATAAATTCCATGGCTTATTGTGAATTAGTCTAATTCACACAAGGAGCGTCCAATGCCATGTTTAAAGTCGGTTTTAAAGATCCAGTACAATCACATTCCATCCACCCGGTTTTCCATACTTTCGATATATCCGTTAGATCTTCATGGGTATAAAACCGTGGAGTTTTGTTCATATCTATCACGAGGTGCGACTCTTCACTCAATTCAGTACGAAAATAAAACAATGGAACTGAAACATCGGAACAAGAATTGCCGTCTGCTTTCTTAACGTTATATTCGATTTCACCAAATACATATTCTTTTAAAAATACTCCAACTGGTGGAATAAAATCAAAAGCGAACGTAAATGACTGGTCGTAAGTGATGACTGGAGACGTATCCGTAACAACGTGTAAGGAGTTGGACGATTTGTTGTACACGTAACGTTCGGGAGTTTTATAGGTTCCCAGTTCAACTTTTCGACTCAGAAACATCTCGAGGTGTTGTTGCAAATCGTTGAATTGAAAATTGATGAAAATTTTCTTTTTTTCTCTACTTCTTATGTCGTCTATTCTTGCAAGACGAATAAAATTCTCTCGATTAGGTTCCAAATTTTTAAAAACATCATGTTGAAAATAAACACTGACGCCTCCGAAATATTTTTGGTTTTCTTCGATTTCTGAAAACAGACTTTTGGGTGCTTCTATTTCAGGAGTAAATGTTGAACCTGGACGTGTTTGGGTTAATATAAAAATGGATATGGATCCAAGGCAATTTAGCAACAGACCAAACAAACATAAGCAGAAAATCTTCCGATTAAAAAGTTTCTTCACACAATTTTCGCAATTTGTGACGAAGAAAAATATGATCCGAATTAAATTTCCAAAGAGAATTACACTCGCTTTAGACAGTTGAAATATACTTAAAGACTCTTCTCGACACCCAGCTGTTAAAATGTTCAAGATTACCAGGGGCATTTCGCCCAAGAAAATAACAACCAAAGTCAATATATCATTACTATTTTCACATATTTTACTTTCCCACAACTGTATCCCTTTAATGAAAATTTCAATAATGTTTAGGAAAGTCGACAAAATGGCGAAAGCGAGAACTGCCTTTTGAATTGAGGGATCGACTGGTCCGAAGACTAACCCTTTCTTTAAGTCCTGTAATTCCACATAGAATAACCAATCGACAATAATGTCACATAAATTTAAAACTAGTACAGATATATAAAAGAAAACTTTACATTTCCCATTCTCATCCATGTTTTTTTGGTAATAAGTCGGAATTCCGTAACAATAATGTTCTTGAGTGTCAAAAATACATGGTTATATTACGTTAACACACATAACGTTCACTGTTATACAATTCTGTTCACAGTTCACTAAGAATACAGTTATTGAATAATCCGAAATGGAATAGTTTCTAAATCATATAACACAGTTATGAAACACTGCTATAACTATTACGTTATATAGCAACACAAGAAGCAATCTCTTTCAAAACCGACTATTCAAATCTTCGATTTCCTTCTTTTTTTATGTTCACATAACACACTTTGTTTTTTGTCAAAACGATCAATATATTGAAGTCTGTTTTGTATGTGTAGCCTAGTCCTGTTTAAATAAAAAAATGAACTAGAGCTGATCGAAGCCTGCATACGACTCTATCAATCAAATAATGTTACTGCTGTGAGGTTTAATACGTCAACACTAAAATTAATCTTGGAAAATTATAACCTTTGAGGGCAAAGGGGAAAAGATACTGAATGCTTGTATAGTAAATTTGGCATGCCTTGCATTTTTTGGTTTAAATTTAGACTTTGATGTCAGAAAATTGTAAATTTCTTAGAAATTTAGAGTAATACGAAGAGATTTAGAAGGGAAAGTAAAAGTGGGCAAATAGTTTTTCTTGTTGTATTAGGTTATAAATAGAAAGTATCCGGGGAAATAAATTAAGCTATATTAAACGTAAAATTACTAATCTATTTATATAGATCACTGGTAATATAGCCTGTCTGTCGTCTGTCAACCAGCCCCTCTGTGTCTATGCGCAGTATAGATGTCGTTAAGATTTGTATTTAATTGCATTAGATGTGTCAATGAGTTTGTCAGATTCTTTTTCTGGTGTAGGTTTAAAAACTGGTACGTTTTTCTGGTATTTCTGTCTCTTCGCCCCCTCTACTATCAATAGGAGAGAAGCTGATGTTGTTGTCCCCACTTCCATCATAATATGGTAGTGTTTCTCCTCCTGTATTATCATACCAGTAATTGTTGTCCGTTTGATTTTCCCTGTTGTCTGCTGTAGCTTTTTCTGTAACAGTTATTTCGCGTTCGATTACTTGCGCCGCGCTTCCACGACAATGTTACTCGGGATTTCGCGTAAACGAACGGCAAATACGAAATGATGCCCGAGTAACATTGTCGTGGACGCGCGGCGCAAGTAATCGCACGCGAAATTTGAATTGATCGCACTGTCCGCCATGTTCTTGTATTGCACATTGGGATACTTGCAGAAGTAACCGGCCCAGGTGGGAAGGTTTCTAAGGCCTAGCGCGAATGATGACGTCATCTCTAAAACAAACGCATTCGAGCTTCCACGAGTAAGCGCGGCGCAAGTAATCGAATTGGCAATAGGTGATGATGACACCCCGTTGTTAATAGACTATATGACCTTAGGAGATCAGTTTAACCTAGAATGAGATCTATGGCCAGTACAGGTATGTGGTGTTTAAATTTTATGGATAAGTTGTATTGATCTGGGATTATCTAATTGGCTCTGCTCCAATGAGGTTATGAATAATGTAGTGAATATACATATAAGAAGATAAAATGTCTTGGACATGCCAGTTAATTAAAAATGTTATGGATAGGGCAATTCACAATGAAGATTTCACTCGATTTCAGTATCAAAGTGATAGAATACACATATATTTATCGTACTCTTTCTACAAACAAAGCTGTCTTTGTCATTCTTCAAGAATATCACAAAATGGCTAAAGCATAGATGTGTGGTACCAGTGCTAAACCGGATCTGACTCAGATCGGCAGCACTATATTTCTTGCAATACGTAGTACTAGTGCTACATAAGATCGGGCAGCACTATATTTCTGTAATACGTGGTACCTGTGCTACACAAGATCGGATCCAGATCTGGTAGCATATGGCCAGGTCTGGCCAGTTTTAGCCCAGGGTTAGACAGATCTGCGCCAGATGAGCATTGCTATCCGGGTAGCCAGTACCTGTAAGCCTACCTGGAATGTTAAGCTCACGCATATTTTACCCACTGTTATATAATTACGTTGGCAGGCTCTTGACAATGTAGACACGATAGTATCCGATCTTAAGAAACTTTGTACATGAATCTATTCGATCTCGGTTAGGTTCGATATTTTAGTTATTGCTACTGATTTGGCTTGCAGACACGAGAGAGGCAACCGTTTTGTCCGATCTTATTTAAACTTTGTAATACAAGTTTTTATGCATGTTGATGCTGATGAGATCTGGTTTTTGATTTACTGTCTTTCAAATTAGCGAAACAGATACAATTAGCACTAAATTATGTATCTGATCTTGATGAAACTTGATATTCATGTGTATTTTATATTGATCTTGAACAAATTTGAGTCATTGCTTTTGAGTAAGTTAAACGTATTAGAGAATAGTAGACACGGTATATAATGAGGCTTGATTTTTTTCTGATCTGAATTGAACTTGGTGTCCTTGTGAATTTTGTTAAAATTTCGGCCAATTTATTTTTAGGTAATAAAAACACTGTTATTATTTCTGACAGTTGCCAGTTGGCGTATGTTATTTTGCATTACAAGCTATTTACTTTGTCCAAACATTATTGATTTGATGCAGAAAAGGGAATTCCAGAGTTATAAATAGAACACAATGGGAAATTCCATCAAGCCTTAATTAAATTCTCGGTTTTAGTTCTACACTCTATTATCCAGTTTCACTTCGTTTTGCTCTGGGTAATTCTTGGTATAAATGATTAAAGGGAAAATTGTCTGGTGAAATTGTGTCATCTAATAAAACAATCAGAACCTTTGGTTTCAGTTGACATGGAATTTGTCAACCTCAAAGATTCCCGTCTTCGGGGTGGAGCCTATAATGAATGAATTAGTAGTGTGTTCATTTGGTTTTCGTTTTGAAGCGGGATTTTAGAGTCTCAGAATCGTCAGAAATTTGGGGCCTCAGAGTTTTCAGATTTGCGTTTTTCGGATAAAATCTGAGCCCCTCTGAGTCAACTTCACCAAAATTCATGAATTGTCTAATGTTACTGTGGCGCGAGTTTTTATGCCAAATGCTCCAATAAATTTTAATGTTACGATAATTTATTTCAACCATTCAGATTTACTTGTTGTATTTTTTGCTATTTTAAATACACTTGACCACATTTTTAGGACTGAGGACAGACTGGGTGAGTCGATCGCCAGCGAATTTCGCCTATAGTGCATCGGCCAAGAGCATCGGCCGAAGCCATTCGCCAACATCAAGCGTGCTTGATATTATTCGCCCGAATATTCATCGCCATCGACTCGTTCTGCAAGTGTGTCCAATTTCCTATAACTCAACCAATCACAGATGTCCAAGTCGTCACATGACAAATAAAATGACGAACTCCAGGGATGCAATGTGGAGTGCAAAAAAGGAAGAGGAAATAATTATGTTATGGGAGTCAAAGTTTACGCCGTAAAACCAAAAGAACTCACAGTTCAATTGCCAGTTTTCGCTTCTTTCTGGACACCGCCATATTTTTATCATGTGACTAAGTGTCTTTCGCATGCGTAATTTAATTTGCAGGCGAGTTATCACCGCCGGAATTAGCCCAATGTGTTCACTGCGTCGGCCGAAGTATACCAGGGAATGAAATTGGCCCAGTGTGTCCGAAGCTTAAGATCATATCTTGAGAATAATATTTGCGATCTTGACGTCATAAGCTGATTTTAGGATCAAATTTTACTCCCACTTTTATATTCTTATATTCTCATGACACCATATATATTGCTTCAGCGAGTATATGAAAGGGAAGCTGATGCACCTAAGATGTCGGCCAATGTAGGACGGACAACACCAGGGGTCCACTCTTTTTAGACTTTTAACTGTCAATGGGGATCTTTAACGTGCACGGTCAGTGACACGTCGGCCTCGGTTTATTTATCAAAAGAATGGCTGGGCACTTTTATCGTGTCATCCACTACGAGACTTCAATGTTTCGTAATGGGCTTATGATTATTAAAGTGGGAACATGAAAAAAGTATTTTAATTTTCAAGAAATTATAAATGTTAGATAGGTAAGAAATCAACAGAATGGTTAAAAATGGCTAGAAAGTTTATCAGATCATCAAAGCGAAGACAAAGCGTTAAATTTGCGTCAAATGGGTGGAAGTTGAATAGTTGATCGGCTTCCAGCAACAAATCTGTGGTACAAACAACCTTTATTTTACACTCTCTGTCATAAAGTAATGCAAATGGGGTCAGTCCACCTCTTTCAACGTGCATGAAATTATTAGTGTCCGATTCTGAAGCGAATGATAAATTTCTGTGAGCACCTAAAAATTTTGCCGCCTTTTTCAAATTGAAATTTTGGTCTTCATTGCATATGATATAATAATATTGCCCCTTTCGATCTTTCAAAAATAGATTCTTACAAAAAATTTCGTCTGAATTTAGTCGATTTGGTTTATCTTTATATTTTGAAATTTTGTATTTCATGCCAAAACTGTTTAATAATTCTGCTAACAAGCATGCACCGAGATCTTCATTATACCTCGGAAGTTGTGAATTTATCGGGTCGAAAAACGGCAACCTTTTAGAAGACATCAGATCGAAATCATTGCGAATATATTCATTACTTTTTATTTTCAAGGTCTGAATTTCGTCAAGATTTATTTGATCGAAAGTGACATCATCGTCATCTTCATCAGAAGTGTGTTCTCTATCTATGCCTTCAAGGATGTCTTTTATTTGACGCATAGCTTCAGTTTCATATTCGTTGCACCGGAGATTTTGATTTGTAGCAGCCGATGGTGCGCGTGCTAACCCACTTTGTTGAGAGGTGCTCTGGTGAAGCAAAGAATGGGTTTTAATAGCTGAAACATCATCTTTCAAATTCACCTCAGCGAGTGGGATATTTTGTGGATTTTCCCAATCCTTATCACCAGTATTGAGTGAGGTGTCCGAGCCTGTTTCCAAAAGCAGGACATCAGCTTCGGTGTACCCTGAACACATTTGCATTATTTCATCTTTTGTCCCGATTTCCTCGTTTTCGCGACGTGTCGTGTCTATACGTCCAGGGTTTATTTGGCTATAGACTTCATCGGAAACTAAATTGATTCGTGGAACAGTGTTTAAATAGGATTGGAAGGTCGAAAACTTCCCAGCTTGACCTGGTAAACTATGACCTTTTGAGATAGAACATTTTGTCTTATCTTTGATGATAGTGAAAATATCTTTCAGCCAAGTTGAAGCAATGAAAGGAAAGGAATTAAAGTAAACGTTGTTATTCATCATATTGAGCAAAATCAAGGATTCCCCAACCGCCAAAGACCACAAGGGTCTGGCTGCGTTGGGAAATTCCTTGACGTTCCCACGATGCATTGTGTTGTTATCCATCTTGACTGTTGCTGGCACAACCAAGGCTTTTTCTTGAAACTTCCAACGAAAACTGTGGTGGAATCCGATAGCGGATTGGGTACAGTAATTTGTACGATTGTCTTTCTGAAAATATATAATATCATAAATTGGTTTTTAATCTTCAATTTTCAATTTTATGAATCAGCTTAAAGCTTATAAAGAATAGTCTGCCCGCGCCAAATAAAAATGGTGAATACTTTTTCAACTAGTTTCCAAATATCAGTGATGCAGGTCAAAAAGGCTGACATGGAAAATGCGCCTGGACAGGACAATCAACTGAATCCCAGTATGCTGCAGACAATGTACGATAATGATTTCTGAAAGTTGAAAATCGAAAAAGAGTAGGTTAATACCGCTATCCTTGTAAAGTATTCTCCATGCACACAGCAATTAAATTGTCCCTCTCCATTAGTACAATCTGGTGCAGACATGTTTGGCGCAAAACACCATTTGATTGCATTTCCTAAAGTGAAAATAAACTTACCTATTTTTATTGGAAGTTTTTCAGACAACAGCCAGTGAACTTTACCAATCTATTTCTTTCCTTACATCGGTAAGCTTATTGTTTCAAGTCACAGCTTTCGTCTCGAAAAGCTGCATTTTCCTCATAGGGGAAACAACTCTTCCTCCTTTTTAACATAGCTAGCCGCAATTCAGTTCCAGACTAGCTTAACCGGAGATACTTCAATATCTTAATAGCGACAATAAACCTCATGTATTATTGCCTATATCTGTAACATTTTTAATAGTTCATGATAGCTTTTAAGACTTCATATAATGAACACAGAATAAAATGCATCTTTTCTTAATCAGTTTCACTTATTTTGAAAATGTGTTAGTGTCACACTGGCACATTGTCACTTTGTCAATCAGTTTTTGTATCACTTTTTAAACCTTATTCATATTTAAAATTTTCAATTTTCAAATTCCTAATGAAAGTATAAAAGTAGCCTAATATCTTTATATCTTTTCACCACATTGTTAGTTGCCTATGAATTACTCCATATAAAACTTTTTCATTATGCCATTTTCCTCCATATCGAAAAGAATTCACAACAACTTCAAAACATTCTGGCTTTGTAGATTGAAACTTTCATAACATCTATAAAAGATAAATAAAAAACTAACGGTATTTATAATGAAAATATGTTGCAATATCATTACTCTAAATAGTAACTTGATTGGTTGGCAACATGACGAGTTAACGTAAAAATAGTAACTTAATATGTCATTTGCTATTTATATCATAAGGTATACTCGGCCTTATCAGAGATTGACTCGAGACACCTCAACTGATAATACCTCAACTGATAATAATGTTGATGACACAATATAAAATGCTATTAATAAATTTCAAAAGTGTACGAATTCAAATAGGATAAAATCACATAGATCAAATATTTCAGTCAATGCTCCTTTAATATTTCTGTGCGAATCCTCCCGGAAGTACCATCTGTGGCGACCTCTGAGAAATAAAACGCGTGCATGCGCAGTACATTGTATTTTTATTTTTTAAGGACGAAGAAGTGAATGAAAAATATAAATTTTCTAGGACTTGTAGTCATCACTTAAATCCTCCTGTCCCGTATTATATTTCTCTGAACGTCTATGGATCACAGAACACGCAAACGAGTTCGTGACGTGAAAGACAGGGCTAGACCAGGTCTGTTTTTTGTATCATAACGAAAGGCAAGCTCTGTGATCACTCTTCACCAGTGCCAGTTTAGTGGGTGATTTCTGACCACAGCCAGGGGCACAGGCTCTTGACGTTCAGTCAGTATGTATAACAGACATGATATGCTGACAAAATTTTCTTCCCATTGCCTGTACTTGATTGATTATGACAGAACGTCTAAAGCCTGGTTTCTTACACCGAATTTTTTTCTATAATTTTTACTAAAATTCAAAATCGAATTTTTAAATCTCGATTCTGATCTTACAAAATGTCCATGCATGTGAAAGAGGTTTGATAGTTTTAAACACACACTTCCCAGTCCTACACATTCATGTGTCAGTGAAATTTTAATTTTATGTGGATTTGAAATGAATGCTTTTGTGTTAGTAACAATATAAACATGCCTTACATGGATACTGGTACTAATGAAATCTTGTATTAGCAGATGATTTTCAGCCAAAAATTTTACTCTTTGCGTCGAAATATCTGGGAGTAAATTTTTTATGTTTTTAACTTTTTAGAACTTAGATCAGATAATGGCTGGAATAAATATTGTTACCATGAAAAGTTTGATTTAGACAAAGAAAAAATAAGGAGAAAAGACACTGTGCACAGAATAGATGCCTCAAAAGTTTCACATGAAGAATTTATAGAGAAGTATGAAAAGACCTACACTCCTGTTGTATTAGTTAATAACCAAAATGATTGGATGGCAAAGAAAAAATGGACGTTAGATGTAAGTTAAAACACTCAATTATGATATGGGACTTAACATAAACATTGCTCATTGTCTATTGCTCTAAATAACAGGATATGATTGCGATCATAGAATTATTTTTGTAAAGACCAAAATTCATGTTTGCAGTTTTGTAAAATTTCTATTAGATGAGCATGCATTAAAATAGTAGCTGCAAGAATTTTTTACCAAAATCATGTTTTGACAGTATTATATTATTTAGATAACAAATTGTATTAATATAAGAGGTTGACATTTTGAGTAATGGCAGCAAACACTTTCTATGGTTTTACAAATAGTAAATATCAGTCTTGAACAGTGCGAGCTGAGTATATAATGTAAACTTTCAATATTCATTTGGAGCTAAAGTGAATTGATGAACTCAAAGCTTTTTGATATGACCTAAAGATATATGGATAGGAAAATCAAACCATTGGAGCACCACATAAATTTTAATACCATAGGCCGTGCAATAACATGGCATATTCTCTTGAGTTTTTTTTAATTTCTTGTGCCATGAAACAAGGCTCTTATTTCAATACCTATATTTTTCAGAGACTAGCCAAGAAATACAGAAATCAGAAGTTTAAATGTGGAGATGATGATGATGGTTATTCAGTGAAAATTAAAATGAAATATTTTGTGGACTATATGAAACATAATAATGATGATAGTCCGTTGTATATTTTTGACAGTTATGGTGAGGTAGGTTAAATGAAATGATACACACACTTAGTCTTTTGAAATCACCAAAAGACAACCAACTGCCACTTAATGAAGTTAGTGCTGATACAAGACCATTTTGTATTTGATTTGATGACAAGTTTTGCTATAAATATTCACAAAATTTCTAAAGTTTAAGCAATACCATTTTTGTTGGTCAAAACCTTGGCTGAAGTGTATGAAGTTCAGTTCAATTTTGTCTTCTCTCTTTTGAAAGTGATATATTACCTTTGGTACCTGAGTCCAACTTTCTGCTTCAATTTAGGGCAGGCAAGGCCAAGCATAGTGCAATTAATTAAGAAAATTTTGTCAGAACAGCAGCATTAGTTTGCTCTTTTTTTCCATGTCTCAACTGACAGCTTTTACTTATGACTTATATTGCAGCATGCTAAAAAGAAGAAGTTATTAGAAGATTATGAAATTCCAAAATATTTTCAAGATGACTTATTTCGGTATGCTGGTGAAGAGAAACGACCTCCATACAGGTAGGCTTCATTTTATTACTTTGTCATTAATATACCTTATTGAAATATGAGGTTTATTATGCTTATATCTTGATCTTATAACTTATATAAAGATTGTTAAATTGTTACTTCTAACCATTAAGCTGTACTTTATATGTGTAATAGATACACTGACAGCTTCAATTTGTACCATTCATACTTTCCATCAGATGTTACATTATTATAGAAGTTCTTATTCTTATATAATATCCCTATCAGAAAAGCTACTTGTAATGTCTAAGGGACCTTGGAACAGCTATGCCATAAAATGCTAAGTTGGAGTGGAATTGCATGATAAAAGACAACAGACTGAAAATTGGGATGGTGTCCCTGATACATTTAATCGTTTGGATTATAAACGTAAAGGTCTTGACATTCATTGAAGTTATTAGAATTTTTGTTTTTTATTCCAGATGGTTTGTAATGGGTCCAGCTCGTTCTGGTACTGGAATTCATATAGATCCTTTAGGTACCAGTGCTTGGAATGCATTAGTTAGTGGTTATAAAAGGTGATTACTTATTACAATTGGTGGTGGTGAAAGAAATTCTACCCAATAATTTTTATATGCATGAAATGTAAAGCATATATTAGCGTCAAACTTTGACGTTTTGCCAACGATTAGCTGGATTCAAGAGTTCTCAAATTTGTTTGATTCTTATTTTGTTAAGCCTGTTTGAATGTTAATAAGTAACTTATTATATGTATTTGTATACAGATGGTGTTTATTGCCCACTGAAACTCCACGGGAGTTGGTGAAATTAAAGGGTGAGGAAGGTGGTAAACAACAAGATGAAGCTGTCACATGGTTTGATATAGTTTACCCTAAAACGCAAGAATCGTCTTGGCCACAACAATATAAACCAGTAAGATTCACAGGTTTTTGAAACTAAACAGACGTTTTAGTCTGAAATAAGCCAACCCTTACCTAGCCTAACAAATATTTTAATGGTAATGAATTAAGCACAAATTTTCACAATTGTGGCATGTGTTTTGAAATTATCTCCCCTTGGAAATCTCACAAATTTGCTGTGGAACATTTTTATTTTTGATGGTCTAAACATGTTGTTTAACTACTACAAATTATCTTTTGATCTAATACTCACTTATAACTAGCAATATATCTTATATAGGCTAGGTCAGGCTAAGGATAAATTTGTTTCAAGAAATCCAAAAATTTATATCACTAAAATTAGATATCGAATAGTTGAATAGTCAGTAGCTAGTTAGATTGTCATCTCCTAGGCAATTAGGTGCTGTGGTAATCATACTCAGGTAAGAACACTTCTGATGCCACAGTCTGTGCTGTCGAGAGTAAAATTCAATGTTATTTTCTGTTTAACCCAGTGGCAAAGTGGCTAAAAACTATGAGTGAAACAGGAATGCGATTGAGTGATCTGTAATTTCTAATATCTGTACGTAATGAATTTGTAGGTTTATAATTGGTAATATCTGCAGCACCAAACCACATAGGGGTGAGTGGGGAAGCACATTTATACCCAATAGACAAAACTATCTTAATGTCCTCTCATTCTCTTTTCTTTAGAGGAACTGGTTCAAAACATTGGCTTATTCAACATCTTTGATCAGGTACCCTGGTTGATTTTTAATATACAAAAAAAAAAAAAAATTTGTGTAAAAAAAATTTTGCTCCTTTTTTAGAATGAATCTTTTCTGATATTTTTTAGAAAATTAATATGTTTTTATGTGATTTCTGTTTTAGTAAATTTTTGGCTTATTAATCAGAACAACCAAAAAATGTTTAACATGCCATTTTACTTCAGAGATGCTGAAGCAGCCATTAGTTTTGAATCTGTTGTGGTTATATTTATATTTATGTAATTTTCAAAATATTATATAATTTGATCTGACTATATATTTCTAGCTGGAAATTTTACAAAAGCCTGGTGAAACAGTATTCGTTCCCAGTGGATGGTGGCATGTTGTAGTTAATTTAGAAGATACCATAGCAGTCACACAGAATTTTGCCAGTGTCACTAACTTTCCTATTGTATGGCATAAAACTGTCAGGGGTCGTCCCAAATTATCAAAGAAATGGTACAAAATTTTACAGGTGAGCTGACATTGAGAAAGTCTCAAATTGTTTGCGAGGGAAGTGAATTGTGGTCACGTGCTATGTGCTCTTGGTAAATTTCCTTTGTTGCACACTGCATGGCGTTGCTTGTCTTCATCAGCCTATTCTGGTGTAGAAAAGTCAAACATAAAAATCCATTTATTTATTTGACTTACTGAATATTTTAAAATCTAGAAAGATGTGAGTGAAGATTTGTTCGACGTTTTTAGATTAATAAAAACTATTATTTATATTTTGTCTATATATTATAGAAAGTGAGACCAGAGATAGCTGAAGTAGCAGATCAAGTTAAAGTATATGAACCAACTGGGTTTAATTCAGATAGTAGTAGTTCAGGCTCTTCTAGTTCCAGTAGTGATGATAGTTCTGATAGTGATGACTCAGAAGCTGCCAGTAAAAGGTATATAGAAAGTTTTTTGCAGAGTGACATTTGCTTTGATATCCTCATCAGATGTAGAAACAGTGGCATTCTTAGTGTGGTCTCCCTACCCCATCTCTAAAATTTTCAGAAGTCATAGTGATCTATTGAGTCAGATGCTTGCTTGCTAAGCTGTAGGTGCAGGATTTAATCCAGACATAGGTCGTTAATACCTTTGGATTTTTCAACCTGGTTTACGCCTTCAGTGACCCAGGTTGAATTGGCCGACATTGACATGGAAAAAGTGCCTAATCGTTCAGATGGGACAATAAACCGAAGTCCTTTGTGCCTCAACAGTTGGAAATCTAAAAAGAGTAGGCTAATGCCAATGTCCTGGGAAAATGTCCTCATTCACACTGCATGGCATGGCCCATTAGCCAAATTAGGTGCAGAGAAGGCATAACTTCATTTATTTCATTTCTCAAGTTTTTCATTTCACCAACTACATGCTAAAGAAGGGTTTCTACTAGCTTGTGGTATTATATTTAATTTAGATTGATACATGTGTTAACATTTTTCAGACAGCGACGCACGTCACCAAATGGAGGTCACAAGAGATCAGCATCAAAAAGTCCTTACGATGATAGACATGAACATTCAAGTCGCAGTGTTTCCAGTACTCCCAAAAACTACAGATGATGTCATTGTTACCACCTAGAAAATCATTGTTTATTCTAGAGTGCTTCATATATTCAAAACTGATGGAATTACCACAATAGTTAGACTGGATGAAATAGTCAATGGATTCATTCAGAGGAAATTTGATAGTGAAATTACTAGTTTGCTTACATCTACAATGTCAAACTATTAAGTATTGTGCCTAATACCTTGACTGCAATAGCCTTTTTCTTTGTATCACAGAGGTTTGTAAATACAGCGATTTGATTGACTTGCATGCTAGCAAAAACAGCCAATCATAACCCCCCGATACACAGTCATATTGTTGACAGTCTTTCTGTCGAGGGATTTGATTGGCTGTGAAATGTTTCAGAATGTAAACATTGGCATTAAAAGAGGAGTGGTTATCAATGAGTCTTCTTTTCAAAAATTACTCAAAATTAGCTGTAATTTCAATCCTTGTGACAATGGTATAAATATTCCAAAAATAAATCCTGAAAAAAATGGCGTACTCTATTTAATATAACGTGTTATTGCAATATTTTGATCCATAATGTACAAGGTGACTTCATTATTCAAGATTATTACTTATGTCTTTCTACATTCTCCTAGAAATTTAATAGTATTAAATAGTATCATTTTTATATATCCATTAAAAACCACAATGATAGTAGTGTGGATGTATTCTATGAAATGTGTTCCCATCGTTAAAGGTTTGTTCTTAATTTGAAATTTGTTTGTTGAAACACATTGATGTGTGAAAACTTTTAGGGTTTTGCTATATTTTCCCAATTTTTTCCAAAACAAATTCCTAAATTTTTCCTGTATAATTCCTTTAACTGATGCTTTATTTAATAACTCTTAACCAGAATCTAGGTCTCAGTCGATTTGGCATTTGAAATATATTGACAGTTGTGCTAAAAACCAACTTTAAAGCCATAAGTTCAAAATATAATGGTAAAATTTGTATCAATATTCAGTGTGTTTTATTGATGTGAATTTTTGTGATGTGACTCTTATTACAATTCCAAGTGTCTGTTTGAAAGCATAGAACGTGGACATGCTAACTAAGTATACATATTTATTATATATATTACAAATGACAATTTGTGATTTACAATAGTGTTCATATGATGAACTTCAATCAGTAGCATTAAGTATGAAATTTTAACTTATAAAGGATAGCAACGAAGAATTATACTTCTTATATTTCACCATTTTCAATAATATTACTTTTGAATTGAAACCTTCCAAGATATGGTTAAAGCCAATGTAAAATGAAATGCAAAATGTGCATTTGTATAAATGATTAGTTTTATCAGACAATTTTTGTTGAAGTGATACTACATCTTAGTGTGAACATAAAATTGTTCTCAAGAATGGTCAATATGAGTATATATTCATCAGTGAACTTACCCGGTGTCATAAAGTTACAACAGAATCCCTGTAAAATCTCGAAAATTCATAAAAACTAAACTAAGAAAAACGCTTAATTTTGATATTAAGCATTTTTCAATAGTTAATTGCATATTTATGGATAATTATTAAGTTTTTGGATTTATCGGATTATATAAGGTTCCTGTTATATTATTTATGACACCAGGTATATCTACTGATGACTTAAATGATTTTATTGGCCAAGTTTAAAATTCTGAAATTTTATGTTCATTCTAAGACGTAGTATCCCTTTAAATTGTGAACAGGCGATGTGCCTTAAATATTGAATAGTTATGACTTTGTATAATAAGTTGTAACAAAATTCTATTCCATTAATTATTACTGCAAATATTGTGTGTGTATTTATTGTTACTTTTAATATTATAAAAAATGTTTTTTTTTATGCTCACATTACAATGTGGAGGTATATTGCCGTTGCCTTTTGTCAATCCACATTATCTAAGAGGAGTTTTCAGAATATTGCATTGAATATGGTTGAGTTAATGTTCTTGGTTTGGCTACAATAGCTCATAATTGATTCATAAGTGGGATAGACTACATTGTTATCAGATTTTGATGAAACTGGGTATGATTATGCTTTTAGGGGTAGTTCATTATTAAAGTGGTGCCCTTTGACGGTCAAAACCCTTTGAAATTGATTGAGATGTGTATTTTTGCCCCAATATCTAAATTGGCTTGTAAATATAAGAGAATGTGTGCAAAAGTTTTTCTGCTGTGTTGGCGTATGTCTTTAAGGCGTCTGATCTGTAAGACTTGTTGAGAAGGAAATAAATTGTTTTTATTGTTTGTTTAAAGTATCTTGGTAATTCTGAAAGAACACCGCGGAAGTTCAATACCCCCGAAGACATTTATAATTCATCATCATATGCAGATGTAAAGGGGCCACTCTATTGGTGACCGGAACATTCAGGATTTGTGGATTCAGTTGGATATTTAATCAACTAGTTAATACACATGTGCAGACAAAAATCAAAATGGTGGACAAAGACTAGAAAAAGAATTTTAAATAATCTTATGTAGAATGCGATTCAGATCAAGACTTGAACAAATGGAACCTGTTGAGAACTCACCAATCAAGTGCCACCCAATGTTCCTTTAGCATTACTTTAGATAATTACTCACATTTATTACGTACTGTTGCTAAAGTAACATGGCGCCTCCCTAGACTATTATTTTCCTATAGCAAGAACCCAACCTGGAAATTATAAAAATGTTCTCAAACTGTGAACTTCTCAATTTCAAACTTGTTGATACAAATAAATCAATGATTCAACCTTGATCTATGTCTGAATCTATGTTATGTCAATGTATTCATTGGTGTGGTTTTGATTAACATGTAGATTCAGATTTTCAAACTGTGTACTTATGTGTTGGATCAAAAATTCAAGAACAGTATATTATCTAATCTTCAGTGTACTCAAATGGCTCAGGTGGTTCTGGTTCCTCTTCTTCTTCAGTCTTTGGACCCCCAGCAACAACAGCTTCAACTATCTCTTCCTCTTCTTCAGGTTTACGATTTTTCAACATGATTATTCCACCAATAACTAACTCTTTAACCGGCTTATACCTGGAACCTTCCACACTTGACAATACTTTTAATTGAGATTTCATAACTCTGACAGGGTTGTTCAACATCTGGAAAGATGGCTCAGGTTCCTTCTTCTTTTCTTCTTTTTCTGGTTCTTTTTCTCCTTCCTTCTTCTCTTCTCCATCTTTCTTTTTTTCATCCTTTTTCTTGGCATCATCCTTCTTTTTAGAGTCTTCTTTTTTCTTTGAGTCTTTAGCTTCTTCTTTTTTGTCATCATCCACTTCCATTTTTTCTTCCTTTTCCTCCTTTTTCTTCTCTGCATCTTTCTTCTTTTGCTTGGCTGTTATACTCAGAACAGCAGTTTCAACTTTTTCTTTTGCTTTGTCTTTCTTTTCCTCTAATGGTGGGATGTAGGCATAAGTTGATGGCTTGGCATTTGATCTGAATTCTAATTTAGGCATCTTCAGATCAGCATTTAATCCAATCAAAGTGGTTGGTGTGAAAGCCATAGACAGGAAGTGAGTCAAAGGGTACCAAAACCAAAATTGACAGAAGACCAACATTCCTACAACAGCCTCCATGAAAGTGTGTCCAGTTCTCGTCTGCAAATTTATGGTCATGTTTCTTCCTCCAGCATCAATGATACCTTGTGCTAAAACTGATCCAAATTTAGCCATGATGTCATCATGTTTGTCGCTGATGATCTTAGTGTACAGTTGACGGAAGTGGGCAACTTTAGGGCAAGTGTTTTCATTCTGTTGTACCAGTACCATAGCAGATGCAATGAGAGCTCCTTGTCGGACATAATTGACTGAGTCGTTGGTCATTGGTTCCAACAGATTCAATGCTTCTTTTAGACCAGTTCCAGCACATGCAATACCAAGTGCCATAGCTGCACCAAATCTAACATGTGGATTGTAGCTTTCAGATAATAAGGAAACTACACTGGGACACTGTTCTGGTGTTCTAAAGAGAAGGAATCCCAGAGATGTGACAGCAACTCTTCTGACATCATCATTGACATCACTGACAGCAATATGAAGCAGACGTCGAATAGCCTGATTGTTACCAGAACCACAATAAGCCATGGCAATAGTATACATTCCAGACCATCGAAGGATTGGATCTTTGTCTCTGGATAAGGTGTCAATTAATGCATCAGCCTCTTCCAACCGACCAAACATAGTAAGAGCAATACCAACAGCCAAACCTCTTAAAATCTTCTCATGCTGGGTATCTTGGGCATAAGCTACCATATCCTCAATAGCTGTTCCAGACTTTGTACCCAACATCACCAAACCCATAGCCAGCCCAGCAGCTTCTCCAGTGACAGCATCATCTTGATAAAGATTATATTTCAGTTGTTCATAGACATCCTGCCTTGCAGTGCCCATTGCTGCTAGTCCCAGTCCTAAACAGCCTCCATGTCTCACCATATCAGTTTGGGCATCTTTCAATTGGCCTAGTAAATAGTCTGTTATTTCTCCACCATGATTAGCATGAATAAGTCCTAAAGCATAGAGGCCACCACCTTCTGAATAAGCTGAGCCAGGAGAACTATCTTTTGGTAGGTATGATGCCATCAGATTCAATGCCTCTTTTTCATGACCTTTATGAATAACTCCTAAACTTGCTGTGGCAGTAAATTTTGCCCAATTGGTAGCTCTGGATAACCATTCTAAATTATCTCTTAAAAATTGATCTGATGTAGTACCGCAATTCATAAATGAATTAGCAATTACTGTGGCTGAATGGCAGATGGAATTGCGTACAGCATCTTTAGTATTTTTCAGAATTAGAGAGTCAGTTTTGTTATTTTTCACTAGAAACTGCAAATGTAAATAAATCGTTGTTTCTCCACCAAGAATTGTATGTAATTTCACCAATCTATCTTGTAACTTTTTGTCACTTTCACTTAGATTTTCCTCTTTGATTGGAGCAGGAGCACTATCTGATGTAGCTTGAATGGGTTTTGTCCCCTCTTCACTGGTATCCATGGCAGTATCTTTCTCCTTCTCTTCTTTCTTGACACTGGTGCCATCAGGTATAGGTGCCGGTGCAGCAGCTCTGAGAGCAGCCTGGATTCTTTGTCTAAATTGTTGCAAGGCGCTTTCATACAGATCAAAACCAATCTGGTAAGCCATCAAAGCAGAATCTTCATCACCTTTGATCAACTTTTCCAAAATGTCTGCTACTGATTGTGAATCATCCAAGAAAATATAACACTGACAAACATTTATATAATCAGGTGTTCCTAAACCCATATACAACTTAGTTAAAAGTTTGAGAATAGTGCTTCTAAAGTGGCGATTTTGTATCAAAGACATGCAAACTTTAAATCCATAAGTAAGCATTGCTTGGCTGTCATCAGCACTTTTAATGGCTTTCTCAAAAATGTCAATTCTTCTGGTTTCTAGCGCTATTCCAATGGCTTGTTTGTACATTCTGTCATCAAAGCATCGCTGGAACATTCTGTTAACCACTGCTTCTAATCTGGCATCAATTGGTTTTTGGTCTTCTTCAGAACTTTCAGCATTATGAACACGCAATTTGGTATAATGATCAATACATTTGGCAATGATGGTCTCCACAAATTCTGATTTACAGTTGACATTGAACAAATCACCAGCCCCAAGAGCAAAGGTAAGGGATTCCTCAAAGGCACCAAGATGATAGTAGACTTTCGAGGCCACTAACGCTGCCAGTTCTCTGTGTTTGAAGCCAGGATCTTCATATAGAACCTCAATTTTGTCGATCGTCTCCGAAATTTCTGCCCAAAACACGTCTACTATCTTATTCAATTTGTCCAGAGCGAACATTTTCAGTTGTTGCTCTGGTTCGTCAAGCAAGGAGATGACTCCTGCTGCGGAAGTTATGTTCATCCGCATCTTTATTATCACCTATATTTCAATACTTTCTATTATTTTGCCGGTGACAAAGCTGTTTTCAGAATGTAACCGGAAACAGGGGAAGTCCTGTTCTAACATGCGTGCGCATAGTCATATCGTCACGTTTCGAAAATCCCTTGGGTTCGCCGCATGAGTCGATACGTAACACAATTAAAGGTAACAGAAACTGTTAGTATTAATATGGCATCAATAAACTATTGAAATTATGACTAAAACATGTCAAATATAAACAGAAATCAGAACTTTGAATTGGGTTTTATGCAATTTAAGAGAGTTTTCTTTCAATACTTTCACGATGAAATAATGCGTGACAAGTAATAAAGCAAAGACAATGAATTGTACAATGCCAATGCCATGCCTTGTGCCTACCTTGCACAATAAGGGAAACTATGCTGAAACAACAGAGCAGAGGCTAAACAACAATTCCACACTTCTATTTCGATCCAGTCTGTCGCATATGTGGGTCTCATTTATTCTGCATGGGTACCGAAACGACAAAGAAAGCTGGGGAGTGTGTTCCTTCACAGGAATTCTCTCTCACAAAGACCCAAAATATATTATTAATTTTTTTTTAACTTGTAAAGCCCACTATGATTTTTAACATCAATGACATTTAAGGTCAAACTTTTTCAAAAACAGATTTTCAAGTATTGTTCACCATTGCATTTTGACATACGCCTATTTTAATGTAGGTTTATTCCTACTAAGTTAATAATGTTAATAATCCAAAAAAGGATTACTTATTATCCTGTGGATAAAAAAGAAAAAAAATGTTATACAAAAATGTATTTTATTGCAGTTCATGTTATGACTAATAAAGACTTGAAGTCATAATTTACAATAATAATAAATATACTAAAAAATAAATAACATCACTTTTGTCAATCACATTATTGCATATTGAGATAACCACTACAATCTTATAATCTAATATGAAATATATGTCCTTTGAGAATTCCAACTGTCTGGCAAAATTGGTTTCTGAATTACGACAATCATTTTAATGTGAACTGAGATATCAACTCAAAAATATTACTAAGGGTCTTGAAGAGTTGTTGAATTGATAAGTGGAAATGCGAATGAAATCATTTATGTTCTAAGTAGTCTGCTTAGTGACCAGTTTGTAGTGAAATTGGTAAAATAAATTCTGATATGTAACTAAATATCAAACCAAAAGCTTGAAACATTAAAAATCTGAAAAACTTCTACATTAAATAAACAAACATAACATTTGAAGTTTCTGATTGGTCAATGATGTCTCTCATTTGTGCCATCTATGTGTATATCTTCTCAGAAAGCACTGAAAAATAAATAACAAAAACCTGTATGTATTGCACAAAAAAACTGGAGGTTTACATCCTACTTTTCTGCATAGACTATAGTGTAGCCAGCATTTATAGTATATTTTGAGGTATGTTTGTCCAAAGTTTGAGAAAATTGAGTCTTGAATATATGTAAATAATCTTCAAAAGTACTAGAAATGTACAAAAATCGCATAATTCCTTCAAAAATATCTTGTTAACATTCAATTGTGAATAATTCTGGATGCACATGGATCTGAAGGCTCAAATTTTGACGGTGAGCTGTGAACTCTATTACTGATTGGCTTTATTCATGTTTCAAGGTGATTCGTCAAAATGGCGCACCTGTCCTTTAAGAAGTGGGCACTGTTTAACAGTTAAGAACAGTTAAGTCTTTGTGAAAATCTTAACCATTAAGTGAACCACTAATAAGGAAATTTAGTCAATTCTGATCGGATTTCAAATAGGGTTTTGCTCTCAAAATAAGTCAATCACTGTCTGGAAATTTGCCATAAAGCAGAAAAAGATGATTAGTGTCACAGCTCCATCAACTGTCAAATGCCAATGATGTTTTGATAATGAAAATGAAAATGACTTGCCACGTAACACTCAGTCACAGCCAATGATGATTTAAAGAAATAAAGGCTTCATCAAAAGATTTCAATTCATTTAAAGCTTGTTTTAACCTGGTATCTAAGTCTTCAGGAGACATTTCCTTCCCATCTTTATCGTGATGAAATATTGAAAACTTTTTATCCCATTGTATCTTATCCTTGTTGAATTGACAGACTTTTAAGTGATCACTAATTGAAGGATGATCCATTATTTCCCATGAATCAACTGGAGTAAATGCTGTTGTAAAGCACCATCTCTGAAAGAAAGAGTGCAAATAAATCAAAATACAGAAATTTACAAATGTAACATCTTGTTTCTGCTCCTTGAGCTTATGGTCTGGGTGCTAAATAAACGCCTTGTTTTCATGTTCAATTGTCACAACTTAATGTTTTTTCCATGTCAGCCCCTCTAACTAGCACTAATCAGGGAGAACACACCAACAAAAACAAATGAATCATTTCTGGCTATGACGGTATAGAACTTGACGATAGCATGACAACTAGTAAGTACCTAATGCACACCAAATTAGGTACGGTATATTATTTCAAGGCATAGATGTTAGTCTTTACCAGTATTATATTCTGTACATGCAACAACAACATTTATGTCATTCAAGGGCATCATCTCTAGATTTTTCAAGAAAGGGACAAAATTTAAGTTAGAACTTACATTGCATTTGATATGCCACTCTATTTTTTGTTTCCCATCCTCCAAGATTTTCTTCCTCTTTTCCCAAACATGTGTGACTATACCTCGATTGTCCAATAAGCTACAGCAGATATCACGTAACCACTGACAGGTCAGAGCTAAATTACAAATACTAAAACCATCTAAACATAGTAAAATGTATTCTATAATTTCAACTGGTAAATCCAGAAGTGGAAAATTCTGATCCTCATTTCCTCCAACAACTGATTCCTCATCAAACTTCACCCGAACTGGAGAATCCCAGTTCAAACCAGTATTTATGGTTGGAATCTTAGTTTCTGCCACATCACCTGAATAAGATCTGGAACGACTCCTAGATCTACTGTCATTAGGGGTAGTTTCAATGTTCGACAGATTTTGATCTTCTTCAGCATACTTCAGTCCAAAACTTTCTAACAAAGAACTATGAATGAGATGCATGTTTTTCAATTTGGGGCGTAGTTTTCTACAAGTAAATGTACATCCTAAATATGCTAATGGACATCTTTCTTCAAGCATTCCATTGAGACCTGGTTGAATCACATTATGAACATTTCTGGTATGAGAGGCAAATTCGTCTCTACGAAAATTTTGGGCACATAAAAAGGTGTACATGGATGACGGTTTAGATTTGAATTTGCTAATACATTCAACTATTAGATCTACACCTAGGACGTCCCGCAGTTGAATTTTTCGAGGGTCTTGTGAGTTGGAACCATTTTCTGGCTCTGATTCCTCTGGTATGACATTAACAGCTCCATCTGATTGAAACTCAACAGAAGCTGATCTGCTTCTGTCAGATTCACTCTCTGAAATGTGGATATCAACTCGTTTTCGTTTATCTGCTTCCAATTCACCTGCACTCTTTGGCACCATGTCCAGTCTAACAGTCAGTAACTCTGGATTAGAGGCATCTTTAGCTGCTCGATATAGTGCATTACAAATACTCTTCTGTAAGCCAGGTGGCATACGACCAAGTTTCCAGGGAGCATCATCATCATCAGAAATCCCATGGGAAGTATCTTCAGAAGTATAGTCATCAGATTCTACAGAGCAGCCACGATGATTGATAGGTGCTGCAGGATATTTCTTTGTGAAACTATTTCTTAAGCTATGTCTTGTCTTAGATGGGACTTTGAAAGAGTCAATAAGCATTCTCTGATCTCGTAAAGCCAAGGCAACATCTAATTGACCACAATTGACAGGGAAAGTTTCGGTAGGAAGCGCCATTTTGAAATTCTGTTCTTGAGAATGAAGTGGCCAGCGATTCCATTCTAAGGGACAACACATGACGCTAGCAGGGCAGTATTCAAGGTGAGCACCAATTTTTGATCTGGGCATAACATGGCGGCATCCATATAAGGAATTGGTACATGGAACTTTGGCTTTCTGGCAAACATCTGCATGTTCTCGAAGCTTGCATTCATGAAACCGAAATCCACAACCATGATCACAGTCTATAAGTCTACAACTATTAAATCCATCAGGGGTTATTGTACAGGTTTTCTTGAAACAATTGAAACAATGTTCATGAACACTACAATCCATTACCAGTGGCTGAAATGAGAAAATAAAATTTCATAAATCAACAAGAAGAATAATATCAACTACGGTATTTGACTATTTGTTCAATTTCAAGACATGACACAGATTTCTCAATGAATTTTGAAAAAAAAATTAACAAATTTATTATCAAATAGTCAAATTTCCAATACAATTTTAAACTTGAGTCCCACACACAAAGTCATTCTAAGCTTATCGGTAGGCTACTGTTAAATTAAATTAACTCGCAAAAGTGGGCAAAATCTAAAGAACTTGCTCAGACAGATAGAAGTTAGAACAGAAATCATTTGCGGATCCTATTCCTGAAAAGTGATGCTGACACAGGGAAGTTTACTGATTAAGTCAATTTATAACATTTTTGACAAATCATCCCATTCTGATAATGACCTACCTAGATTAATCAAGAAACTATAAGTCTTTAGATCTGTGCCGAATGCAGTAGAACAATGATAAGGAAATATTCACCTTATCAGATATAGATCATGTGAAATTGTAAGAAAATATCAATCAACACCATTTATTTGCCACTAAGCATACGTCATCTTCTAAATAAGGATAAGTTTTGCAACTGAATGATAGCTTGAAAACTTTCGTCCATAAAGTCTATTTTAAGTATTTAAAAATTACCTTACGGTAGAGGATATTTTCCATCCATTTTTCATAATCTGTTTGTACCACACCGACCTGAACAATAATCCAATTACCGCTTCCGGAAAGGCGAGTTCTCAATGATGCTCAACATTTGCGTACTAAAATATTTCTTAAATGTATTTATTTGAAGTAGTTCTTGATTTAATTAATAATTCTATTGGTTTTGAAGAAGAAAAGAGTAATTACACGATTGCATGTTCATTAAATACTTCATGAATTTATCATGTGGCTGTGTTTTTTTTATATACCAGAAATATTTTGTACGAAAGTTAAAAAAAAATTGTGGCGCATCATTATTGAATATAAACAGTGAAGTTCTGTGAAACCTTAAAATATTAGTCATTTTCACGAAAAGGTAAAGTTTGGGAATAAATTGGGTACTTTAAACACTGATTAAATGATTTCTAATATTAGCTTAGATAGTTGCCTAGTAAAGACCTCTCAACCTTTTGTTTTTGTTTGGTTCTATCTTCCGTTTTGTACCCTCTTCTCAACTGGTCTCTCTTCTTAGACTCTGTGACACACTGACAATGATCAATTTCCTGGTCCATATTAATACTCTTCTATTGGTAATATTGGTTGAGTATTGTTAATTAAGACTTGGTCCGATTAAAATAAAAAATAGTGGGCCGAATCGGTATAGGTCCGACACAGTAACGATCCCAGTTGGTAGTGTAATGAGTGGGCCGAAACGGTAACGGTCTGACCGGTCCTGATTCCACACAGGGTACTTCTGATTTGAATTGTTTACTTATCTATTGCAGGCTTAAAGATGACATTAATGGAGTTTTTTGGATGTGCTTTCATAGCATTTGGACCTCCTTTTGCAATGTTTATATTTACTATTGCTAGAGATCCTTTGAGAATTATTGTTCTCATAGCTAGGTATAACTTTATTTTAAAATTTTGATAGTAAGTTAAAGAATTAACGCATCACTATTTATGAGGATATCCTACAAGTCTTATGGATGGTGCTACAGAGTATGTAACAGATCCTTTATAAATCTCAAAAGACTTGGCAATGACATATTTCATTTCATATTCCTTATTTATGTACAGTTTTTGTACAGTTTAAAATGAGTCACTCAATATAAGAACTGATTGCCAACAATTCATATTAAATTATTAAATTTATTTGATTATTTCAGTGGATTTTTCTGGTTATTATCTTTGTTATTATCATCTATATTATGGTATGCAGTAGTACCACTAAGGACATCATTGGCATTTGGTTTGGTATTTTCTGTCATATTTCAAGAATTATTCCGCTTTCTCTTCTATAAACTCCTCAGGTAAAGTAACTACCCATTATTAATAATTGCATTAACAAAGGTAATCTTATGTCATATACCTTGAGAGATAGCATAGCATTATCAGATTATTATATTAGAGAATTAAAGGGATTGTAAAGAGGTTTTCTAAAATTGTATGTGATACAAGATTGCAAGCATATTTTGCGATCAGGATGAAATTTGTTTTTTCATGCAATATTTTTCATAAGAAAAACACAGAAATATATTAATCTTTGCTTATACCCTTGTATATATGTGGACTCTCTTAATTTGTTTGAATTGTTAGTATTGTGTAGTGTAAAAATAACTTTGTGAAAATCTTTTGTAGGAAAGCAGATGAAGGTTTAAAGAAAGTGAGTCAGAATGTACCTGATGAGCATATTACACCTAAAGATATCAACAATAAACATATAATGGCTTATGGTAAGATGATATGCATCGAGCCTTCTTTTTTCAGAAATATTATTGTAAACTTCCAATTACATTACATGAAAGCCTGCCTGGTCAATACTTATTTGTTCAAAAACTTATGTGTGAGTGAGAAAAACTGAAAGTAGACTACAACTGGAAAGGATATAACTATTTGCACACTTTTTCTACCTTATTTAGACCTTTTCAAAAAATGTCAATTTTGGACAATTTTTAGACAGAAAAAAGGCATGCAAAAAGTAAAAGGAGGGGAGGATATACCACGGACTACATCTACTTTGGTATATAATCATTAATCCAGAATTTCCTTATGATCTAAGGCCTTCAGTTAATACATGTGGAATTTCTAATATTTCAGTATCTGGATTAGGATATGGTATTTTAAGTGGTGCTTTCTCAATAGTCAATGTATTGGCTGATATGGCAGGACCTGGTACTATTGGTATTAAAGGAGATTCCCACTTTTTCTTCTTAACCTCAGGTCAGTGTAGTGGAATGTTTTCGAACAATAATTGGACAACCGAAAGTAATTGCAAAGGGGTTTTCTAACCATTTTATGGTTAATTTGCAAACCCTTTGAATACATGTAAGCTTCTCTTATCAATGTCAACAAACTAAAAACTTACCATCCTTGATTAAAATGTCCTTTAATTGTAGAGAGCAAATGTTGAAATGCCTACAACTTTTGTGGTCTTTTATTCTAGAGAGTTGCAGACGGCAGACACTGTTTATATGAGTTACTATTCTCAGATATTTTGTTTCTTTTTCAGCATTTCTAACTCTATGTTTTATCTTACTACATACTTTCTGGGGAGTGATATTTTTCAATGCTCTAGATAGAAAGAGATATATATTTGTAGCTGGAGTAGTGGCTAGTCATATGTTAGTTTCTTGTTTGGTGAGTTTATTTACTGATATTATTCAAATAAAATATCATGGCTATTTTCTAAGAATATTTAATCATTTGGTACTTTTATCAAGTAATTTGTAATGTTTAGTTAAGAAAAATATTTGTGTATGTCAGGGCTCTATGATACGATTCAAACAAATATACCGTCTGCTTTTATGAAGGTAGAATAGGTAGTAATTTGTTTGTGCATGAATTTGAATTAAACACAAAATTCACTCATCCTTTTCAGACTTTGTTCAATCAACAAGTGAAGAGTGCAGAAGGTGAAGAATTCCACACCAATGAATCCTACTATTTGATATCTCTAATAACAGCTTATGTAGTCATGATTGTCATGGCTTTCTTTGCTTTCATAACTGCTGGTGGCTCGTTCAAAAACATTCATACTGCTTTTACTTGTCGTAAAGGACGTTATGAAATGGACTAAACAATTCTGCAGAACAAAAGTTGGAATGCTCTCTTTGTGTCATTTCTAAATCGATTTTTCATTCATGTTTTATTGTTGTGCATCTTCACAATGTCAATCTGTTTTTGCTTGCTTACAATCCAATCAAATCTTTGCATTTAAAAATCATTGCAGTCAAGGTAATAGACAGTTTGTAAAAGCTTGACATTGTAAAGATGATTGTTATGTTATGTTATGTTAATCAAATCACAAATTTGTTCAGTACCGAGATAACAATTTTTTATATAGCATCATGAGATATTGAGGAATTTTTATAATGATCCTGCATTCCATTTTCAAAAACAATTGTTGGGTAGAAGAAGAAGAATTGCTATTATAGACATTAGCTTGTTTATATTTTCATTCATTAATTTCAAAAGATATTTTTGACTCCCACTGGTCATTTCAGGCAAAAAGCATATTTTTTGTACCTTACCAATTAAGCTTAAGCATGTTTTGAATCAGCCAGAATGTGCTCAAAAGATGGACATAGTCAGCTTTTGCCACTAGTTTTAATGTTTGATTTAATGAAGGCTCTCATTAGTTAACTGACACAAAACACAGTCCACTTCCAGATATTTATTATTTTGTATATACATTTATTGTATTTTTTTGTATATAATATTTGATGTAAAAAGTGATTCTGGTTCATAGAAATAAAGATTATTTAAAAATAATTATTAACATGCTCACTTATAGTTAAAGTTCTTGAGATAAAATTAGCCTGGCTGACATTCATATGACAGTTTCGTCACTGTTTCTTAAAAAAAAAACACTTGAGATCAGATACGTATTCTGCATCAATCTACTAAACAAAGCAGGACCTCTTACGCTATCAGGGGCTTATCTATAAAATGGCCGAAGGAGTAGGGGGCATATTGTGGTCTGCGTCCAGTTTCAGTAAGTCACGTGATGTAAACAAACGGGAGACAACTTCAGAAAATATTTTAGTAAGTTCATGTCGCAAAATCACTAAAATGCAATAAGATGGGTTTGGTATAAAGATCCATTTACAGAGGAAAGAAAAAATAACCCTGTCTTTGTTATTGTGCTATGTGTTAGATGGTAAAAAAAAGTGAGAGAAACGATGCAAAACTTAAATTAAAAAGTAGAAATATGAAAAAGATGATTGGCTACAGACAACAAATAATTCTTTGACAAAGTCTTTACAATCTCTATTAAAATCAATTCATTCAAATCGGATTTTCTATTTCACAGAAACTTAAAATGGATACAATAACAGCAGCTGAAGAAGAAAATGTATCCAATAGTTTAGAAGAAAATACCACAGCTCTGATGAATAATGTAGTTTATAAACGACAACAGTCTTATGAAAATTTTGTATCAAATTTCACTTATTTAACCCATGGTACAATGATTTACACTTTTACACTTTTATAGGCGTTTTTGAAGGAATATTATGTTTGTCATATTGTCTTAACTAGCTAGCTTGTGAATTTGCTTTACACATCTTAGTCCAATTATGTCACTCCAATTTCCAAAGTGGTCGTCTTAATGAGAATCATATCAGTAACTAGCTCTTGACAGTTTGGATTCTAACATTTTAGATGATATAAACTTTTCTTTTATCAATTAGGGTCTATTCTTTTTTATCTTATTTTTGTATCTGTAAAACAGATTTACATCATTTGCATGCTTGATGTCGTTATGGCCCCGCAAGTCTTACATTTGTTTCAGATGATATTGTGAAAAGTGAGGAAAAGAAATTATCAAAAAAAGATAAAATAGTAGAAGATAGAAACCCGATTAAATCTGATGATGTCAACAAAACATCTAGCTCTACTCAGTTAGAGATGAATGAAACAGTACCTAATGTAATAAATGAGGATGAACTGGAAGAAGAGGTATGAAATTCGTGAATATAGTTATAGTTATTTCCAAAATGTGGTCTAACAGAGATTTGTTTCAATGAGGCAGATTTTCAAATTGAGAGGCCAATTTTCCCTCAATAGCATTCTTGACAATAAAAATGGTTTCACCCTCAAGAAAAAAGTTAGTGCTGAGACATGCACAACACAAATGAAGCTTTGCCATTGGCTGCTAACTGAGACGGCCCTAATAGCCTTTGTTTTTACTTAAAGCTAGATTGTATCAACTGGCCATGTTTTCACTTAAAGCTAGATTGTATCAACTTGTTTAAAAGTAAATTGTTAGTGGTAATTTGAAACCTAAGGATTATAGCAATTTAATTCAATAAGTAAACTTACTCTCCTATATTTACTTCTGGACACCATATTGTAAGTTAATGAAATCTTGCAGGCATTAGGTGAAGATATAAAAATTCATACTGATGAGGCAGAAGAATCAAATAAATCCAAGAGAAACTTTACAAAGGTGAGAATTGAAAGTTGGAGTGAATTTAGCAGACACTTTGTATTGAATATCAAGGAGTGATATGCAGCATTGTGACTTAATCTTGATATGAAATGAACAATAGTTAGAAAAATGAAATTGGCAGATATTTTACATATCCTTGCTATAGATCCTTAAACAGCTGATAATGAGGTGGACAATTGTATGTATATTGTTAATAATAATGCCATAATAATAATCAAATAAATAATTATTTGTACTGTATAATGTTTTATGATCTTTATTTTTACAAATATTCTCCATGAATAAGTTAATTAAATCTATTTTCAGTTTGATAATTTTGTTGATAATGAAGATAATGATAATGATGATAATGATGATGATGCAAGTGATATTGGATCTGGTTATTTAGCAAGTTTTCATGAATCAGGTGAACTTTTTTCATATATATATTTTAGATAAACTACAGAATATCTAGAGCTTTATGTTAATCATCTTTATTGTACCCCACAACTATTTTAATATTAATCATTTTTATTGTACCCCACAACTATTTTAATATTAATCATCTTTATTGTACCCCACAACTATTTTAATATTAATCATTTTTATTTTACCCCCACAAAATGTATATTTCAGATTTAAAGGCTGATAGTGAGATATTCAAATCCACAGATCAATCAAAACAGACGCAGAAAGAACCAGCTTACAAAATTGTCAATCAAAATTCAGTTCCATCAGATCTAGATTGTGACATCAAATTAGCAGATTGTCCATTTCAACCTGATGAAAATGGATTCCTCCTCAATCCTGGGGAAGCTGAAAGGGAGGTAACCTCTAGAGATTTAAGCAGCCTACAACACACTACATATTTAGAATACTCCTGTAAATATGCAGAGTCAGTTGACCAAACAACAGAGACAGTTGATCAAACAGCAGAAGAAAGTGACAAAATAGTAGAAGTGAATACATTAGTAAGTGTAGAATTAATTTTTCAAATTTAACATACTATTTTTACCAATATTTTCTCAGTGACTCAATTTCTCATTTATTTTACTTTTCAGCCATGTACCAATGAAGTTGAGGAATTTAAACTAGATGTCAACTTTGACTATGATAATATAGTATTAACACCGAAATATACCCACCAAGAAATGAACTATTTAAACAGTTTTCGAGAAAACGCTGAGAAAAGTTCTTAGTGTAGTGTTAAAAAGTTCTCATAAATGTTTTCAAATTTACATTCCATAGGTCCTGTGCAAAGGCATTTTTTTTTCATTTGGCCTCCTATCTCTATGTCACAAAATCTCAAAAATACAACGTGTTGTTGCTCCCTCTGCATTCTAATAGTGAAATAAGAAGAGTAGAAAAGTAGACCTTAGTAACATTTCTGGATAGTTGTCATCCAAAGTACTGATAAACTGAGAAAATGTATGGAATATTTTGAGCACCATAGGATATTTACTGGAACAATACACTGAATAGACTGGAAAAACTTTCTTAGCTGTAACTCACATGTCTCCGTCCATTGTCACTATAAATTGTTAAATTGTAATTTATTCATTTTATAGCTTTTGTTAAATGTGTTATAGTAATAAAATTTGGTTGTGCCAATTAAAATCATATTTTTGAACATTGCCTTTTTTTAAAGTGGGAAAGAGGGCTGCATTTCCTATCAAACTGTCTTCAAAATAGATATTTAGGCCTATAATATCGTAAACGCATTAACATTTAACAGAATAAATGTGCTTTTCAAAAGTTATGAGAACATTGAATCCTAACTTTTGTAAATGTCTGATTTCGATCCCAAGATTGGACTAATTTCATTGTTGAACTAAGCAAGAAATTTATAAGCTAAAATATGTAGGTCAAATATGCATCTTTTATCTTAGTACGTAAAGCTCCATAATTCTCCCAACATGGTCTAACTATTTCGGATTATTCCTTAAATAGAGTTACTTCCCTTTAAAAATGGCGGAATCACAACGTTACGAATTTTGACTCTGGGACTATTGCATTTTAATTACGATCCTTTTCGAATGTAAAATGAACGGTAGGAGAATTTTAGAGTAACTTTCAATTTACAGAACATAATAAAATGAATCGTAACAAATTAACTTGTCGGTGACAGAATCTGCAAGAGAAATGTCACCTCCGGAAGTGAGATGTCATCGTGACCTCGTCTCAAGCCTATAGAAAAATAGTCCGAAAGTTTTGATTTAATTGTATGAAAGCTTAAATTCTTTTCATTTTTGTCGATTTTCTAATATTTGAAAAATAATATTGTTTCACCTGTTATTAGATGTTTATTGGATTGTTGTGAGATTTTCAGTTCTACTTATTTTAGACATAGAAACAGACATTATAACTCTTTTAGAGTGTTTAAAATGTCAACAGAATAATCCTAAATCTTTGTGTAGAACATTGATGACATTATCATCTCTTTTAACAGACAATGGTGAGTATCATTTCTCATTTTTCTTCTTATATGGTCACTTGAAATTACTTGGTGCAATATAAGAGGTTTCATTCAATTTTGATGGAAGATGGTAGGCCTACTCTTGGGAAAGCAAGTGTAGAATGTAGAAATTTTGACAGGACAGATAACAACATTGGCCTACTCTTTGGATCTTCAACATGCACAGATCTTAGAACACCCACTGATGCTGCTTCTAATATTTTCTTTACTTCTGGTACTCTATAAAATTTCCATTTGGCTGTTGTTTCTACTTTTATTTGACAAGGTTAACCTAAGTTTTTAGTAGTTACCATGTTTCTTTTTTGGTTGGTTTTTTTAGAGGAGGCTAAAGATGTATTTAGAGAAGAGAATGGAATTCAGTTTGTGTTTAAATTAATGACCAAAGCTTGTACACTAGAATTAAAACATTCAATTATGTTCTGTCTGGCTTGTGCAGTTGATAAAAACGGTGAGTTAAACGTTTACTCCTTTGAATGATACAGAATCTCATTTTAGGTCACCCAATTTTGTAATTTTTTTTTCGTGTGAACTTATGATTTGAGACATTTATCTGTTTTGTCTTTGGGATTTTCTCAAACTTAGGATGATCTTTTTTTTTCAGTTCTATCTCAAAGTGTAGTGAATAAAAGAGAAATATTTGATTATTTACATCATATATTGAAAGATAGTGGTAATGATAATGAGAAAATACAACAAACAGCTATATTTCTATTATTATGTATTGTAGCAAGTAATAGTAAGTATTGAATAGAATATAGTTTTATTTTTTTGGTCTCTCAGCTGATTTTACAATTTACTAAAAATAGTACTGTCAACAGTTGATCAAAGATATCAACCAAACCAACCAAGCAAAAGATATTTGGGCAAGTTTTGGAAGGCTCTAAGCATAAACACTATAATGTAAATCTCTAAAAAGAAAATATACACTGCATGGTATGTACTTGTCTGATGATGATTTCAAACTTAAGGATACTTTTGATAAACAGTTATAGAGTTATTGCCCTTGATATATATATAAAAAAAAATTCAACATTTGTTGAATAGCAGATGTATAATTCTTACAAGATGTTGTTGTTTTTAGGTGTAGGTCAGAGTCTAGCAAATGAAAGTCAGTGTATAGATGATCTTATAATGATATTTAGGTGAGAAACAATCAATATCCATCTGCTTTAGTTTACAAAGAAAATGACAGGCAACAAAAATCCTCCCCAATTTTACAAATGAACTCTTCCGATCATGCCCGTTTCTAGAACGCATGTAGGGAATAGTTCAATAAAAAGTATCCAGCCTTTAAATGTATCATTTAACCAATGTTTCTGATAATAAAAGGTTGAGTTCAAATATCGGAGGAGCTTACATGGAAAAGGCATCTTCTTGATCAGATAAGATAATAAACCAAGGCTCTGTGTACTACTGGTTGTACGCATTAAAGATCTCTGCAGAAGTTGGCAATAAAAAAAGAGTAGAATTATCTCTACATTATTGCAAAATTTTGAAATCCCACAAGACAAACCTTGATTATGAGCAGGAAGAGTTTCTTTTTATTCTTTTCTATTGATATTTCATTTGGTGTGAATTTGATATTATAACTGTTCATTTGATTTCAGAAAACTATTAGAAAATACAGCTAAATGGAAGACAAGTTATAAAGGTTTATGGTGTAGTTTAAATAGTGCTTTAAGTATATGTGTTAACAACCCTCAAAATGGTAGGTTTTATTATTCAGATTGGTGAGGGCACAAACTTTGTTTGTTTTTTCCTATTTTAAGCTTAGAAAAAAGACTGACTTGGCAAAAGAGAAATCTCATTATAATGCAGATTTTGATGTCCATCTGTAATCTGACGTCCATTGTAATGCAACAAATGTCCTAAGGCATTGAACTATTCAACCAATGAAATATAAATGACTATTATCAATCCTTTCAACAGTGTTTTTGATTGGTTACAAATTACATAATTTTTTTATATTATATATTTAGAAGAATATTGTCAGATCATGGATAACAAATGTAGTAACCAACAGATCTACATTTTTATAAGGTTGGCAAGAGAGCTTGTTGATATTTTATGAAAAATTATAGCTTAATTGAGTAATACAGCAATTGTGTACTCTATGCATAAATTATGTTAATTTGTATTTTGCAGATTCTAATCAAAGAAAATGTTGTATATTATTTCCACAAGCATTTAAATGCTTATCTGAAAATAATGATCCTGATATCCTGCGTCCTGTCTTGGCTTTGTTAGGATTGTCAGTGGCTAATAACGGTAATAGGATTCTTTTATTTTTGGTGCTCTTATTGTAGATATATAGCAGGCAGAGTCAAATATATTTCTACATTGTATGATGATGACATCATGCTTATCATTTAGCAATGTTCATGAACATCTATTTTCAAAAACATTTTGTGGTAACTCTGTGCGTAATAGGAAAAATCTTGTATTCGTATACATTGCATTACCATATGAATGATTTTCCTTCAGAAAATATTACACTTTCTTGAAAATGATTAGAAATTTGATCTTTTTTCTTCAGGCTGTAATCAAGATATAGTAAGAAGATGTGGTGGTATAGAAGTTTTGATATCACAAATCAAGATATGGATACAATTAGTTCATACTGATTGTGATTATCTTTCATTAGCTGTTAATGGTGTGGGTACATTAGATTCTTGTATCTCAGATAATGGTGAGTTAATTGAGATTTACTTGTACTAAAGTACGTATGACTCTTACATGGAAATTAAACATGCAGACGTAGTTTATAACCATTTTGAATTTCTACTTCAATTGTGCGACCTAATAAGTCAAATTTTTGTCACATTTAAAGCCATTTCTAAACCTTCGAAGGTTTTGCTGAATTGTTATGGCCTTTTTCCAAAATCGACTTATTAAGTCAAGGAATAGATTAAAATGGTTGTAAACTACATTCATGTGTGATTTTTCCATGTTAGAACCTTACATAGTTTCGTATCCTGTGTCCCTTGATGAGTAAATTGTGATAATCATGATCATGATGTTTTCTTAACTGTGATGACAGTGTGGTATCTTGTGTCTTGTATTCTTGTAAATTCTTGTAAATTCTCAGATGCCTGTTTATAGATGAAATTATGAGGTATTGCGATGTTGTATTTTTCAGATGAAAATTGTAAAGAGATGGTAGAATTGAATGGTATTGATGTATTATTTTTGATATTAAGTTATGATGAATTAGATAGTATTGAGAAATTACAGATTATATTGACTCTAGGTCATTGTTTAGATGATAATACAGGTATTGTTTACATATTGTTGTCATTAACTACAGCAAGTTATTTCAATGAAATTTCTTGTCGAAAAAAAACAAAGAACTATTGTGTTAAATGGACAAAACTCAAGAATTCAAACCTGTGCAGTCACTGTTCCTTATTACGATGGAAATTTCCATAACATAATATGTGTTCTACATTTTACAATACCCAAATTTACCATTTATTATATGTTATTATAGGAAACAGATATATAATGAAGACAAGAGAGAAAAATATACTTATACAGATTTTAACACAAACACAAGATGAAGAATTAATGAAAGCTGTAAAATATGTCTTACAGATTGGAGATAAAGGTAAATAAACCTCATCCACATATAAACCGTTTATTTGAGGACAATTTCTGTTGGAATTTTAAACCTCTTGTTGGTATTTGACATCACCTAGATCCCCGGTTCTCAACCTGGTGTGTGGCACTAGGGTGTCAGGGGTGTGGCCAACTGGTGTAGGAGTAGAATTTTATTTTGAATTGAGAGAGCACCTCACATCAACACATGCTGGAAAATGTGGATGTGGGTGTGAAAGGCCCAGGTGATTGCTCCAGGGGTGTGAAGGCTGAAAAGGGTTGGGAACCACTGACTTAGACTATAACAACCATTTAATTTGCTTGATAACTGATTGTGATTTTGGTACATCTTCAGTAACCTGTGAAGGAGAGGCTTTCTTAGTTCCTTGTTTTGATTGTTGCAAAACTAGAAACATGTTTGAAATAGTTAATAAAATATATTCAACTCATTTATTTGTCTCTTAAGCTTCTTACTCAATACTATTTGATTTTATACAGGAATTTCATCTACTAAAGAAAAGAATACACAAGACACAACAGATAAGTAAGTACTAGTACATGTACTTTAATGTGCCTTTTAAGAGCTTATAACAAGATATGATTCACAAAAACACTTCAAGCAATTTCTAGTCTTGAGAATGATTCAATACAAACTTAACTGATGTAGTCAGTATGCTATTTAGTTTTAAATCTATTCAAAAACGATAATCATTTTGAAAATGTGAAAACGGCAATAAGGTGCTCATAGCTACAACAAAATATGCTGGAACCAATGACAGTTTTCTGATTTCCATAAGAATGGTAACTTTTTAGAGAGCCAAAATTGTTATTAATCTATAAAATGTAATTTTTTTTCAGTGATCCAAACACAATAATTCTGCAGAAGATAGCTGAATTATCTAATAAACTAGACTGTATGGATACAGAGATTAAGAGTAAACAAAGTGAAGGTATTGATATAGAGTATTGGATGAATAGAAATAATAATAGATGTAATGATACAACTGTTAATAAAAGTGTAAGTTCCTTAAAAATATTATTTGTCTTCTGCTTATTTGAAGATTGTTGATCAAACATATTTTCTAAATAATGGTTGGTAGATGACAAGTTAACGTTCCCTTCCAGCGGATGTTGATATCGCAAACTAAGTAGTTGTTGGTAGTCGTAGTAGTCGATAGTTGGATTAGTTTTTTTTTTTCTAAATGATATTTGTAAAAGTTTTTATGCCTGTTGAAGTCAAAATAGTTGTTAGAGATTAGTAATAGTTACAGATAAGTATGTGATTACAGATAATACTAAGAGATTCAGACAGTACTGTACTCATACAACCATGTAAATACAGAAAGCTTTAATACTGTATTGTTCACAATTCAGAGTGAAACCCCTCCAGAATACAGCTTCTTCTCCCTCAACCTGCAGAAGTCCCTGCCAAATCACTGTGTATTCTATTGAAAGATATTAATTAACCATCTTAACTGCAATCCTCAAAGTCTGATCAAATTTGTTAATCTTTGAAACCTCTCAAAACAGGCAGACTATGCTCAATAAAGTTTTCTTTTTCAGTTTGAGAGCCCAAGACAATTTGTAACCGAGAAAACTCAACTCAAAATAGATTCTTTTAAACCTGATCATGACACATCATTGTTAACCAACCATTCTATACAACCATCAAAAGATGATGTTGACATTTTTACCAAGTTCACCAACTTCTTACGATCCAGTTTCAACCAGTCAAAAGCAGATGATTCTGGAAATGTGGAGCAATCAAAACAAGACAGTTACCATACGTCTATTTTGGTTACACATCCACAAATAAACCAATACCAAAAGCATTTTAGACCACCAGCAGATCCTAGACAGTCTACTCTGGATACTTTATGTTCCTCAGATTTTATTGAAAAAACACAAGCACATTACAGTTTAAATGAAAAAAAAAATAGAGTAAACTCAAAATCCAAGAATGAATTCAATATTACAGCAGATAATCTGTGGAACCCAGCCAAAGTTTGCTCCCCAGACCTAATTTTGACAGCTCATGAGAGATGTAACACCACTGCTCAAGCAGGACATTCAAGGAGAATTTCTACAGAAATGGGTTTGCATGGTAACAAAGATCAACACAGAAACTTGTCCGTGTCTTACCTCAAGTCACCTGTGGAGAACTGGCCAAGTCATATTAATGACACAACTCATCAAGGTATTCCCAAAGAAAGCTCATACAACTACAGGAACAACTCCACTGCCTTAGCAAGCTGTTGCCAAGACCACCATGACCAGAGGCAACTCACCCATGACAGATCAAAACCTGAAAACCATAGATTGTCTTTATATAACCAGTCCATTCAACATTGCTGCCATTCCACTCCAAAAGAAAACAGGTTTGAGGAACAGAAACAACAGTGTGTTCATCCAGAATTGTTGAAGATATCTACTGAGTCACCTATTTATCATGTAACAAGTGCAGTAGAGGCCAGTCATATTTCCATGATCAATATGTCAACCCAAACTCAGAGTAATATTACTGCTGATGCTGTGGTAGAAGATCCAGAAAAATGCTTCGCTGTACCAAATAAGAAAAATTTGTCAAAGTCAAATATGACAACCCAAACTGAGACTGCTGAAGATTCTGGGAGACCTGTTAATGTTGAACTGATGACTGTTGAGTCTAACCATCAACAAACTGAAAATAAGAATAGTGCCCTGATAAAAGATAGTAGCTCACAGACATCTAATGATATTGATGTTCAATGTATGATCAAGGATAGTTTGGGTGATGGAGAAATCTTTAAAAGTATTAAAGATAAGGAGACTTTGTCTAAAAATATCAATTCTGACCTTGGAGATGATAATGCTCTTGATGGCTTCTCATTAATGGATTTGTTTGATGGTCCAAAGGATTCATCCAAGACTTACAAACGGCAGCCCTCAAGAAGATTGACTATAAGTGCCAAAGAGAATGCAAAAACTGATAAAACTCAACCACAAAATCCTAAGAATAAATTTTCGAATGTGGATCTGATTCAAGCAATTTCAGAAGCCTCAACTGAAAAAGGTTCTGAAACATTTGTCAAACCAAATGTACCAGCCATTAGAAGGCGAATCCGCCACACACCTAGTTTAGGCTCCTCAGTAAGCAGTCGTCCATCTTTGAAACAAACTGTCCAGGATATAAAACAGATGGAAAATGAAGCTGAAAGATCCCCAGAGGAAAATTTTAGAGCCCTTTCTTGTCCTTCCCCTGCACTCTCTGAATTTGACTTCACTTTGGTGCAGAAGGCCAAGACTGGTAATTATTGTCAACAAAAGAAAACCGAAAGCACCAAACAAACTGAATCACACAGCTCAGGATTAAACAGTGCTGGTACAAGCTCACCAGCAACAACATCATCAACACCAATGTCTGTTAATTCTGCATCAAAGTTTTCAACAGAGCTAGAGTTTGAAAGGGACTCCTCTGGTATGTATAATTTCGTGGCATTCAATCAAAACACCAAAATTCAATCCACTCTTCTAGCTGCCTTTTGACTGAAATCCAGTTTGAACTGAAATCCAATCTTTCATCTTCAATTGAATCCCTTGACTGCAATTCAATCCAGTCATTTACTCCAATTCAGTCCTCCAACTACTGTTCAATCATTTAGCTGTTCACCAATCCTAAAAAGGGAAACTGTATGCAATAACCCTTTAACCCTTAGACCCTTAGAAGAATATAGATTCTTATCAATCTGCATATTTTGTAGATGATGAAAATCTGAATGCAAAAAAGATGTCACCATCTAGTGGACAACATAAATCTAGAAGAAAATGTCCAGGTAAAATTATAAGAGTAATATAACTGAAATTTAAGGACCTGATTTAATGTCTGATTAGTTGCTTTGGGTCTTTGACTTCCTCCATCATTTTGAACTGTTGCTTCAAAATCATCTTTACAATGTCACGCTACTATGAACTGTGTCTAATTCTTGACTGCAATAGCTACCTTGCTAATATCACTGAATGCAGCAATTTAAGTAAATTGTAATACAGCCACTCAGTTTTTGTAGATATAATTGGATTATTGCAGGATGTCAACCAGTAGAAAGTGGTGTAGTGCTCAATAGTAGAACATACAATATAATCTTAGAATCAAGTCAGTACACTTGCCAGTATCATAGAGAATTACGTCAATTGGAGAGAGATTATATACACAGTATTAAATTAGAGCAGCAAGAGAAGACCTTTTCTCGACCTCAATACAGACAGAATGTTGATGCATCTAAAGATGTTGTTCAAGACAAGAGAAGAGTCTATGACTTCTCCAGTTCAGACAGTGGCTCTAATAGAAAGGTAGGAACAGATCCTAACCTCCTATTATATTTTTCTCCACCTGAGGTCAAACAAAACCATGCAGTGTGCAATGAGGAAAATTTGTCAACGGCACTTTTCTAGTCCTGTTTGATTTTCAACTGTTGAGGGATCTGTAACGTGCACAGCCTGTAGCACTCAGGGTCTCTGTTTAGCTTGATTTCTGCTATCCATAACACTTTTCAGATTATAAATCCAGCATCTGTTTCTCATGCAATTCAACCATAACTGACGTTGTTTAGATTGTTGTCATCTCTATTTCAGATTTCTCCTCCAAATTCTAGTAGGTCCATAAGTAATATATGCAGATCTAAAACCTATGAAAACCGACCAAGAAGAAGAGAAAGAATAGCTTATACTGAAGATGAGATAGCCAACCTGGTAGATGGTGTTAGTACTATAGGAAGATACTGGAATCAAATATTAGTCACCTACAAGTTTCACCCATCTAGAACAGCTGTTGATCTTCAAAAAAAATATAAAAGGATGCAGGTATATTTTGATAAAATATTTCATACTTAGGTTTATCAATTGTTATTTTATTGGGAATCATTGAGCAGAATCAGCTGATGATCAAAATGAATAGCATCTTATTAATCTTGTATTAATGGATTGAGTGGTTAAAATAACGCTTTACCAACTGAGAGCTCATTTTCGCCCATCCCTGACAAATTTCATTAAATGTATCTTCTATGTTTCGGGACTTAAGGAACTTTCTAAGTTATAACAGCTCAATAGGAAGAGCTTAACTTAAAGTTTAAGGTATGTTTCCTTTCAGAAAATAGATAAGAAGGATAAAGAAAGACGTAAACCAAATCAATTTAGTATGTGTGAGGAGAGAAGATTAAGACGTGGTATAAAAGTATTAGGGTATAATTGGAAAGGTATACTCAATAGTTATAAATTCTCTCACGGAAGAACATCAGAAGATCTCCGCAATAAATGGAGAAATTTGAATAAACTTCATAAAGGAGACAATTAGATTTGAGAATTGTGGATAATCCCATCCATACCTTGTTGATTTTATCCTATTACTGTTTGTATTCTTTCAAAATATTCACTTACCAGCTGAGAAAACTGAATTTCAGGTATGTGTATCACTTTTCATAATTCAATCTGATGTCCAGTTCTTCTACAATTGAACAAAAATGGAAAGTTTAGATTAGAGAACTAGACTTGTATTGAATTATGAAAAGTTTTGGGGCTGAGTCTTAAAAGAGTGGTTCAAGTTGTCTTAAGAAAGTTGGTCCGAGTTGACTTAGTATTGACCTATGTCCTGTACCTTTTTACTCAGCTGGTAGAATCTTCTAGTATTTTAGCATTCAATTATGTGACTTCCTACTTAAATATAAGTTGGAATTTTAATTTATTTTGTTATTCATGTTTATGATCATGTTTGTTAAGCAACTTGCAAATGTTAATTTATTCTAAGTTATTAATTATTTATTGTTGCATTATTCTAATAACTTGTTAAAATATTTGTTATGATCTAAATTTGTTATTGTTAGTATTTATTATGTGTTATGAATAAATCTAAAATTGAGTCAAAGAGTCAAAGACTCTTGATATCTAAATCTGTTCTGCTTTGCTTTATTCATGCTGGTATATTTAATGTGCAGTTCTAACTTGGACTTGACAAAGAAATTTTACCAGAACAACAATTCAGATGACAGATTTAGCAATATGAATGGTGGCAAAGAGACAAACCAAGATCATTGTGAAAGAACATCATTCAATATTTAAAAAAATACTTTAATGGTACAAGATTAGAATATAAACATTGGTATATACACATGCAATTAATTCAAATAGACTGAACAAGCAAGTGCTCTGAATCACTGTTTCACATAGAATAAAAATATACAAAGTAAAAACTTTTCATTGTGCGAGTATTACTAGAAATAAAGGTAATGCACGTAGTTCAATACAATCCTTAGTTCATAAAGGAAAAGAAAATATTTTTACAGTAGTGCAAACTTTGAAAATCGTCATTTCATTTGCGTTACAGTCACTCAGTCACAATTGTTTCAATGTATTGGGTCATGCTGATTTGCATTTTAATTAAGATTGTCATAAGACACAGATAATCATAAACTTAAATTGTATCATTAGAAACTATCATTAATTAATATTATCAAATGTATATAAATATTGATTTCATTCATCAATTTATAAATCATAAATAATGACTCATTGACTGTGGACCTAATCTCTTTAATATTGCACAGTTCATAAATAAAACTTAAAACAAAGAAAATCTTCTATGCAATTGGGACCTTAAAGCACTTTTAAAAACAATCCACACTTCAAATAATAGATCAAAGTCACATCACTTGTAGGCAATCTTGGATGATGAAATAACTATATACATTTAAGATTTTAGCATTCATTTACTGTTTTTCTACAAAAATACATGTTATTTCTCTATTGTATAAAATGATAACATTCATGCCACTTTTAACCTTTGATTGGTTTACGGTACTACCAAGCTTTTGGCATTGTAAGTATGATCAAAGTTAAGTAAGAATTTACCCGTTGATATAAGGTTTGTTATATATAACCATTTGATTTCATAAGTCCTTAGATTATATAGATAAGATTATTATATTCATATATTTTAAAAACATTCAGAAAATATAAAGATTATGGAATGTTAATATACTGGATATAATTTGGCACATAAAACAGTGTTAAAATACAAGTATAACATGCATATAAAATTGGTCACTTTACCAGAAATCACAACATAACATCTAAAAGCTATCTTAGGAAAGTTAGGTTCTATAATGAATGAAACTATATTTGCTTCCATAAGAATACTCTGTAACCTTCTGGTTTAATGATGTTATAAAAGACCCTTACAACAGTATTTTCGTATGAGAGACTTCCACAGTCCCTTAGCCATGCAATAATATAAAACATTATGACCTATTCCAGCAGCATTTAAGGCTAATCATGTAATATATGTGGTTTCGAATACTAAAACTATAACTTAAAATCAAAACAAAGAGACAACTTTTACTTCGGTAAAAACTTTCAAAAGATAATTGATAAAAAAAATATAAGATATCCTAGATTTTCAGGCATACAAAAAGTTCTTCCATTTTTCATTTGAATTCACTGATGGAGATGGTGTAAAATTAGACCAAATAAAGGCTCAAGGCTCGGTATATCATAATATGGGAGGTAACTCTTAAGATCCATTAGCTGCAGCTGTGATTGATAATGTTGAATTATTTTTCTTATCAGAACTTTTCCATGGGTGTTCAACTGAAATGAAACAAAAGATTCTCATGATAGATAAAGTTAGAGAATCTTCTAAATATGCAAAACATACACTCTTTTTGCCTTCTTAAAATACTTTTGATAAAGTCAACCTTATTTGTAGGTTGTAATGGCCTGAAGCCTGTAAGGACATTTGGTATCAACTGATCATTGATCTTGAACCCAGTATGAAAACTAACAATACATGTACATATTCAAATCTCAATCTGTAAATCGAAGTCCAAAATCAAGGAAGTAGACATGAAAGCCTAAACACCATATTTGATCATTCCTAAAGAAAATGAATAAACAACTTGCTGAATCGTCCGAAATTTTTAGTCAGGAGAAAAATCAAAATCACTTGATAAGTTATTGTACTATAAACTAGAAGTGTAATATTCTGTGTACTAAAGTACCTACCTACAACTACAATGACTATGACAGCTATAATAGCTGCTATCACAAGAATTAATATACATGTCATTTTACAGTTCTGCCAGCATGCTTTACGTTTCAGTTTAGTTGAAGCCTTTCTGAATCCTATTGAACTAGAGCTAAGATCATCTGGAAATAAATCAAAGTTAGATTGACCAAGTAGTCTCTTTATTATACCATGTTTATATCGCATCATAGAAACAATAAAACATGACCTGAAATTTGCTGTTTCTCAGAGTTTCAAGCTATGCAATACTAAAAAACTAATCTATATCAGACTGTGTCCAATCTGAGGTTCAAAGAAAGGTCTTTTAAGACATAGCTGACTGAAATTCAAGCCAAAACCCTGAACAAGAACAAGTAGCATTGCTGTTATGAAATCGGGATTAAAATAAAGTTAGGAACCATTCATTACATAAGCTTATGCAACAGCCTGTCAAGCCTGTATGATATAGATCAAACTTTCTCATGTCATACCTGTTCTGTCCTGTAAATCATTGATCTTATCTCCTCTTTCTACAACCTTTTCTACATTATCTCTGAGTAGAGATGTCACTTCTGATACTTCTGTTTCCAGGTGACCTATTTTACCTCTACTACTATATCTACTCCTGTAATATTGTTTGAAAAATAGAAAAAGGGAATCAAAATTTGTAAATACATGTGAGAACTACCATCAAATTAAATTTTAAACCCCCAAATTATCCCACCTGGCTCATTCTAGGATAATCTAAGATAATTTTTGTATCATTAAGCGTTTATTCTTGTATATACAGTGGTGTAACCTATTTTCGTGGATATAAGGATTCAACACTGAATTTCGTCAAAGTTAAAAAAATGAAAAAAAAAAATTTATGTCTTAGATGTTTCCTCAGATATTCTACAAAATAATTAAAATTTGGTTTATTTCGATTTTCTTTATGAATCCTTCACTTTGACCCATATTTCATGAGCAACCAACTCGGCAACGGCGCCAGAATGTGTCACCTATTTTCGTGTACAATGTTTGATCTATAAATAAGTCTAGAAAAACACGTTGTATGGATACCAGGTGGTATAATTAACTTCTCTTAGTATTTATCTTTAATATCAATTCATTATAACTAGTGACAATTCTTTCAAAGAACCACGATTTTAAAAAAAAAATAGTGACTGACAAAATATGATAAGTAGCGTGATTATTGCTAAAAGTCACTGAAACAACATATGAATATGGTCCACTTTGTGTTCCATAGAAATTTTCTGCTGACACGGAATCCGCTGGTTGATCACGTGACTTCATTCGTTGGAATATATTCTAGCAGACGACACTTGGATTTCCGATTACCGCTTGGGATTATAAGGAAATTCGGCCGATAAAAAATGGTGACGTTTGGTAGTAAGTGAAATCCGCCATTTTGTATTTGTCAAAGTATACATTATTACACTTTACCTTGCTTGAAACTACTGGATTCATTCTACTAGCTGATATTGTAGAGAAAACCCATGTTTATCAAAACAAACTAATGCGGAGGTCGCGCAAGGTCGCTCATGTAAATTATTAATCATTTCCGGAAATCCACGAATAATAGGTTTCCACGAAATTAGGTTACTCGACTGTAATGCATTTTTTCCATCCATTTTTTTCCTTGTTGATGCAGGTCAGTGAGTCTTACATGCAAAAAGCATTGGACATCAAAAAAAAAAAAAGGGTGGGCCTTTGCTGCTGTCCTGGTAAAATGTCCCTTATTGCAGACTGAATGTTATTACCTCTCTTCAGCCCAAAGTGTAGCACTTCTAATAAGGACTAACATCGGACTCTGTTGTAATACATAAACTATTATAAATCATATAGTTTCAGCAACAAGCAAAGGCCTTCCATGACATCTTAGACTAGCTTACTTATTGTTAAAATTCATACCAACTTAAACATAATTTAAGAATTTCAGAAACAAATGCGCACAAGCCTATCCAAATTCAAATAGATGGCAAATACTTGAAAAAGTCAAAAAAATTGTCAACAAGAATCTTTTGATTTAATTAAATCGACCCTTTGTCGAATTAATTTACAAAAGAAAAAGTAATTTACATTTTGTCTTCTTTTCATAAAAACAATAATCTTCAGGAATAAACTTTGAAACCATCTGATGAATAATTTTAAGTGAACTTCTCTCACTTCTACTTCTTTGAGTTTGTTTACGTTTCTAACAATCACGTGCTTTTTGTCGTAAATTGGTATGATGTTGTGATTTATCTAATTTTATTTTACGATGAACAATTCTAATATATTAATGATATTTCCTTATTCTGATAGATAAGTCAATTTCAATGATTAGTGGTTGGATTTCTTGTGTTTTTTGGAAATATGTAATAATGTTTTACGACAATGACAATTCTTGCGCATGGGCAATAAAGTTCCCGATTGGCGCGGTCGGTCACCGAACACGTTGAGAAAAGTCGCTTATTTTGACAAAAATACAGAAAAAAATATTGTAAATATCATTATATAATTATTGTCATGGATCCAGCCAAATTAATAGAAGTCCTCCGTGCCACCCTTGATCCAGGGCAGAGGGAGCAGGCCGAACAACAACTTACTGAGGTAAGTATTCCGATCTAAAAAATTACCAAAATGGCAGAATGACTAACTGAATAAGAATAATTTCTTTTAAAAATAGACAGTTTTGTGATTAATTCGATTGTTTCCCGTCTTATAAGAGGGACTAAGAACAGGCTGATAATTATTTTTGTAGTTTAACATTTCAATATTTTGATCAAGGGCCTAATGTTGACTTGACTTGCACTCTTTTCAATTTCGTATCTCTGAATCGAAGTTTGGCCCACGTGCTTTTGTTCTTAGCTGACATATTTCAGTCAGCACATGATTCAATTACTCAATTTAATGGCAAATTGCCACCACTGACTTGTTTCTTAATAGAATTTACTTCATTCTTGTCATTATAAGATTAAAATGTTAAGCTAATAAATAGATAAATAGAACAGTCAATTTTATACAATTGACATTCCACATGATATACACTATGTTACTTAATAAAGTATACAGTTAATTTCATGTTAAAAATATTTTGATCTATAATTAAGTAAAAAAAAAACATGTTTTATAATCTTTTCTTAGTATTTATCTTTAAAGGGCAAGACCGTGAAATACATAATACTTCATGCCAACACATGAAGGAAGATGCCCCTTACCTTTCATAAAAGAAAATAAAAGTAGCGATCAACTTCATTATTTTCATTTCTCATCATTGTGATTTTGTGAATTTTGCTATAATGATAATAATTCATAATTTACATGTAACAAACAAAAGTTAATTGTTATATTTCTGATCTAAAATTCGTAGCTATTTGTAAACAAAACCTGCGCATGTCCTGAGTCTCGTAATTCCTTTCCCAGACGCTAAGAAACTCTTCACTAGAAAACACTGTCCTGGCCTTGTGTCAAATATGATAGAAAACTTAAAATTTGATGTTAAAAACGATTCCTGGGTGGCCAGGTACATTTATAGAAACTATATAAAGGGTTTAGATATAGATTCACGCATAAGTAGCGTAATTCTTCACTTTGAAAATAAACCAGTTTAGTCCTTTAATAACAATTCATTATCACTAATGCCAATTGCTTCAAAGATAAAAGATTTTGCTAAAATTTTAAGTGACTGAAAAAAGAAGATAAGTAAAATGTAGGGGTGGTTTATTGCTAAAATGCATTGAAACAACATAAGATTATGGCCCACATTGTCTTACATAGATTTTTTCTGCTGACATGGAACTCTTCTTTCACTGAAATATATTCTAGCAGACGATGATATCTCAGGTCTAGTGATTATGAAAAAAACAATATTGTTTTTTCATAAAAAGCAAAAAGCGAATCTGAAAACAGTGGTATTGGGTATTTATACACAAGGTGTTCAGACTTTTGTTTGCTTATTTTTGTTTACCTATCATTTCTTAATTGAGTTTCCTTTTACTGTCACTACAACTCCGTTAGCTGGTATGAAATTATGATTAAAATAATAAATATTTTCACTCTTGAAACAATGTTAAATACATTAGTTGTAGAGCAAGTAGGAATATTAATACGTATTTTGACAATTATTTATTATGTTTGATATTGTAATCTTTTAGATTCACAAGATCATTGGATTCTCACCAGTACTTCTTCAACTGTTAATGGGAGATCAGGTTGATATGCCAGTAAGACAAGCAGGTAAACATTTTATATCTGCATAAACAAATTTAAAAAAAACTATAAGTATTGAATATACTTTTGATTGGATAATTTGAAGAGTTTGACAATAATATATCTTCATGAACGGTTGGGTATCTGTATTTTTTTAGACTTATTTATTTTTTGATGAAAATTACTTATTTTGAGATGTGAATATCCAATATTTTAAGAAAGATTAGGTTTAGATGGGTTATGCTTGCTAACTGGTCCTCCATAGCTCTGTACTGTCAAAAAAAAAAAAAACCATAGAACTTGATAGTAACTTATGGTGTTTACTTGATTAACTTAGGTGCTGTTTACATGAAGAATATGGTAACCCAGTTTTGGGCTGACCGTGAAGCTGAAAACCCTGGTGATCCTGTACCATTTAGTATTCATGAACAAGATAGAGCTGCTATCAGAGAGAACATTATTGAAGCTATAATTCAAGCTCCTGAACTAATTAGGTATATAAAAAAGCTTATTCATTTCAGTATTTTGTAACTTATTTGGAATCTTAATCATAATGTTGAATTTACTATCCTCAAAATGAAATATCTATGCTCAGACTGTTATAAGATATGGGTTCCAAATCAACAGCAAATTGAATGTAGAATTTATTAGACTGTTCTTAAATTCAGTTTTTGGTGTAATCAAGTTCAGAAAGATTGTGTTCAAAGAATTTTCTAATTTTCACGAGTAATATGATTAAAAATAACATAAGTTGTGTGAACTCTCCAAAATTTATTTACCGACCTAGTAAATCTGTATTTTCTATGTTATAGATTGCAGCTATGTGTATGTATCAGCCATATTTTCAAGCATGATTTTCCTGGAAGATGGCCCACAGTTGTTGAAAAGATTGCTCTGTATGTCCGAGCAGATAATCATGGTGTACTGATGGGAGGACTTATGGCTTTATATCAGCTAGTGAAAGTTTATGAGTAAGTCAAAATGAATTAATTTTTTGTTTGTTGAAAATATATTGTTCTGATGGAAAAGGATTTCAGGAAAATTCCTTTTTTAATTCACAGATGTTTTTAGTCTCTTGTTAAAAAATAATGCATTCAAACCTGCTACATTATATACTTTTCTATCAATTTGTTTATAAGGTTTAGGAAATTATTTAATGAAACTGCATGGATTAATTGCCATAATATATTTCTTGGATCAAGCAAATTTATCCATGCACAGTTTCAAAATGAAATTAGGCAAAAGTTACAACAGTCTGACTACATTGAGCATTGAATTGAATTTGTTCTCTAATTTCATGAATATTCAAAATAAAATTTCAACTTAATGCCGTTTGTCTTAGAATGTTTTCGGGTCGATAGAAATTTAAGGTTCAGTGAATTTGCATTTGAAGTTGATTTTCCTTCCAAAAAATCCATGTGAAAATGACCTACTTTTCTGACTGAAAAAATCAAATATTAACTTTCCCAATGGTTAACATTTTGATCAACCCAAAGACAATCTTAGAACCTTTGTAAGTATTTTGTAATTGATATTTCAGTTCATATGAAAATAACGGCCAAATTTCAATTCAGAAAACAGTGTAGTCAGAGAGTAAATGTTTATAAGAAAGTCTCAGATGAAATCTGAATGTTTTTATGGGTCTCTTTCTCAATTGTAGATATAAAAGATTAGATGAAAGGAAAGCGTTTGATGATACCATGACAGCCATGTTACCTTTGTTATATGAAAGAATTGTACATTTGTTACCTGACCAAACTGAATTATCTAATTTAATCCAAAAACAAATTCTTAAAATATTCTATGCTTTTACACAGGTGAGTTTATTTGATGTAACAGTAGGTGATTAGTTTCCATTTTGATTTGATTTGATGTAAAAGATAATGGATGTCTGCCATTGATTTTACTTTTAAGGTATACAACCTGCATTGACATTATTGGGTTGCTCTTTACTACTTCAACACTTTTCAAAATAAAAGTTGTGAAATTTAACTCTCATAATTCTTGTTTATTTACTTGTAGAATTTCCTACCATTAGATACTATTACTAGAGAAGTTTTTACACAATGGATGGAAGTTTTCAGACAGATAGTTGATCGTGATGTTCCACCTGTAAGTACAAATTTTGCTTGAAAAATATCCTGATCAATACTGAAATCTCAAAATATAGAACCAAAGTGAATAGACATACTCTTCATTAAAGATTAGGAAGACAGTATAATACCTTGACTCTTTTGATTCTATTCCCCCCTGTCAATGTTACAAGTCAGACAGCTGATATTAAGTGAGGCTTTGTGTGATGCAGGCTGTCCATGTTTAAGATCTAAACAAGAGCTCAGTACTTAACTTAATACACTATTCCATTTCTCGTATTAAATCATTGTGAAAAATGTTGAGATATAAATGTCTTTGGTCTGTGAATTATTTTGACATGTGGTTAACATTTCATCTAAACTGTGTTTTTACAGGAAACTAATCAGATTGATGAAGACGATAGACCAGAGTTAGCTTGGTGGAAAGTTAAGAAATGGGCAGCACATATTCTATCTAGATTATTTGAAAGGTAATTACTGAAGTAAAAAGTTCAATTTTAAAAGACATCACTTTTATTCTGGTTCAGCACATAAGGTTCTTATAACCAGCTTGCCATGGTTACAATGATCAAAGAAGGATCTGTATCAAGAAGATTGACTAATTTGGTAAATGTATCCCAATGTTGTTTCTGTTCGATTCTATAGAGAATTGATTCAAATATTATTTAATTATTTCTCTCTATTTAGATATGGTAGTCCTGGAAATGTTACTAAAGAATATTCTGATTTTGCCGACTGGTATTTAAAGAGCTTTTCAGGTTTGTAGTTAATCTGGCTAATATGCCAATAATTAAGGAAATAATGAATAATACTTTGCACTAATAGTTCTATTTGAGATTCATGGTGTTGATATTATGTGCTTCAGAAGCTAGGCTATTCATACAGTTGTTAATTTTATGGTTATTCAGAAGTGTTGGAAAAGTTAAATATTAATAAGTTAATTTGTTAAATTTACTATTCAAAAATTCTATCCCAGGGGTCTTATTCTACAAAACTTAACTTAAATAAAATCCATATTTTAAGAAATACAGTAATCTGATTGGATAATAGAACTAAATTTAAAATCAATTTAAGTTATTGACCAAGATGATTGAAATACTGATATCTTAAATTTTTAAGAATAAGGCCCCTGATAACACAAATCTAAGGAATATAAGAAAGAGAAATGACATCATATTTGTATTCTTGTACATCTAATAAAAACAAAATATTGAAGTAAATATTCTGTCATATTTGTGTTTTTAGGTGGTATATTACAAGTATTTATGAAAGTTTTAGATCAATATCAACGTAAAATATATACAGCTCCTAGAGTTATTCAACAAGCTCTTAACTATATCAATGAAGGGTAAGTTTGACAGTAGTATACATTTTCAATTGATTTTACCAACAACTATGTGTTACATGGATTGAACATTAGGGTCCCGTTTTAGCAATATTGAAAAAATTTGCAGTTTTGTATGATTAATAATTTGTTTCTATTTTCAGTATTGGTCATGCCTTCTCTTGGGGTTTCATTAAACCACATGTACAGGTAAGTGCTTTACTAATAATCAATTTTCTAAATCTGACATTTCTTGGAGCATCTGATGTGCTGAGGGAAATCTTGTATCTTCGTACCTGTAATAGTATTGATAACGAAAATGATAAAATCACCCTTATGACTGTGTAGTTTGTAGTAATATCAAAATTGCTTATTTTATCACATACCCATTTGACAACAACTTGCCATGGTAGTAATCTGTACTTTGATTTCTTGTAGACAATGATATCCAATGTGATATTTCCTCTCATGTGTCATAGTGATGAAGATGAAGAATTATGGAATACCAATCCACATGAATATATTAGAATTAAATATGGTATGTATTCCTCATAATGACATATTGAATTAACTGGTATCACCCATATAGCTTTGTTAGTAGTCTGGGGCATTTGATAGGTTAAGAATTGAGTTTTGTACCTTTTAAACTCATTTGAACGTAATATGATTCAAAATGGATCTGTATTATGCTATACCTTGTATTTATCAAGATGTAAGATGTGAAGTTTACGGTATATATCAATTATTTGGGTAAATAGGTTAAATAAAGCAGATTTGTGTTAACTTTGATTAGCAAGATTACATCACAAACACAAGACATTAATGTTACTTCTGCAATTTTCTTATTTTGGGATTTGTTCCAAGCAACCCAAGAGCTGTTATTTTGAATAGGGCCAGATGTAGTAACCCAAACCAATTTTAATTTCAGATGTATTTGAAGATTTTTTCTCACCTGTAATGGCTGCCCAGACTGTATTCTATACAGCAGCTGCTAAACGTAAAGAAGTATTAAACAAGGCAATGGGTTTCTGTATGTCTGTATTAACTGGTCCTAATGTTGAACCAAGACAGAAAGATGGTGCATTACATATGATAGGAGCTGTAGCTGAAGTCTTACTCAAGGTACAGCTTCAAATTTTTTTCTTAAATGCGCAAAGCTTGAGATTGAACTCAGCATGACTTTTTCCATTCCTGTACTTAGTGTAAAGCCAAACTTTTATTACATTAGCTCTCACTGAAATGAACCAATTTGCCAGTAAAGAATGTTGATTTTATTTTCAGAGAAAAATTTATAAAGATCAAGTAGAACTGATGTTAACCAACCATGTTTTCCCTGCTTTTACATGTGAACAGGGTTATCTTAGAGCCAAGGTAAGTCAATCTAACATTCTAGTAGTTCCACCAAATTAGATATGTATCTTCTTCCTTAGCACTAGTAACCCTTCTGGCAAACAGGCAACACTTTTGTAGAGTCCAAATTTCAATTCAATAAAGTAGATTTTCTGTATGTTTTTGGGATGTACAAACTAGATACATTTTTTGCAGGCTTGCTGGGTTATAAGAAGTTTCTCCAAGTTGAAATACAAGAATCCAATGAATCTAACCAATGCTATAGAGTTAATAAAAGCATGTCATTGTACTGATAAAGATTTACCAGTTAGAGTTGAAGCTGCCATGGCTCTACAAATGTTGATTACTGACCAAGAAAAAGGTAAAATTTAAAACATGTAGAAAACTCTTTTCAATCACTTTGAAATGGTTAAATAAATGAATATTTAGTATATTTCTTATCAGCTATTCTTTACTATTTCCATAATTGCCATCTTTCTTTTGTTTTCAGCAAAGAACTATTTAAAACCCCATATAAAAGAAATTGTATTAGGTAAGTGTTTTTTCAACTACAGATTTTCAACTAAGACATTAATGTGCTTCAAAATACTTCTGATTAATTGAAATGTAGATTAATTTGTTAATCAGTTAATGTTGGTTTTTTGTTTTGTTAATTTTTTTTGTGTTATTTTTGTTTTCAGAATTATTGAAGGTTATTCGAGAAACTGAAAATGATGATTTAACTGGAGTTATGCAGAAATTTGTTTGTACTTATGTTGATGATATGATCCCTGTAGCAGTGGAGATGACAACACATTTAGTAAGTATTTAGTTGAAACCAGTGATTTAATATCCAGTTTACTCCAGTTGCTTTAGTTGTTAGGGGTTTCCCCTGTGAGTGCTGTAGAATGAGAGTACAGTAAAGAATTACATTAAATAGTTTTTTCCTCTATCCTCGACAGTTGAAAATCTATCAATAAGGCTAATGGGGCTCTTGGCAACATTCCCCTGATTGCAGACAGCTTTGCATAACACATTTTGTTAGCCCAACAAGAAGTTGTATGATTCCAAGGTTTAACTTCTATTATATTATGATTGTAGGCTGAAACTTTTGCCCAAGTCTTGTCTGGTGATTTTGATGATTCAGAAGAGAAAGCTATTACAGCTCTTGGTATTTTGAACACAATGGAAACTATTTTAAATGTTATGGAGGACCAAAAAGAGGTAAATACAGTTTGAATTACCAATTAATATGCCCAAAAAAAACAGTAAATAGTGCTCACAGTTATCTTGCAAACCTTTCCTTTCCCAAATGTACCAATGTCAATTATTTGAGCATTATAAATGTTTATTTGTAGCAATTGTATTGTTCTATTATAGATTATTACCCAGTTAGAAGGAATTGTGCTCAATGTAATCGGAATGATTTTACAACAACAAATGATAGGTAGGTCATAGGTTTTCAGATTTGAGGATTGTTTCTGTTTACAATCAACAGATGTAGCAAGCATTACTTAGGATCTTCAGGATAAAAATTTCAAGGAATATACAAATAAATTCCATTTAACATCTTTTATTTTTATGTTTTACAGATTTTTACGATGAAGTTTTATCACTAATATATAGTTTAACTAGTACACAGATCTCCCATCATATGTGGGAAGTATTTGGTATGATTTATCAAATGTTTCAGAAAGATGGTCGGGACTATTTCACCGGTAAGTTAAAGTTTAAAGTATCTGAACTATTTTCAAAGAAAAAAGGCTCATGTGAAAACTGACTAAATACAAATGCCTTGTTATAGACAAATTCATGATGAATCTGAAGGGATCTAAGGGAGATGAAATCGGACAACCTTGTCTAGCTGATTTCTTGCTGAATGGGACAGAGTATAGCTGCAACATGGCTGGTAACATACCATAGTAAAATCACAGAACTTGATTCTTTATGAACAAGATTGAACACAGTTCTTTATGAACAAGATTGAACATGGTCAATTATTTTATGAACATGATTGAACATAGTTCTTTTGTACAAGATTAGACTTAAATCTTTATGAACAGAATTGAACAGTTAATTAGTTTATGATGTGATAAAGTCCATGACTGTTGACTTAAACATAATTTATTATATTTTAGACATGATGCCTGCACTTCACAACTATATAACAGTTGATACTGAAGCGTTCCTAGCTAATCCCCACCATATACAAGTTATATATGAAATGTGTAAAGCAGTATTGACTGGTGATGAAGGAGAAGATGCAGAATGTCATGCAGCTAAATTATTAGAAGTTATTTTATTACAATGTCCAGGAAAAGTTGATCATGTAAGTATTTAGTAATAGGCCAGAAGTTATTAAGGAAGGAACATAACTAGCTTGACCAAACCACTTGGTACTGGTTGGTTTGTGTCTGCTACCTCTTGCCTTTACCAAAAAAAAATGTTAAATCTGTATCACCTGTTAGTTTCCTCATTTTATGCGGGAATTTCTTTCACAATTTCCGTAATGAAAATCTGCAGGGGTTTAAATATCAACACGGTTTCCCAATCAGTGATGCAGTGTTGAGGTCTGACAGTGCTACTCCTGTGGAGCTTTAAGCTTAGAGTTGAGAACCCTGTATGGTTCAGATTCTACAGAGAACAGGATGGCCTGGCAAATTTTCTCATTGCACACTGCATGAGGCCCTCTTTATTGGCGCAATCATGTAAAAAAATAAGATGTAATTTCTTTATGATCTATTTTTAGGTGGTGCCTAGTTTTGTAGAGTTAGTACTACAGAGATTAACTAGAGATGTACAGTCATCAGAATTACGTACAATGTGTCTACAAGTTGTTATAGCAGCCTTATATTATAATACTCCATTATTACTGGATACCCTGTCTAAAATCCAACTACCTAATGTCCAAGTACCTTTCTTAGCACAGTTCTTAAAACAATGGTTGAATGACACTGACTGTTTCTTAGGGTGAGTAAATAGAATTTTCCAGAACATTTAAGCTTCTGCTACTTAATTCATAATTTCTGGTTTGAAATATTCTATGTCTGTGGTTAATCATCTTCACAATGTCAAGCTATTACCAACTTTATACTTACACCTTTATTGCAACAGCCACCTTTCTAGCCTAGATTATACACCTCTACAGAAAGTCGAGCTTTTCTGCCTAGGACTCTGATTGCCTGTATTCGCTGACGTACAATCCAATCAAATCGCTGTTTATTCTAATTCAAGAACAACTTCAAAGTATTCAGTTATGGATACCCTTGATGAACTCTAATAATGCAAAAGTGCAATGTGACATTCCAGCTGTTAAGGAAGTAGGAAGAATTGACTTTTGTCTCAAGATATTAATGTGTATGATTACCAAAAATTAATCTTATATTTCAGTTTACATGATAGAAAAATTAGTGTTCTTGGTTTATGTTCGTTAATTAATACACCTAATACTAGACCAGAAGAAATATCAGCCATTTCATCACAGATTTTACCAGCAGCCTTACTTTTATTTAAAGGCTTAAAACGTGCATATACTAGTAAGTACAGATTGCTTGTCTGTTAGATGCTTGAAATCAGTTATATGGGTTTCTGTAGTACAGTCGAGCTTTGGTTCTTTACATGATATCATTTACTTAGTTAAGTTAAACAAACGGTGCTGCAAGTTCTAATCTCGGTCAGTGTGTGAAAGTCTGATGACCATGAATAAGACATCTTCACTAATCGACCAGCAGTAACAGTAAATGGGTACAGGTAATCTGGGAAATATCTATACCAAGAAGTTTGGCCAAGGACCAGTTGGTAGAAAGGATCCTTGGTGAAACTAAGTTTTTATCCTTGTAAAATATACTTGTTTCCATCATCCTCAAATACAACTCAGAGTTGAAACTGAAACGTGTGTTGTTATTTTTAACAGGTAGAGCTCAAGATAACAGTGACAGTGATAGTGATGATGATGAAGATGAAGAAGGAGATGGAGATGAAGGTCAGTAAAATATTGTCATTCATAAGATTATGACAAATGAAACCAAGCCAAAAGCAGCTGGAATTGACAAAAATAATCTGCAGTTTGAAAGATATGTCTAAGCATGAGCCTTGCCATCTGATAAAGCCTTATTTATCCTTAAATTGGTTGTTGGTTGTCCTAGAGACCTCTTTATGTTAACTTTCTAATTTATCTTAATTTACATCAAGTTAAATGTACATAGTGAATAGATCTGATAAGTCATAGTCATAGAATTACTGTATTGTTGTTGTAGAAGTATTAGATAGTGATGAAGATGATATAGATGAAAGTGGTAAAGAATATTTAGAAAAGTTAGAAAAATCTGTAAGTAAACTCACCTTCCATCAGAATAAATTTATTTCAAATCTTGTGTTTAATTTGGCTTTTCTATACTCTATGACTATTTTAAAAAATTCATTACATGTGGTGCACGAAATAGGTTTTCTTTCATGGGGCACATTTTGTAAAAAAAAAATATAAGAATCAATAAAAATTTCCTTGGTTTCCACTTAAAACTTGATGAAAATGTCAGAGACTTATGTTAATATGTCTAGGTTAATGGTGATGATACTGATAGTGATGATGATTATTCTGATGATGGTCGTGAAGAAACAGCATTAGAAAGTTTTCAAACACCTATAGATGAAGAAAATACACCAGTAGATGAATATATAGGCTTTAAAAATATTTTAATTCGTAAGTACCATTTCAAACACAAACAATACACTTAAATGATAAATGGATATATTATGTTTAAGTTGTCCAAGCAAAATCTATTTTGTGTTCAGTTATTCTATAGATATCTTCTAGATTAAAATGCAATAATAAATAAATTGTAGATTTACAACAAAGTGATCCTAATTGGTATAATGCCCTAACATCTGGATTAGATAATGAACAGAGAAAAGAACTGGAAGATGTTTTTAAATTGGCAGATCAGAGAAGAGCAGTAGCAGGTAATGTACAGGTTTTTAACCCAGATGGATATTAAGGAAGATACTGTGTTCAATACCTCTTGTATTTACTACTTTAAAATGTCGTGTAATTAAAAAAAAAGTGTTGCACCAATTTTCAGAACTTCTCAAACCTTCACCTTGACGTAAAAAAACATGGCCACAACTTCCAATTTGGTTCTTAAAAATGCAGAACCCCATAAACTCATGTTATACAATTTTTCTTTTTAGAATCGAAACAAATTGAAGAAAGAGGAGGTTATAGTTTTACTACGACATCAGTGCCACAAAGTTTTAATTTTGGTGGAAATTGAATATCCTAAAGTGTGATAAACAAAATCATAGACAAGCTTTGAATGTTTACATAACAAAAATAACGCAGCAAATGAAAGCACCTCAGTTTGAGAGGACAATAAACAATGTGTGATAGTGACTCGTTGAAATACAAACTAATGTTTGCTTCCAGCTAGATTCCTTTACTATCACTGCTAGTCGGACTTCAGTTGCTGCTTTATGTTTGGCCATGTTTAATCAACAACCACACGGGCAACTTATTCCATTGAACGACGCTAATCCAATATATTTGTTTTCCATAATATGTGACTGTTCGTCTGTGATAGTAGCTAACTAGGTTGGACAACTTCAAGTGATATCATTATTACCTTTATCAACTAGAGAGTTATTATGAAGAGCAGATAATTCTGAACACCAAGATTTTGTTTCGTCCGTCGTGTGTGTTATTCTTCGTGTTTTTGTGGCTATGTTTTCAACCTTACATACTATTTATTTTGTTACTGGCATGAAAATATCTTTCAACCCCAAATTTTGTTCCAACTCCTGCTTGTTTTAATATTATTTCAAGCTTTTGTAATCCCATATTTCCTTTGTTTCCATCATCCTTATATTTTCTTAAACAGCTTTCATCATTTGTAAGCTTATACATTACAGTCAAAATATGTGAACTCTCAGAAATGATATTAAGCAGAATTCTTAGATTATCTTTAGAGGAATGAAAAGAGATTTTGTATGTGTGTTTGTGACACTGATAGCATCAATTTGCATTATTCCAATTTTCATTCTGATGTCTGTGGCTCTTGATATTCCACTAAAATCTAGTGTATCGTGGACATTAAAGGCCCTTATATAATATAAACAGAATAACAGACGTCAGACTTGAAATTTGAATAATGCTGTCACAAATACACATAAAAAAAAATTTAGAAAACATTTTTATAAAAGCCAATATTTCTGACAGTATATCTGAGCTAGGAATTTAGGGTGTTTTCAAAACTGATAAAATTTCTTGCATTATTCTGAGGGGAAAAAAGTCAAAGTAAGGTTGTTATGTTAAAGTAAATAGAAAAAGATTAAATATTACAAAAAAATGAAATAACAATGAAATAATTTCTTAATGAAACGCACACTATAAAATCTATATAAAGTGATAGAGAATGATATATTCCATGTACACCAATATTGAAGGAACATGGATATATTCTGCATGGTTTTTAAAACTTGTATTTGGTTAAATGAAACTTTTGTCAAAATGCTTATTGTATGAAAGGTTGGTTTTATCTGTACACAATTTTATGCATCGAGTTGCCTTGAAATATTTCCTGTGAAGATACTATGGTTTGAGCTATAAGTTTTTCTCATCTCTGAAATCTTATTTAGGTTGTGATGTTTTAACAACGGAAACTATACGCACAGCAGACTTTTCAGTTTTTTCGCTGGTGGTTGGAGTTGAAAGTCAATATTAGAAAGCATGGCTATGGCATCAGAATTTCTATAACTTTGAGGGGGAAAAGCCTCACTGCCATTGTTAGTATTTTATTTCGATTCAATTCTTGTACAAATGAAACTAACCGACTAGGACTTTTTTGATCAGTTTCTATGGAAGAAAAAGTGCTACCTCCTTTGTGAAAACGCCTTGTTTGAAATTCTTACCCAATTGTTCATATAAAATGAATTGTTTCTTTTTTTCTACAACTGTTAAAATTTTTGTTGACTTAAAAGTTAAATTGAATGTTATTGGAATAAGAAAAATGCAAAAAATTAAAATTTTGTTATTCAACTGTTTTATCCTGCAATTTTATGCCACTGTGGATAAATAAAAAAAATAGACAAAATATGGTGCTTTTGTGCTCACTTCCACTTTCTCCATCTGATCTATTTATTAGTTTAGTTGTACCCTACTTTTCCAAATTGACCTTTGTTCCTATAAAAGTCATCAGATTTGTTATATATTTGTACCCTTAAGCTGAAATGGTTAAGACCAATTTTATATGTGCACATAGATTGCTGACGCCCTTGTCTGTTGATCATTCTATACGTGTACTTTATAGCTGCAGATTTTATTAAATTTTGTAAGTATTTCTGGAAATGCAGGATGAGATTTTTATGTATCTGAGTTGATGCCTGTAACTCAACTAAATAGTGGGCTCAAGTATCTCAATCAAAGAAGATCTTTTTATAATATACAATAATCTATTATAAAAATATACAATTACTTATATACAAAACACATTAACTAATATACATCAACAAACAATATATCGTTACACAACAAAATACATGTATACGAACAAAATCTCCAGCGCAATGGTTTTTACGACAAATCCATGAAAATGAAAGAAAAAAAAAAGACAGGTTACCCTTTTTAGAAATTGAATATTTCAGCCTCTATAGATACACATCGATGAATTGCTTTGACCTATAATAAATCATGAATAGATATCATAATTATACCCACAACACAACGCCCCATCAAATGATTTATATTAACGTCCTGATTTATAATGAATCTTTCAGTTTATCAAGTGATATCTTCAAAGCCATTTGCTGAACATATAGAAGAGATAATGACTGGTTAGATGAATCTAGTCCGCATTATGCATTGGTACAACATTTAGGCTGCAAGGCGTGTGTATTTGATGTGTTCAAAGAAGTCAGAAAATATGGTGGTGCAGTTCCGTGATCTGTTGAATCTGGCGTCGCCATTTATTTCCAACTCGAATGACCTAGAAAGGCTATTGGAATTCTCTCATGACTTACAGCTTTTTCCGGCGGACATGGTTGTTCGGAGGGGTAAGTAATGTATCTGGAAGGGCAATGGTGTTAAAAGGACATTCCGCTTTTTTGTAGCTCAAATTCGTGAAAACTATACACCAAAATCTACAGAAATTGTTCCTTAATGTATCGGAAAGTTTGAACTAAAAATATCTAGCCGTTGATTTTTTAATTATTTCAAGTCAATTTTTTGGGGGCTCCCTTGTAGCTACGGGACTGAGCTATTTTGATCGTCCGAGTGATTGCATATTATAATAATCAATGTTAGTAAATCTCTAAAAATTAAAACATTAAAAAAAATGTGTCATGGAAATGAACTGTGATCGTAAAACTGAATACAAAAATATTGTTACTTTTAACGTTAGGTTAAATTCTCAAACAAAATACAGTAGTAGTTAGGATACAAGATTTTAGGGTGCTAAAACAAGTTCTATAAATGTGCAGATTCGCTCATTGTGTTAACATAAATTTCATTTTTATACCCATTATTATCCATTCCTTCCATCATATATTTTTTCTTTTTATCTGCAAACATGCCATTTTGAGAACTCCGACTTCGACCTTTCAAACTTCTGACGCATTCAACAATAGCATATACTAAGATCAGAAATCCTAAATAGGCAAACCACAATATCCAGAGTAAGGGTGCTACCACTGCTAAAAATACTCCCAACGAGATGTTGACGAGGGCTAGAACTAATGCCAACCTTCCACCAAAATGGTGAAAAAATTCCCAGAATCTTCGACGGAATGATTTGGTTTCATCTGGTTGCTGTTTGTTCGGTCGTCTGGAAATTGAAAAAATATCAGACTTCAATAACGGATTAAGAGAGTGCTAGTTTACATAGGGAATTATTGGTAGGTTGAATGCAGTGGCGACTCCAGCCTTCCCAGACTGGGGGTGCAAATAGGGGACAGACTGACTCAATTGGGGGACAACTCCTGAGACTGAAATCAAAATTTTGGCTACTCTGTGGTGGTGTCATAGAGGGTTCTCTCAAGAAAATTTTAGAAAAAATGAATTCATTTAGTGCATTCTGACACATACTCTGGCGCCGCGATGTGCGGCAAAAAGTATCCGGACTAAAAGTATCCGGAAGATCCAATTTGGACTTATGACAGCAGATAACAAGAACATAGCATGACTACCATACAGTCTTCTCTATCTTTAAGCTCTATTTTGCAGGCGTGACTCGGAGCTGTAACGGACACTTTTCTGAAAATAGCATAGGAAGAGAGCTTTTTTTTCTTTGCATCGCTTTGTTCTGTTGATTGTATGACAATTAGTCAACAGTCTATATGAATGTAGTTTACTTACATCAAAGCATTAATTGGTTGCAGTATACCCAATACCATTACAACAACACCTATTATTGAGTGTGGGAATTTAAGATGATCAAATGGTACTGATAATATACCCATTACCAACCCAGCTATTGCACAACATAGACCAAATATCTGAAGACGACAACAATCACATCTTTATATATATCTCTATATCCTTTGAGTTGTAACAAAGCAATGTTAACAATTATTGCTTATCAGCAATAGATTCCGACACCTTTGTGAACTGCAGGCGTAACACTTTGTGATTTGATTTTTCCCCTTAAAACTTGTTGGACAAGGACTATGAAGGGCATCTAAACTCAGAAAAGAGTCCAAACGGACAGAGACCAGGAGGATAATGGACATAGTATGAGTTTGCAATCTTCTAAAACTCTATTTTACATGGAGTCCTACAACAACTGCTTATCACTTGTAAGTACATCCAAAGACTACAGAAAATGGGAGGATCACACAAAAAATTGCTTGATATGGCATCAACCTTTGTTAAAGGTAAAAGAATTGATACGAAGGGAAAACAAGACTATACCTGGAATGTTACATGAAGATAAAACCACAGAGGATTTTTAAACTTGAGATATCGGGCTATAAAACCACCCCATTGAAGAAAGAAACCCCAACCAATAACCATTAAATAGGCATGGACAGCTATAAAGTTGATAAATCCTGTGGTACATGGCAGTAGTTCAGACTCATCTGCTTCAATCACACTTCCTCTTAAAATCCATAGATCATTCATTGGTGTATTACTGAAATATAGAACGATGTTTACATGTAATAACAATAATTTCTTTTCTTGCTAGGGACATCTTCAATATCTCTAATCCGATTCAAAATGGATTTTCACTGCACTGAATTGTTGCAGATTCCGATCGCACTGGTCGACTACTAGATTCATTTTTATTGCAAATTAATTCACAACAGCATCTGACGACCACTGGGGGCAAAAGTTATCGTTTAGTCGTCAGTAAGCGCAAATTTTGATAGTTGCAAGATCGGTCGGAGTCCCATTAAGATTCCATTTTTAATATTTATTATGAACGTACCTGTTTTTATTCATTCCGCCAAACATATAAATTCCATCTTTAGCTGTAGCCATTCCTGCCATACTTCTTCCATTTGGAACGGAGACTGTGGTATTCTACGACAGAATGAAAAAACCTAATGCGTTAAATACACATTACATGAATTGAGATCCTTTCTGACCACAGACAACTGTCATTGTACCAAGCATATGTAGTCCAATATTTATTTCAACAAACTATGGGTAGTTATTTCCCTTTGAAATAGTTTAGAGTTGTCTGTTCTTGAATAGCGCGCGCCTTTTCCAACATGGCCGACAGCGTGAACGATATTCCTATCACCGCTTCAGCCGTTGTTTCAGATCAATCAGTCCATAAACACTTGCTCTAAGAACATTTGATAAACCAAAGCGAAGAGAAAAATTCTGTAACAAGGAAACGATGGTTTCAAAAATGTTTTTGAAGTTAAATTTGGAGAACTAGTCCTAAGAAATAACATAAGGAATATTAAGTATACGGAACTTACCAAAGGGAGAGTTCTTCGTAGAGTCCAAGTATTAGTATCTGGATCATATACAGCTATCTGATCGTCTGGTATTGTTTGAGTCTATAACATGATTATATTACTACATTTTAATTGTAAGGTAGTCTAATCTGTCATTCTTCGTTTATAAAAGAAATGGAATGAATGGAGTTTTACTTCCAACACTTCTGCACCTAAAATAGGCTACCTGAATGTATTTTTAACATTACTTACAACATTCCTAAGTCTATGTTACAAAGAATGGATTTCAATTTCGAAAATGGAAACATAAGTGTACTTTTAAATGTCTTGAATATGAAGATATAGGTCTAAGACGAAGAACCTTTCCTACCGTAATGATTTGGTCCGAATGTTCCATTCCACCATAAAGTACGACTCTTCTTCTATTATAAGTGTATGGAAGAGCGGCCATGGCACCAAAAGTTCTACAAATATTTTCAAGACGTAAGTAACCTTTATGGATCATTTCCGACTGACAAATATTAAATTTCTTCATGCACGAAAGGATAAATGTTTGTTTATAAAAACTTTGGAATCTTAGCTAATCGAACTTGAAATATAAGTGGATACTGGAAAATACCTCGGAGCAGCACAATCAGGAAGAAGTGTCCAAGTCTGTGTTTTACCACTATATTTCCAGGAATCACCAGATGGACAAGGACCACCAGTTCCACCGCCCCTGTAACAAATAACACGAAATAAGTTTCACTTACTTTCCTGTACCTAATGATCTGATAAATAACGTGGACAAAGTGAAATTCCGCCAGGACCATGTTGAGCAACAAAACCTAGCTTTCCTTGAATCAAAGGAATTTCAGACGGGATATTAAAAGTATTCAAGCCCATTGAACACTTTCAAATCTTTTTTTTTTTACCAAGGATGTATTTAGCTATATTCAGATTTATAAAGTGATGGGTCATCTAAACTCATCGACTCGGTTTCTTACCCCAAACAGCCACCAAATATAACGAATTCTTGTCGATCTATCATAGTTCCAGCATGTAGACATCTAGCATGAGGATAACTTGGGTTATAGTCGTTACAATCTTTACAGTTAACTGAAAAAAAACTCATAATGAAAAGTGGAGGGAACATTTAAGTAGAGGCCTATCTAAACTTTTATTACGATGGTGTTAGCAAATTACATTGTCCTTTGGGGTGATTGAGATACAATTGGTCATTTTTGTTGATATTCTATTGAAGGTACTCAATACAGACTTCAGACGTAGAATACATATCAGCTTATATATAGAATGGTAAGAGTTGATGTTGTTAAAATGAAGATTTACGTCCTACTTTTCCACCATATTGAACTTATGAATGATCATCACAATCACCACATAAACTAAGACAAGGCAATATAGCTTCCATATAAGATTGGAAATGAAAACGTCATATGTCCACTTTCAATATAGTTGTAAAATGCACGAGCTTAAGGTTAATGAATTTATTATTTCCACTTACCAAAATTCCAGCCCAGATCTTTCACATTATAAGAGTATGTATTTATATATCTTTTGTTGTTATCAAACCCCATATTAACGAAGAATTCATCACCACTATTGAAATATATACCACCAACACTGCCAAATCTTGCTTCCGGTGCTAGCATAGATTCATTTCTGGTCGCCCATTCAGATGGACTGAAACATAAAGAAGCATCGAAGATGTGAAATAAAGCAAACATCATGCTGTTTTCACAATAATGGTATTGAAAAAGGACCTAAACCAATCGTCCTGAATTGGGTGGTCTTGAAAGTGCTTGATAAACTAAAGTGTGGCCTTGATGACAACCAAAGTGGCCTGACTTGAAAGTGCGAAACGACAATTGTGTGGTCTTGAAGGTGCTTGACATCTACCGTGTAGTATTGAAAGTGCTTGACAGCTAAAGTGTGGCCTTGAGGGTGCTTTACATCTACATTGTGGTCTTCAAAATACTTGAGAGCGAAATTGTGGTCTTAAGAGTGCCTGACATCTACTGTGTGGAATGAAAATGCTTGACAACCATCGTGTGGTCTTGAGAGTGCTTTGCAACTTCATTGTGGTCTTGAAAGTGCTTGACTACATTGACCGAATGTTGATAATGATTAAGCTAGCTTAAATCGGTTAAGACAAATTGCCAAAAGTTCGATGCAGCTCACCTGTAAAAATCGGGTCGTCTCTGAGATGGAAGTTTTTCCCACTCTTCTGATCTGAAATTGAATCCAATCATTGAATGGGCATGCGATTTATATTCTACAATTTCATATATTTGTGTGGAATTATGTGCCTTTTTAGGTTTTACTTTTTTCACTCTATGGGATCAATTTTCATGGGCAATGTCAAGTGCAAGATGAAATCAGTTTTATGCCCTGCCCTTCAACCATATATGTGTACTGCAAATACCTTACGGATAACATCTAATTTCAGATGAGGCTTTAATCAAGGGCCATAATGTAAGATTAGTCTCGATAACCGGGCCAATATCGGATTAGATTTGATATCAGTTTTGCTAGTTAAAAAATAACCTCAATCCGATAATCCAATCGTTTAACAGTTCATTTCAAGTTTACCTTAAATCAAACCTCCAGATATCATTAAAATGTCGTTTGTTTTCTCCTTCGCCTGTGGCAATGTAGAAAAAATCGCCACTTATTCCACTGACCATACCAAATCTAGCCTCCGGACTGGCTGTCACTAATACCAACCTCCATTCACCTTAAATGGATTAATAATAAGATTAATGAGATCTCTTAACACAATGCAAATGAGCCTAATTCTACTACTGCAAACATCGCAATAGATATTTAATATTGGAGAAAAATTCTCAATACAACCCTCGTATACCCTTTTCCTCAATTGAATAAATACAGTGGGCAACCCAGAATGTTTAGGCTTTTATCATTATATATCAATATATTGATATATTCTTCAAACGAATATTATGCACAGAAGTAAATAAACCTCAGGTATTAGAAATCTTTAATTGGCCTGTGTGTACTTTTCGCGAGATTCAGGTAATTTCATTAGTAAAAAGCCAAGATTGCATAAATTATTCATGGATGAATCATTTACTCTGTTCAATGAACTATAGTAAATATTTTATAAGGCATTATTCATACTCGTCTAGATAAATTGCTGGTCGATTACTACCAACTGCCATTTATCAAGTAATGTTTGTACACAAAATATGGCCAACCACACAAACAAATTAACCCTGTCAATTTCTTTGACTAATGAGATATTATGACCTACTGTACAGGTAGAACTGGAAACATAAAGGCTATCGTATTCCAAAGATGTTTCAAAATCTTCTACCGATTCGATGGTACAATATTTGTTTTAATTCACTTTGAAGTATATTGCACACGTTCATAATATCAAGGTATGTCAAGGTATGGCGAATCCCGTCTAGTACCTTGACATCATTAGGCACTTCTCTTTTTAATAGAGAACAACTATAGTTGTCACACGTACAGCCATATTGCTTACTTTATTTCTGTCTAGGGTTATGTTTGGTTGTATTCGGAAGAGTATGATTCTATTAACTCACAAGAAAAGTGCCTAATGTCAAGGCATAAGACAAAGTTCGTAATGCCTAGACATTGTGAAGATGACGGGTCTATTATGTCTCACGGAGGTCTTCGTAAGCTATGTGTATCCTCAGAAAGGATGGCGAGTTAATAAACCCACTGGTATAAGTGTTATCAGGTGTGCCAAAAAGATGAGTAGGATATGCTCTGTCCAAAAAAATATACTGTTACCGCAATCTTGAACTTACCTGACGATACATCGAAAATCCAGGTGTCCTTCAAGGGACCAGGGTTGCCACCAAACACAATAATTTGATCTCTTATAGAATCATATCCGAATCCAAACCTGGTTCTAGGACTTGGTGCATCTCCTATTCCTCGATCTATACTCTCCCATCTTAATTGTCCATTAACATATACAATCAGACATACCAAAATATAGATCTTCATTCTTCTCTGCATTAACTGAAAAATGAAACATTCATCTTGTTATCAGGGTAGTCGGTAGTCAGTTTCGACATTTAACCCTTTGATTGGTCAAGGTTAGATTAATTCATTAAAAATAAAAATTCGGCTAAATGGGATTCTTTTTTAGATAAACGATGTCTATTAGGGACACCGATAACATAAATTTGCACCACTCCTATTTTGTGTGGTTCCTACAATTCGACTAAAAAAAAATAAAATAAGTGTTTGATGACGTCACTAATTGCAAAAATATTATGCTTTATCACTTAAGGTCCTTCGTGATTAGTGACGTCATCAAACATTTAAAGTAAGTGGAATTGCAGGACCCACAGATGTTTGACTGAAAATTTGAATGGTGCAAATTGATGCTTTCAGTATCACCGATACGCATTTTTTTATAATACCTCTTTACAATCCCTTTAACTGTTTGGCTAAGTTATGACGAAGGTATCACAAAGGTTAGATTCGTCTAGCTGTACCCCACTTGTACATCCTAACTAAAGAGAAATAATAATGGTAACCAGTAACCAGTATGCACGTTAGCACACTCAAATTCTACTCTTGACAATTTGACAACAACATAATATATCGCGTATATCGAATATCAAATTATATACATGATAAAGATCAAATCACCAATTATAGTAATAATCACCAGAAAAAATATATCATGATCAGATCTATATATGACTTGTAGGCCTGTTATTACATTAAAAAAAATATAAAGGTCGACAAACACAATGTGATAATATTGTGATATACATGTTTCATGTACAGTTAAGCACTGGTGATGTCGACACGAGTCAAACTCACGTCGCATAACGAAAATTAGTCGTGTGATCACACGCGTTGAGTGACATCATGAAAGTCGCATCACGTATCAGAGTCAATTCACTGGATCAAACATAACAGTCATATATGATCACACATCAAAGAGTCAAGTCACATGATCACACCACAAAGTCACATCACTTGATCATATATCACAAACTCTCGTCAATATCACACATTTGAAAGTCACGTCACAATATCACACATTACAAAGTCACTACACCATATCAATCCTCCAAGTTACGTCACATGATAACACGTATTAGAGTCACGTTACATGATCACATAAAGAAGTCCGTCACATGATCAAACATCACAAAGTCACGCAACAATATCACTCATCACAAAGTCATGTCACATGATCATACGTATCGGAGTTAATAAACTAGATCATACTATGCAAGTCATACGTATGTAAAAAAAACAGGTCATATGATCACACCTGTAAAAGTTAAAGTCACGTCACATGATCACATCTGTCAAAGTCACGTCACATGAGCAAAGTTATTAAACATTTCATTATTATTATCATTATTGTTATCATTACATTTAAGTCACATCATCACACCTATAAAAGTTACATCAAATGATTACACCTATCAAAGTCACGTCACATGAACACACGTATATTAGTCATGTCACATGAAACTAGTGCAGGTAGCTATATTCACCAGTTTGGTGACACATAAATCACAAAAGGTCACGACAGGTCACCATCCAAAAGCATTCATATGGTTACAAAGTGACCATATAATGACCAAAAAGTGTTACAAAGAAATCACATAACCACATGTTAAATCCCCAATAATCAATAATCAAATCAAGTATATAGCTTTTAAACAGTAGCCAATAACAGATAATAACCATATGCTTATAATGTGCCTAAATCATGCTAACCAGTAAGTGACATGGTAAAAAGCATATTTCAAATATATGAAACGTAAAGTTAACCAACTACTGGTATTGACTATAGCTCTCCATAAAAGAACTTTTATGTGCTCGTAGTAGGTCTAATAGATATACTTATACTTTATACTTCATATATCACATAATAGATATTACAAAGGTCTGTAAATATCATGTTAGAGTCACGAAATCAGCAAATATTTGCCATGCCTACATAACATACTGATTGACAACTCAAAGACTGGAATTTCAAAATATCACAAATTCTTTGCATAACGGTTTCGATTCTCACAAAATATATATATCAAAACTACTATACCTTTCCATGTTAATGTTTAGTGAAAATCTGACTACAATAGGTGTTGACAAAATACATGACAAAATGATGTCAACCTATCATAATATAACACAGACAATTAAAATCTCATAGAATAGGTCTGATAATAGAGACGTTTGGCCTGGCGTTACCGGGGTTTACTAGGTACATATTATATCTAGAATTCTCCTCCATTCAGATTTTAATGAAATATTGACGGAAGACGAATTTCAACGTGTATATAGCTTACGACTAATCTCGCTGCATTGCGGGGACAAATATCGTGCAAGTGTCAGCAAGGATCGCACCAATGGCGGTACCTCAAACTCGACAATATCCTCCCCCCCCCCCCCCCTTCCACCAACCCGTCCCCTATTGGTTCCCCCAATAGGTTAGCGCATCCACTGGGCGGCTTAACAATCCTTAGTGAGAAACAGTCGCCAGATAAATCGCTCTTAAAAATACGACAGAGCCAATGTTTCATATTCTGTAATACTTTCAAAAGGTGATACCAAATTACATTTAAAAAAAACAAGGGTTTTAGCATGTTAAAAAAACATGTTACGTTTGACGTCATGCTTAAATCACCCAATATCACCGCCTAAACCTGTCGTTTAAATATAGCTCTAATCATATTTTATAACATAAATGCCGGTTTGTATATGAAATGGCGGACTTGCTGAGCAAGATTTAATAGTGATTATTTTAGACCTTTATTTTATGATTTAAACCTTCCCTCTTCCGACACCTGTGGTTCCTGTAATTCCTTTAGTTCCAAAAACAAACTGGAGGGAGGGGGGGAGGGTTGTCCCCCATTCCCCAGAAAAGATGCTTATAATTTTACATAGTGTAAAAATTGCTTGTGGCCCCTACCCTGGAAAATTTTGTGAGCCTTGCTCGGCCTCCTCAACTAATTTTTTCTAGAAACACAACTTCATGACGTCACCGACGCAATTACTGTTTCTGCATAACACGCCTTATTACACAAATATCATTACATACTCAAGTCAGACTCAAAAGTATTATCACGAGATTAATTTTTACGCTGGAGTTGTTTAAAGACACATTTATATTCCTTACTTTACACCCAATTCTCTTTGTATTGTTTGCTTTTAAACAGCTCCGATTTTTGTTCAGATTTCAAATCAAGTACTTCAACAAACATTAAAGGCATAAAAACTTCATTAATGAAGAAAGGGGGGGGGGGGATTTTTTGCTAGTCCAGGTTTACTGAATTTTTGGCTCTCCACTATAGGAATAGCGACATGAGGGATTCTGATAAATAAATTTCGTCTTCCTGAACGCGGCAAAAAAATGCAGTCGGACTTCTATTTCAAACACATTTAATATATATAAACACACAAAAATATCAGGAAGAAATGTTTTAGGATGTGACATTTTAAAGAAAATCTTTAGACTTGATGATCTCGATTAAAATAATTAGAAGAAATAAAGTATACGTTTTGTTTTGTTTTGTTTTTGATAAGGTCATACAGACCATTTAATAGCATTACTCAAATTATTTCGTATTGCAGTCTTTTCGCTTAGTATTGTAATGTGCTCATATCAAGACAAGTTAAACCAAATTGGAGCGGACATCCTTTCATGTAGAATTCGTATAAAAACGAAATGCTACCATAAAGTGCGGATCGATAGAATCAAGTGTATAATCCGTCAAATTTCTTGTGAATTAAAAATGGCAATTCCTCCATAAAAAACGAAGACTTTAATCTCTTTAAATTCCGCCAGGTGATAATTCAATTTTACGAGGCATTTTGGAGTTATAACTAGCACATGTAGACGATGTTGTCAAAAGGTAAAACCTCAAAGGCATAGTTCAACTAATACCATGTCTTGATGAATTTGATATTCCTCTTTAACAGGTTCTACAAGTCCAGTAAGCTAACATGTTAACCCCCAACAGTTTAACCCCATATATACAATTTGAGTAATGTAGGTATGGTGGATTGCAACAAGTAGGTTGGATTGTCGTTCACTTGGCGATAAGGTGTAGGCAAATTTTCATCTTTTAAAATCATTTCAGGTGCCCGACACTATACCGTTATACTTCACACTACTAGTATAATAATCGTGATACGTGCCGTTTATTTTGATGCACATGAGTTATCATCACATGGTATAAGCATGTAGATTTAGTTGGACTACAAAGTTATCCAAAAGATGCGCTATTTAGGTGGTTGAATTGGGTGTTGAATATATTATGTATATAGTCTTCAGAAGTACAGAAATGTACGAAAATCTTCAAAAAATTCTCAAAGTAGGAATTTATTTCTCTCTTTCTCCTTGATGTCTTTTATATATGTCTCAAGAAAAAGCGACTCGTCTTTTCAACTTTCAAAAGCCGATAATTCTAGACACGTGGATTTGAAGGATTAAATTTTGACGATGAGCTGTGAACATTATTACTGATTGGCATAGCTAACAAAAATCCTGTTTTTGAAACTTAAGTACGATTGGTCAAAGACTGGCGAATTCGTCCCTTTAAAAACAGTTTAGGGGAAATGGGTGAAGATAAAATGAAGCCAATTTCTGTTAAAAATAAATATCTAAGCACAATACCGCCAATATGGCAATACGTAGGCTACTGGTTGTATATATACACTATATACGATGAGCTTTAATCTAGTAGGCTACATACAAGTGTTTTATATTATATATACTATGTATTTTATGTCTAGGATAAGTATTATTTCACACCATAGGCCCCTAACTAATAGCATATCAAATCTACCGTTATCAAATCGCTATCAGATTGTGTCAGGATGACCGTTAGACACCTGTGATAACAAAAGTTCGTAAATTTTGCACAGAAATGAATATGTAACCTTTTTAAGGGATTGTTTAGAGGTTTTCTAAAAATAATTATGGGTATCGGGGACACTGGCTTCTGCAATTCCTCAAAAATAAGTCTTTGATGACGTCACTCGTCACGAAATAAGCTTTAAGCTTATCACATAAGGTCCTTCGAGATTAGTGACGTCATTTTCAGTGGAATTGCAGACGTCTGTTTAAAATTTGTATGGTGCAAATTGACTTTATCATTGTCAGCAATACACATACAAAATTTAGGAAACCTCATTACTATCCCTTTAACTGCAATCAAATGACATGCAATAGTGAACTTGACTAATAATAATAACTTAGTAGGCAAATCGTTCGGCTGATTTTTCCTGATTTGCAAAATAAATTTTTTAGACTACTATTGATATGAATATGAAATGCTGAAAAGTGACTGTCAACTTTCAATTCACAGAAAAAGAATGCTTTAAAGGGGCATTACTTTTTTTTTGCTTTAGTCGAGGTTAAACTGTTTAATTAACAATTAGTAGGCTACTCTCAGTTTTTAAAACTAATTCAGTTTGATCAAGTAGATACATAAGTATAAATATGAAGAAATATATTCAGGTATAATTTACGACGTTTTTCATAATGAAAATTGTGCATACTGCCCCTTTAAGTGAGGGAGAACTATGTTCAATCTGTGTGAATTTCCAAGACTATTATAGGCTTTGTTATATCCTTCACTCGTTTGTGGTCAGAAAATCAATAAAGTATTTATTGGAATCAACAAGTAAATCGGATTTAATGTGAATTATATGTTCCAGATCAATCATGATTATTATAAATCATAACAAATGAGTTAAGTAGAACGCTCTTCATCTAATCGGTCTAACTGTTTCTAATAATAATAACCAAGCTCTTCAGACAACTTGTTGTACCAGATCGAAGACATTGAAACTACTTGTCAAGCATATATCAAGTCTTTACCACAAAGTAAAAAAAAAATCTACTTCTTATTCGATATTTTCAGTGAGCCCTCTTTTACTTAACACATTTTAAAGTCTCATTTTGAAAGAGTTACTCAGAAACGTGCGTCGAGAGTACGAATAATTCTATGAGTTCTAGTCAAAACGGAAACATAAAACCAGTTTTCATTTCAATGTCAAAAGAACTTTGAACTTCTCTGGCCATGTACATTTTAGAAACAACACGTTTTTTTATTGGTTATAAAGGTACAGTGAAAACTAATGCTTACAACGAGAAGAGCAAGCATCTAGCATAATAAAATATATTTTGATTTAGGACTGATGGTAAGATGTGACCAATTTGAAAGTTTAAATCAATGGGTGTACGATTCAGATATATAAAAAATGTGTTTAAAACACATACACCTTTGGGGGTGCGGAAACATTCTCTAAAAAGGTCCAAGTTTTTCTGACCCTACTTCAGTCGACTGTAGAAATATCTATCAGAATCTTGAATAGAGACAGATATTTCGAATAAATCTTTATGTAGATTCGTAGGCCTATTTTAAACCTTATACTGGTTCAACGTTGATTTACAACAACAAAAACTCTAACAGAATCTGCACTTAGGGTTAATGATGATGTAAACAAATCGCCCGGCATTATTACTTCATACATCTTGTTTATCAGCGCCAGACAAAAGATAAGGAAGGAATTTAACCCCACAAACAAGACCCAAGCCCAAACGACAGACAAGATGGTGATTGCCCTAATTCTGAATTTGGACAGCTTGATGGTTTGGTCTTCTCTCCAGTTGTCCAAAATTGAAATGATATTCATTGGTTTAAAAGTCGTATTTTCTCCAACAGTTTGGCATTACCTTGTTGGATTTTTATTTACCAGTATTGCGCTCAAAGTATGTACTTTACTTTTTGAAATAGACATCTACATTTAATTTTTACCGGTTTAGTTTCAAGTTTCTCTATTTCAATAGTCTTTTAAATCCTATCATTATTATGGATAAATATAAAAGTCAAAATCGCTCGTCTGTTATCACTTTAAATTTAATGAGGCATATTTTCTCATATTATAATATAGGCCTACAATGCTTATCACTATAGAAACAACTTGATTCTTGTGGGTCAAAAGTCTTTTATAATTTTACATAATCTACACGAATTTTTAAACTATAATAACAGGCTAAACTCATTTTTTATGGCCATAGTGTCATAATATTATAGATATTTTGCCAATTCGAAGTGAAATCTGAAATAAGAAATGACATCTTACCTGTGAAAGATTAATTAATCAGTTTCACGACTTTTAAAGTCAATGAATAACAATAATTAGTCCTTCATTCAGAAACACCTGAGAAATCGTCAACCTCTAATGAAATGTTCTCTTCTTACTCTGTAAACTCGACTGTCCCACACATTATTACTGTGAGCATTAATCATACAAACAGGGACCTTTGGCAGAATTTCAACAAGATAGACTTGTTGTCAGTAATCTGACCACTAGCCGGACAAATCTGGCTGTACCCGTTCTTCAGACGTGATATACAGATGGGATATTGAGACGGTTTTGACCAGACATTCAAATGTCTCTTTTATTGAAGCTGCTCCGATAAATTTATAGACCTTAACATACGTATATCCCATCCGTAATCCTTTGTTGGACTATCTTAACAAGTAGGCTATTCAAGCAATTCTAAGTCAAATAAGTGAATGCATTTTGTGATGCCATATGATAATCTAAAAAGGTAAACATCTCCATAGTAACTACCAATCAACAAGAATTACCATGGGTTCTGGAGAATGATGAGTTAAGGAAACTCACGACACACCATCCAGGACCGAGTTTTACCACACCATGTCATCCTAGCTGACCATACAGATCTTACAATTCTCAACCAATCCAACTACTGTGACTATCAAAAACTACCTATAGTCTGTTATACCAGCTCTTGCTGTTATGTTCCAACCAACCATGTAGGCCTATATTGTTCTTCAGCCTACTGGTCATATTGTTCTGTTTAACGCGAAGTACTGAAAGCTGAACGTCACGCACAAAGACTCTATGGCAGTAAAAAGTTGTAACACCTGAAACGGTCAATTAAGTCATTAAAAGACTTCTCTTCTGATTACCATGACTAATGATGACTATAAAAGATAATAGATTTTCCAACTTCTCGTATTAATGAGCGACTGTTGATCAATATACATAGGCTAGGCGTGTACATCTTACACCAGCCATCGTTTATCTTTAATTTTGTAGATCCGCTCATTTCAATACTAGGCCTATTATATACGCGGCGTATCCAAAAAAATCTCATGCAAAAAGATTATGAAATAACAGGCTAATTGTAATGGTTATTAGGCAAGGCAAATACTTTAAAAAAGGGAGATATTTCATTACAATGTCAATATTCCATGGCAGGATACCCATAGCCTATAACTATAAGTATAATAATTATGATGGTAGGTATCGCTAAAGCGATCGAGTTCTAAAGAACGAAGCTTATCGAGTAATTTTTAAGAATTAGGCAAACGGTGGAAGAGTAAACTTATCTCATAATGTGGAAACGTAGACGTCTGCTTTCCAAGTCATTTTGTCTCACTCACTCATGAAATTTAGAGCTAGCTTTAATAACACATGCGACACCGGTTTGTGTAAATTTCCAAAGGTATAAAATAAGCGACACCGTTAATGTAACATCCGGCATCGAATGTAAACATATGAAGTGGAAAATAAGAACAGTGATCTGAAATTTTGTATTTACTACATTCAGAGTTAATTTTCTATTGTGTGATACTACTCACTGTAAGTTGATTAGTTTATTCATTTCTTTTTAATTCATGATAGGTGGTGTCAACAGTTGTTACACATGCCAGTGCCCAGTGTCACTAGTGAGTTAGCTCAGTAACATGAACATGACTGAAGGTCCAGCAGGGTTCAATCTCGGCATTTAAGTCGAAATAATAAGCCTACCTGCTTCAGGTTTATCCCTGTTAGTGATGCAGGTCGAAGGAGCCGATATGGAAAAGGAGTCTAGTCGTCTAGATGAGATGATAAACTAAAGCCACAAGTGCTATAGATCTATAAAGTTTGCAACAGAAAAAGAGCAAGCTAATGCTGCTGTTCTGGCAAAATTTCGTAATTGCGCACTGTGTGGCATTGGCCCATCATTAGCCCATTTTGTTGCAGAAAAGTAGGCAGTAAAATTCCATTCGTTTTATTTTAATCGAAATAGGTGATTTTCTACTATCAGTGGTATGACTGCAAATCAGTTAATCACTGCCATTGCACATTGTCATTTTTGTACGCAACATTGGCGCTGCTTTTTCATTATGAATTCAAATGTCACCTGTTAGTGTGGATTTTGTTTTTTGACAAGCATAGACTGCATACTAGGCTTATCAGATGTTATATATAAACCACAATATTAGTAATATCAGGCACCTATTCAGTGGCAAATTACTGCAATTGACATCATTTGAATGTTGTCTGATATCCTTCTTGCTTGTTCTTGACAAGGTCACAAGAAGGCCAAATATATTGTTGGTTGTCAAGGTATTAGGTATACCCCAATAGATTTTGATAACATGTACAATATCATCATTATCATTCTTTATTTCAGAATCCATGATGGCATTGGATGAAAAGCTATTCAAGTTATTTTTAACTTTATTTACTGGTTATTTTTTGTTATATTGTGTTCGAAAATCATTCTCCTTTGCCAGTCCTTATATAATGGAAGAAGAAAAACTTGAGAAAAATCAGTTAGGTATGTCTTTCATCAATTTAGTCATCTGTATACTTGCTTTAAGCTATCCATGTCACTTTCAGAATTATACCCGGCATCTAGTTCTACTGCAATTTAACAAAAACTCTCTTTGAAAGATTAAAAACGGTTACAAACTATGTCTGCATTAAATATGTTTATATTATTCTGAAATTTGATCCATGTCAACAACAAGTCTTTGGTACATCAACAAAACAAAATCTTATTGGGCAAAACTTTTATCTCTTGACCAATGAAAATCATTGAAATAAAATGAAAGATGGTTATGTTTATTGCTTAATGCTTATGCATCATGCTTGGTAATCAAATATGGTTGCACATAAAAGACATACCAATAATAAATTTAGAAAGGTGAATGCCATCTCCAGTAAATATTGATTTTGGCTTATCAGGTGGAGTAGTTTGGTTGAATTAATATGTACTAACACAAAATAATGTAATACTACCCTAAGCCCTTTATGAAAAAATAGGGTCCTAACAATGAAAACTTGATGCTTTGAAACATCTGTTTCCAATATCAAGTTAACTGTGAAACTCGACCAAATTAAAGATAACAAATATAGATCTATTTTTCTGTTATACACTTCTATCTACTCGACAATTCACCATTCAAATTTCTGTTTTACATACAAAAGCAGTACCTGAAAAGGGTTCATTAGGAAAGAAATAATATATTGAAGGCACAATTGCAAATTTTTGTCCTACCCATATTGTGATATTTTAATTCTTGATATTGTGATATCCACTAGGACCTATATTGCCCAGCCCTATTGTAAGATAGATATCATGATACATATCAAATCATAACTTTAAATACATATTTAGACTTGAAATTGTCAGTTTGAAAAATTTATATTAATACTCAGTCAAGTTTATGGTCTTCATTGACTCATTTATAAGTCATCATAGGGTAATGCATCAAACATGAATTCATCTCTGATTTTTGTTTATGATAGGTATGGTGGTGAGTTCTCAAATGCTAGGTTATACTATCAGTAAGTTTTTGAGTGGTGTAGTGGTGGATTCTTCTAGTCCTTCCAAGATGTTTTCTTTAAGTTTATTTTTAACAGGTTTTACAGCTTTATTATTTACATGTAAGTATAAGCTTTTCAAATTGTAAATGAAAGGACACAAACCTCTCTAACCACAAGTTTTTGTGTCTAATGGTTTACAGACCTAAATAAATGTGGGTTATACCTGAAGCTAAGAAAAGAATCAAATGGTTTTTGGTAAACGGAAATAATTTGAATGTAACAAAATCAATATACATGCAATCTGCCTTTCTTTATGGATCATACTCAGCTTTTCCCATGTGAATTGTCTCCCTTTTCTGTCTCTTGATGCTATTGGATTTTCCTTTCAGTGTTTAATTCTGTGTCATTGTTTTCTATATTATGGTTTTTAAATGGTTTGTCTCAAGGACCTAGTTGGCCTTCTTGTGCAATATTGCTGAAAAGGGTAAGTCCAGCAGAACTTTGTAAAGTATATATGTATTAAGCAATTGGTAACAATCAAACAGTCAGTAACTGGCTGAAGTCATCTGACCATCAGTCCTTAACTGGTTCATTTCTTTTCAGTGGTTTCCTGCTAGTCAGTTTGGAACATGGTGGAGTGCCTTATCATCAGCATCAAATCTAGCTGGTAGTGTTGGACCATTATTGATAACTACTTTAATATATTATTTTGGTTGGAGAACAGCGTTATGTATTGGAGGTAATTCTGATGAATTCCCTTTTTATATTTGTAAAAAAAAAGAAAATATGATATGTGCAGTGCTTTACTAGCAACGCTTTTATTCGTCAGAGCTTTCAATGTAAATGATTCCATAAACATGATTTTATGTTGAATGGTTATTTTCAGGTGTATTCTTATAACTGATTCTATTGAATAGTTATTTTCAGGTGTATTCTTATAACTGATTCTATTGAATAGTTATTTTCAGGTGTATTCTTATAACTGATTCTATTGAATAGTTATTTTCAGGTGTATTCTTATAACTGATTCTATTGAATGGTTATTTGTCAGGTGTATTGTAATATTTGATTCTATTGAATAGTTATTTTCAGGTGTATTCTTATAACTGATTCTATTGGATGTTATTTTCAGGTGTATTGTAATATTTGATTCTATTGAATGGTTATTTTTCAGGTGTTATGTGTATTGTCATTTCTATTTACATCTTCAGTAGTATATCTGATTCACCTTCCAAGACTTCCAATGCCAAAAAATCTGATGACAGAACTCCACCAGCAAAGGCTTCAAAAAGTAAGTTGATTACCATTCATATTTCCACATACCGAAAATTCCAAAAACGTGGTATATGTATACTTAAATGCAAAATGTTCATCATGAGTGGCCCGTAGAGTGTCTGAGGTGGTTGTCACCCAAAAATAGACACCTGTCCCTTTAATATTTCATTTTAACTCTTGTCATCCTTATATTGAGCACTATTTTACAAGTGCAAACATAAACATATATTGTTGTTATTTATCTAAGTACAAATTATGAATTTTTTGTAGAAGATAAGTTAGAGTTGTTATTAAATATATTAAAAGAACCAGTATTTGTAGGAGTATGTATCAACTATTTATTAATATCTATGATACGAGGTGGTTGTAGTGATTGGGGTCAACTATACTTAATACAAGATAAAGGTCATTCTCTAGTAACAGGTTTGTACCTTGACTTTTCACTCTGGTAAACACAAAAGGTTGAGAAAATACAACACTTTTATATATGGTCACTGAAGATTACAAAAGAAATAAGATTTCATGTTATACCTTCCATAAGGCAGTGCAGTATACATTGAAATTTTGCCAAGACAGTGATAGTAGCTTACTCTACTTCATATTTTTAAGGATGTAACTCTTGGAGCCTCATTTTATTGTCCTGTCAATATCATTAAATCCTCTTTCCATATCATCACTCTGACCCGCCTCCAGCCCAGTTGCCAGGAATGAATTGGTGCTGGGGCTCAGATTTCGTACTCAGAAAATTTGAAGAATTAAAGGCCCCAAGATCTCATTTCTGACAATTTTGAGGCGTCAAAAACGTATCAAATCTTTTTGATTTTGTACAAAGACACTGTAAATGAATCAATCTCTGCTGAACTGAAGAAGGTTTTACTGGGGGCGAGGCCCAACCCTAACGACGGGCTACCCGCCTTGCACACCCTGGGAAATTCTAGGATTACTTGGCTTTTCCAGCACCGTCTGCAATCACAGTGGATATATTTGTTTAATATTTCAGGAAGTTTATTTACCAGTAGTCAAGAAATGGGTGGATTTATAGGTTCATTATCAGCTGGTTATTTCTCTGATTTTCTTTTGAAAGTAAGAACATGGTTCTTATTTAGTATTATTTTTCCCGTGTGTCCTGGACGGTATTTTCATCACAAATATGGTGTGGTTATCTTGCACTTAGTATCAAGATGGGCTTCGATTCCATAGCACTTCTGAAGTGGGTGTAATCTGCATCTCTTATTGTTTTTATTTCAGATATAAATGGGTATATTATTTTTTGTTTATTTCAGAAAGGTGTATCTTTTAATCCAAGATTAAAAGTGACGTTATGGTTTGCCTGTATTCCAGTTGGTTGTTTGTTTATGTTGTTATATTATGTTACTGCAGCATCTTATCAAGTAATAATTTATTTAATGTAAAGTGATATATTCGGAGGGGCATTGGGGTGGTTGTGGATAGCTGAAGTAGCAAAAGGGGGAAAGTTTATATAAGATTTCCTGGAACATGAAAATTTTACTGTCAATACCTCCAATTAAAGAAACAATTAATAAATTCACTTTAATTTCATTATAGTTCGATGATTCTGCCGTTTGCATTTAGCTCCAATGATGATATGGGTCGGCTATTGCCGGGCCGTGCTCCCCTATAGCTACAGGCCTGTCCACATCATTATATGGAAAGATAGTATTTCATTCCAATTTTAAAATACCTGGACAAATCTTAAAGTCCTCAATTTTTGAAGAGCAGAGTGCTTAAATAGTCATGAACTTCATAATGGCTTTGTTGACTTTAATAACGTTCTTCAGTGTCTGATTTGCATTTCAGATTATGATAAGTGTTATTGGTTTTGGATTAGGATTTGGTCTTTATGGTGTTATATCATTATATGGTGTTACAGCAATGGAAAGTGCTCCAGTAGGTTTAGAAGGTACTGCACATAGTATAGCTTCACTATCTGCTAATGGTAAGAAATATGAATATTTAGCCTACTAATTTATATTTGATTGGACCCTGTACACATTAAAGATCCCTCGACAGTTGGAAATCAAAAAATTTAACCTAATGCCCCAAAATTTCCCTTATTGCACACTGCATTTCCCGCTTTCATTGAGCCAGAACATGCAGAAAAGTAGGACGTAACACTCCATATAATATATTCCGAATGAATGATATTAATGATAATTGATAATGTTTAAAATGTGTTACAGACAACTTATATAGTTTTCTATTTAACAATAATGAAAATGACTACATTCCTTATCATTACTCAATCAGAGACACTTTTTCTTTTTTCCAGTGGGTGTAGTAATATCTGGTTATCCATTAAGTTTGATGGCTGAATATTATAGTTGGTATGCTGTATTTCAACTTCTAGCTGTAGTATCATTATCTTCTATTATTTTAGCCTATTTCTCTGAACGATGGAGTATAAGATCTAAGGAGGCTTCTGTCTAAGACATTATAAAAAAGCACAAGAATAAGTGCATACCTTGTTATCTCATTTTTGCTTTTAAAGGATGTTAAAAAGTTTTCATGTGTATCACAAATGACTTTAAAATTCAATCAAATTTTATTTGAACTTGCATTAATATGAAAGGTTTGTATGGATATTGTTAAATGATTCTTGTGTCTTCCACCTCAATATTTTTTTATCAAGTGATATTTGAAAATGGTTTTATTAATGAATCTCATTGTAATAATGTTTCATTAAGCCCATTAAGGTTTTGTTTTTTGTTTTTTTTACATTATTATTTATTTTATATAAATTTATGTTTTTCTTGTTATGGGCAATAAATTTATGAAAAAAGTTAGACAATATTTTATTGATTATTTCCATATATCTTGGTTTTAAGACAGAACTTTTGTTTAAGAATGTACTTTCTTGAGTAAAACCCTTTTCACAAACTTCACATTTGAAAGGTTTTTCTCCCAAGAGAAAGTTGTTGTGTAAAACATTTTTCACAAACATCACATTTATAGGTTTCTCTCCGATGGGTATTCTCATGTGAACTCGAGGTGCTTCCTGTTGAACAAATTTCTTGTTACAAACATCACATTTAAAAGGCAGTTCTTCTGTGTACTCTATGATAGTTATTTGATTAAAAAAAAAAAAGCATAATTCACGATTAGTGACGTCATCAAAAACTTATTTTTCTTGAAATTGCAGAAACCACAGATGTTTGACTAAAAATTGGTATGGTGCAAATTGATTTTATCAGTGCCCCCGATAAATATAAAGCTCTTTACGATTTCTTACTAACACCAGAAATTATTAAAAATTATATATTTTAAAATAATTTTATTATAATTAAATCAACTATATATACACAATGATTAAGAATATAAAAAATAAAAGTTTATTTCATAGATTTAATATGAAAATAAAAAATCTGTAGAAAAATAATATATCGGCAAAAAATATCATAAAAAATATCTTTATAAAATAATATATCCTCATACTGTGATATAAATATGTAAAAAGCACTATAAAGATAGTCATATATATTCGTTGAAAGTTTATATAATTAAACATTTTTTTTTTTTTTTTTTTTTTTAATTACAATAAAATGTAAGAATTTGACACACGTGTATTGGATACGTCATATTTTCTGCAGCTATTTTTTTTATCATTTTTATTTTTATTTTTTTTGTTCTATGGCAACGGAGGGTAAAGAAACCTTATATGGTAATCAGGTCATAAAAATTTGTTTTAACTTTGAAATCCTAAATTAGATTGTTCCTTTTCCACAATACCTTATGATATAAAAATAAATCACAGTATAAAAAATTGCTTCAATTTGGGTGTATTTTAGGGAGCTGGGAGTAGCCTAAAAACAAGAATAATTTTGACAATTAAATAGCCAAATACATCTTAATATTCTAAAATTGAAAAAGGAACTGTAGAAACTGCATCTGTATTGAATTAGAGATATGGAAAAAAATGGACTATCAAAAGACATGAGCTAGGAAAGGATTGTAACAGATTGTTGAAGGACTTGGGCTAAGAAAGGATTGTAATGGATTGTTGAAGGACTTGGGCTAAGACAGGATTGTAACAGATTGTTGAAGGACTTGGGCTAGGAAAGGATTGTAACGGATTGTTGAAGGACTTGGGCTAAGAAAGGATTTTAACGGATTGTTGAAGGACTTGGGCTTTGAAAGGATTGTAACAGGATTATTGAAGGACTTGGGCCAGGAAAGGATTGTAACGGATTGTTGAAGGACTTGGGCCAGGAAAGGATTGTAACGGATTGTTGAAGGACTTGGGCTAGGAAAGGATTGTAACGGATTGTTGAAGGACTTGGGCTAGGAAAAGATTGTAACAGATTATATAAGGACTTGGGCTAGGAAAAGAATGTAACGGATTATAGGAGAACTTGGGCCAGGAAAGGATTTTAACAGATTATTGAAGGACTTGGGCTAGGAAAAGATTGTAACCGATTGTTGAAGGACTTGGGCTAGGAAACGATTGTAACAGAGTTTTGAAGGACTTGGGCTAAGAAAGGATTTTAACAGATTATTGAAGGACTTGGGCTAGGAAAAGATTGTAACAGATTTTTGAAGGACTTGGGCTAAGAAAGGATTTCAACTGATTTTTGAAGGACTTGGGCTTATGAATAAAATGTGCTCTGATAGGACTATGGGATTCAGAAGCACTGAATGGTGGTTTGACATTTAATGCCAATTGGGAATGCTGTTTAATTTTGTGACTTTGCTATAAAGCTTTTGCTGATTGTCTTTCAGAACATCAACATTTCCTTGAGATGTAGGACTCAAATATAATGACACTTTTGGGTTCCTTCAACCAGCTTTTCTTGATAAAGATGATTCTGTTTTAGGTTTTCTTTTGTTAAAAATTATTTGTGGATACCTCTGATATATACAAAAAGTTTCCATAGATGAAGAATATTCTGATTCTATTGAATTCATCTGGTTTATTTCAACATCATTTTTGATGAAGAATATTCTGATGGATACATCTTAAGCATATATAAACTTTTTTTTTTTTTGATGAAGAATATTATGATTCTTTTGGATACACCTGGTTTATATAAACATCTTCTTTTGATGGAGATTCTGTTTGGTACATCTGATGCATTTAAACATCATCTTTTGATAAAAGATGATTCTGATTCTGTTGGATACATCTGATGCATATAAACATTGTTTTTGATGAAGAATATTCTGATTCTGTTAGATCTGATGCATATAAACATCTTCATTTGACAAAGAATATTCTAATTCTGTTCGTAACATATCATGCATTTAAACATCTTCTCTTGATGAAGAATATTTTGTTTCTGTTGGATACATCTGGTACATTTAAACATCTTCTTTTGATAAAGAGTGTTCAGATTTGGTTGAATACATCTGTTGTATAATATAAACATCTTTTAATGAAGAATATTCTGATTCTAATGGCTACATCTGGTTCATTTAAACATTTCTTTTGATGAAGAATATTCTGATTCTATTGGCTACATTTGATGCATATCAACATTTACCATTGAAGAAGATTCTGTTAGATACATTCAATGAATATAACCATCTCCTAGGGATAAAGAATATTTTGTTTCTGTTGGATAATCTGATGGATTTAAACATCTTCTTTTGATAAAATTGATGTTATTCTGTTGGCTACATCTAATGCATATAAACATTTACTTCTGAAGAAGAATCTGTTTGACACATCCAATGAATATAAACATCTCTTGAGGATGAAGAATATTTTGTTTCTGTTGGATACATCTGGTTCATGATGAATATTTTGATTCTGTTGGACATTCTTACATCTGATGGATATATACATCTTCTTTTGGTGAATAGTATTTTGATTCTGTTAGATACATCTGATACATATAACCTTCTTTTAAAGAAGAATATTCTGATTTTGTTGGATACATCTGTTGCATAATATAAACATCATTTGATGAAGAGTATTTTGATTCTGTTGAATACATCTGATGCACATAAATTTAAACATCTTATGTTTGATACATCTGGTTTATATAAACATTTTCTTTTGATGAAGAGAGTTGGAAACATCAGATGCTCATTACATCTTTTGATGAAGAATTTTTTGATTCTGTTGATCACATCTGATGCATATAAACATCTCCTTTTGATAAAGAATATTCTGATTATGCTGGATACATACATTGGTTATCCTGTCTTTGTGGAACATGTTTCTATATAATTTCTATAATCATGCGGACAAACAGTCCTTTGGATCATGCAAAGTACTTCTTGGATCATGTTGACTTAAATCATAAGGATCATGTTGATTTAAGTATCTTTGATCATGTAGATCATCTTTATATCAATATTTTCTTGGGTCAACTCGAGGACATGGAAATCAGCTACCATCGAGTTATCATTAAACATAGTTTGAGGATTTCACACTACTTTCTAATCTACATTTGGTTGAAAGGATTATAATGGATTGTTGAAGGACTTGGGCCAAGAAATGATTGTAACAGATTATTGAAGGACTTGGGCTAAGAAATGATTGTAACAGATTGTTGAAGGACTTGGGCTTTGAAAGGATTGTAACAGATTATTGAAGGACTTGGGCCAAGAAAGGATTGTAACAGATTATTGAAGGACTTGGGCTTTGAAAGGATTGTAACAGATTGTTGAAGGACTTGGGCTAGGAAAGGATTGTAACAGATTTTTGAAGGACTTGGGCTAGGAAAGGATTGTAACGGATTGTTGAAGGACTTGGGCTAGGAAAGGATTGTAACAGATTTTTGAAGGACTTGGGCTAAGAAAGGATTTCAACGGATTTTTGAAGGACTTGGGCTTATGAATAAAATGGGCTCTTATAGGACTATGGGATTCAGAAGCACTGAATGGTGGTTTGACATTTAATGTCAATTGGGAATGCTGTTTAATTTTGTGACTTTGCTATAAAGCTTTTGCTGATTGTCTTTCAGAACATCAACATTTCCTTGAGATGTAGGACTCAAATATAATGACACTTTTGGGTTCCTTCAACCAGCTTTTCTTGATAAAGATGATTCTGTTTTAGGTTTTCTTTTGTTAAAAATTATTTGTGGATACCTCTGATATATACAAAAAGTTTCCATAGATGAAGAATATTCTGATTCTATTGAATTCCTCTGGTTTATTTCAACATCATTTTTGATGAAGAATATTCTGATGGATACATCTTAAGCATACATAAACTTTTTTTTTTTGATGAAGAATATTCTGATTCTTTTGGATACACCTGGTTTATATAAACATCTTCTTTTGATGGAGATTCTGTTTGGTACATCTGATGCATTTAAACATCATCTTTTGTTAAAAGATAATTCTGACTCTGTTGGGTACATCTGATGCATTTAAACATCGTTTTTGATGAAGAATATTCTGATTCTGTTAGATCTGATGCATATAAACATCTTCTTTTGACAAAGAATATTCTGATTCTGTTGGATACTTCTGGTGCATTTAAACATCTTCTTTTGATAAAGAGTGTTCAGATTTGGTTGAATACATCTGTTGCATAATATAAACATCTTTTAATGAAGAATATTCTGATTCTAATGGCTTCATCTGGTTCATTTAAACATTTCTTTTGATGAAGAATATTCTGATTCTATTGGCTACATTTGAGGCATATCAACATTTACCATTGAAGAAGATTCTGTTAGATACATTCAATGAATATAACCATCTCCTAGGGATGAAGAATATTTTGTTTCTGTTGGATAATCTGATGGATTTAAACATCTTCTTTTGATAAAATTGATGTTATTCTGTTGGCTACATCTAATGCATATAAACATTTACTTCTGAAGAAGAATCTGTTTGACACATCCAATGAATATAAACATCTCTTGAGGATGAAGAATATTTTGTTTCTGTTGGATACATCTGGTTCATGATGAATATTTTGATTCTGTTAGACATTCTTACATCTGATGGATATATACATCTTCTTTTGGTGAATAGTATTTTGATTCTGTTAGATACATCTGATACATATAACCATCTTTTATAGAAGAATATTCTGATTATGCTGGATACATACATTGGTTATCCTGTCTTTGTGGAACATGTTTCTATATAAT